GTGTGAGCATTTCTGTATCCCAAGTTATAATGTCAGGTGTTCTCAACAAAAAAACCCAATATGGAAATCAATATTTATGGATACAGTGAGCAAGTGCTTGAAAACAGGATATGCAGCTCTACAGCTACTGGATACAATCTTATTCTGATATTTTTTTTGAGAGAGAGAGCAGACAGAGGGTCCCCATCCACTGACTCACACTGCAGTTGTCCACATGGGCCAGGCCAAAGCCAGGAACAAAAAGCTCAATCAAGTATTCCCACCATGAGTGTCAGGGACCCAATTATTTGAGCCTTTACTATTGCCTCGCAAAAACTACATTAGCAAGAATCTAGGTTCAAGAGTTAAAGCCAAGTGTCAAACCCAGGCACTCAAATGTGGGGTGCCAGTGTCATAACCAATAAGCCAAACACATGCTTGTCACTTTGATATTTATCTTCCCACTGTTTTTCTCACCTTCCAGGTGCAGAAAGGGTTCACAGTGTTTTGGTCAGTGGCAAGTTCAGACCAGATCTCATTCTTTGTGCTAATGGGTATGAAACATGCGTATGAAAACAGGCAGATATAGAAGGTGGTTAATAATAGTTGATACATAGTATGGAGTCACTGTATTGAATTGCTAATATGTAGTTCATGGAAAGGATTGATTTCCTGTCATTAAAATTTTCCATCAGAGTAGGACTCTGTGCCAGTCCATACTTGTGTAAGGCTGTGGAGCAGGGAAGTGTCTGAGACCCAGAGGTAGGGAGGAAAGTCTTGCAGAATACTCTGAGTTCTCCTTCTTCCCATCATCGTGTTTCCAGGCAGCTTAAAGTTGTGCAAGTCTTATCTTTGCGAACAGTGTGGTTTTTACTAGTTGCTGGAGAACAAGCTCTGAAATGTAATTAAGCTGTTCTCGTGGTTTAAAACCTGCCTCTGATCTCTTATTACCAGAACAGAAAACTCGTATGGCAAACTTTATCATCTTGGCAGGACATTTTATCTGCATTGTGGGCCCTGCTTCCACACAGCTTGAAAGTGAGAAGCAAGTCGTAATGTGGAAGTAGCAGGAGATGACTGGAACAAGGCATGGGTGATGCCCTGAGTGTGTTTTTAGTTTTGATTTTCTCCAACTTAATTGCCTGGCTTTAACGATTTTTTTACTTTGGGAAGCAAAAACTATCTTTATCATAAACCTTGTCTTTAAAAGTCAGGGATCTGCTACGTAGGCAGAGCTTCTAACTGCAGACAGTAAAGGCACCAGAATGGATAGAATGGCAGTCAGTGCAGGGACAAGGACACCAAAGCACCCAAGCTCCATGTCTGGGCCCCAAGAGTTGCATCTGCATGGAAAGCATATGTAACCAATCGCGGTTCTCTGTTCCGGGGAAATCTGATAGAGAACGCGCCTAGAGTACAGTGCAGGCAGAGTGTGGTAGTCAGAGGCTCATGTCGTGTAGCAGGAAGTTGCTGAGGATGATAATTGAGTTTAATGTCTCAGTGGCAGACTTGGAGATGCTTCTCCTTGGGAGTGCCTCCTAGTGCTGCTCCCTCTATCTCACAATTGGACTCACACTAGAGGCAATAATTTACCTAATGTGACAGTAAGTTAATGATGGGATTGAAGCTAGACACCAAGTCTCCATTGCGTTTTGTCAGGTACTTTCCCATCTAAATCATAATCATCCACATGGCAGAGGAAAGCTTAATGAACAGTGTTGCTAGTGTTACATGTGGAGGAGCAAAGGACCCAAAACACAGCTTTGTCTTGAGTCTCTAGAACTTGACAAACCATCACTGTTTAACAATATCTACATTGTTTTATTTTGTATAACTATCCTCAAATCAATCCAGAGCATTATTTGAAGTTAATAGAACTCCGTTTTGAGGTTCTGTGGGTTCTCAGGATAGTGTTAACTTTGGTGAAGGGGACTGAAGAAATTATTAGAGGATATGGTAGTAGCCGAGAGTGCAAAAACAGCTGACATTACCAAAGACTGGAGATGAAGGAATGGTCTCTGCAGGCTGTAGATTTATGCTGTGTAGGATTTAGAAAAAAGAGGACAAGAAGGGGAGCAAAGGAGAAAGGTGCAGAGCAGCCAGCCATGGTCTTCCAGGGAGTGCTGGACTTTTTCCTCACCTGTCCTCATGTGCTTATCCAGAGCATGTGCAGTCAAAGGCAGGGAGCGGCTATTCCACGGGACGGCTTGCTAGGAAAATCTGAGTGTAGCAGCGAGGTCCATTTCCTTGTTGTCAATGGGAAATAACTTCCTTTGGTGTGCTCCAGCTTGTCTATTCAGAATTAATTTGGCACAGTGAATGAGAACAGAGTAACTGTCCTCATCTTTTCTTTCAGAACTTGGCAAATGGGACTGATATAGACAGGCAATAATTACATTGCCACGGATAGTGTCTAATGTAATTGAGACCAACAGTTTGAGAACATTTGCCCAAACAAAGCACTGTCTCCCATGACAGGTCCCCCTTGATTCTTTTCTTTCCTGTATCATGAAAAGCAGTAACTTCATTAAAAGTAGAAAACATGGGAGAAATCTAGGATTAGACAAATGATTTGGAAGAAAAAATATTTCTTCCTAGAACTTATGAAATGCAGAATTCCAAAACCTTCGTTTCTCACTCCCTTTTCCGGTATGTAAAATGGTGAAATAGAATCACATTATGTTAGATTGAATGACAAAGTTTCGACCTTTGCTTGTAAAAATAGATTCTTTGAAAGTCTCACTGTTAAACTTTGCTAAGGACTGGCCGTTGGGGAAGCAGTAGTTCAGAGCATGCTAGCAGTTCCACAGTTTGAGATAGGTGTTGCTTCTGTTATCTGTATGTAAACATGTTACTATGTTTACAGAGCATTGTTGCAGCTGCACAAAGATGGGCTGCCCGTCCCCTTCTTGTGGTGTGCTAGAACTCTGAACTACTCCAGTGTTTTTAATCACATTCTGCTAATACCATCACTGCCTTCCTCTCCACTCCAAGGCCCACGGTGCTTCTTCCACACTAAGTGGAAGTTCAGGAGTATCTTCTGATGTTTCCAATCCTGCTGCTGATCATTGCCTTTTTGGAGAATCCATGTCCCCAGGAGTCCTGTCAGAGCACATCCCTGAAGATGTGCTTTCCAGTTACCAACAAGCTGCTGTGCCTGTGCCTTGTTGCTAAGCCAGTGATAACAGTGTGTATCTATGATGGCAGCAGTGGCTGGCTATGTAACTCTATCATGACTTTTCTTCTGTAAAAGAAGAAGAGGATTTCATGGTACATACGAAGAGTGGGACTGTACCAATTTTAATTTGACCAACCATGTATCAAAAGTTTAACCAAAAAGTTTAACCAGAAGTATAATTTAACTAGCCATCTGTCAGAAACCAACCATATTCAACAATTTTCACTGACCAGTTTCACTGGGGACTCCTTTCGCCCTGTGTACAGTATCACATTATCCTGCTTGTTTTCTTCTTCCTTTCTCTTCACACTTTTAAATTAACTTGGGTTTATGTACAGGATGGATAGATCTATTTATATATATATGTATACCTACACTGCTTATTTTCTGTTATTATCACCTTCTGGAATGTTGCATTCATGAAGACAGGATATTTATTTCCAGCACATAGTAGATGTTCATTGGCTTTTTAAAGAAAAATACCAGTCATCCATCAACCATTTAGCTGGAAACCTAGTGGATGGCTCAGACTCAAGCATTTGACTTTTAAAATGTTTCAGGCACAGGTGATTAGTTGCTTATAAGTTAACTTATTTCACTCAAGTGATTTACTAGTAAAGCTCAAGATAATAGTTCAGCATGTGAATAATCAGAACTATTTTTTCTGGAAATGGGGATTTTTCAAATTCTGTTTAAAATTGTATTTTCCAGTACTTCCACATCTCTGGCATTGCAATTATTTCTCCATTCACAGTTGGTTTGTTCATTTGACACACTGAGTCCTGTTTAGCAGCTGCTAAGGACACAGAAATGAGCATGCTCTTTGTCCCATGGAGCGTACCATGTAAGACAGTCAAGTAAAGCAGTCCAGAGCTGTAAGTGCTGAGATTGGAGTTGATTACACACACAACCAACCCAGGTTTAGGGTGTCAGGGAGGACTAGCCAGAATTAGCCAATTGATGGAGAAAGGGATGACATTGGGATAAGCTTTGACAGAAGAGGAGTAAAGGTTTTCCAGGTAGAAAACATAGCCTATTGTGAGGATACGTATAATTTGGGAGAAATAGTTACAGCTTTGCATGGAAAGAGTAGAGATTGGTGTGAATGTGGCTGTGTAAGCAAGAGCCTGGCTGTGAGGTGACTTCCAACATGATCTTCTCCATTTAAAGAGCAATGACAACGCTTCGAAGGAATGCATCAGAATTTTAGGTGCAAATGGATCTTTTGATATATTCATGATTTAGGTCCAACTGGCCAGCCTACAGTTGCTTATCAGTTTCTGAAGTTGGAATAGAAAAGAGCATGGGAATGGTTCAGGACATGGGTGTTGACTTTTCAGGACAAAACAATCCCTGTTGATGTTTACAAAATCAAAGTATACAATATCTGACCCTGTTGACTAAATTGAGTGCCCCTCCCACACTCTGTTACCTTTTTTTTTTTAAGATTCATTTTATCTTTATTATCTTTATTCATTTTATCTTTATTCATTTAATTTTTATCTTTATCAGATATACAGAGAGGAAGAGAGCCAGAGAGGAGGCTCTTCCGTCCATTGATTCATTCCCCAAGTGGCCTCAACGGTCGAGATGAGCCAGCCAATCCACATCCAGGGGCCAAGAGCCTCTTCTGGGTCTCCCCATGGGTGCAGAATCCCAAGGCTCTGTCCTCTAATGCTTTCCCAGGCCACAAGTAGGGAGCTGGATGGGAAGCAGGTCTCCTGGGATTAGAACTGGTGCCCATATGGGATCTTGGCACATGCAAGGCAAGGGCTTTAGCTTCTAGGCTACTGTGCCGTGCCCCCAGTTATGCTTTTTAATTATACTCTATGCCCTATCTTAGGACAACAAGATCACACTATTCCGCCAGCTGCAGCAGATGACGTACAGCCTGATTGAGTGGCGGTCCCAGATACTGTCCGGGACGCTCCCCAAGGATGAACTGGCAGAGCTCAAGAAGAAGGTCACAGCTAAAATTGATCATGGAAACAGGTAAAAATGGGTGTTGACTTTTCACTAAAACCCTGAGAGGGAACAACAACCATGCTCATGCTGAGGAAATTGATCACAGTGAACTTGATTGGTGAACAGCTCCTGTGTTTGTGGAAGAGTAATGCTTATTTGCCCTCTTTTTGTCTTGAGACCACTTAATTTTGTTGAATAAAATTTACTGGTGCCTCTGTGGACCAGGTGCTATGCCTAATTTCCAGGAGAATGCAACTTCTATAGGGGATATCTTCCAACGCCTGGGACTATATCTGTTTGAATCTAATGGTAGATTTGATAGCAATATCAGACTCTTATTTCTCTCCACCTGGGCTAATTATTTACGACATGTGAAAATGAAAATTTCCAAGATAGGAGTAAAAAATGTTTATAACCTGTTGAGGACATCTACTTTGTAATTTTAAAAAATTAATCATTTTTTGATGATCAAGTTGCCAATGTTTCTGCCTTTTGGAAAATGAGAAATTTGTCCAAATTTAAGGTAGCCTGGATTCAGACTTCCCAACTGGCAGTTTTCAGGAGATAGGTGTGTCCTCAACTTTTGCTGCTGATTTTGTTTTTTTGATACTTAATTTTGTTTTCCACCTTTCTTCAACTTACGCACGTTTTATTTTTCCCATTTTTCTTTCCTTCTCCAAGCTTGGACATTTCAGTGATATGTTAAAATAAACCTCATTATCCTACTGATTTCAGTGTTAACCTCTGAAACCTATATTTAGAAATAGCGGGAATAAATAGGGTATACGAGATTTAGATTCAACCAGTATTTATGAAACATCCCCTTTTACTGTTCTTGTCATTGCTTGATTATAGTCCTGTGAATTAGCTGTTATTATTCTTGTTTTATGGGTAAGAAGCAGAGCAAAGTGAGCCCAGGATTAAATTCCAAGTCAATAGATAATGAATGGGAAAGCTTACATTTGAAACCAAAACTTTTTGCTCTGTAAGTAATGCTGCTTCTTGAGCATTGAGAATTAACAATTCCCTCTCTAATACTTGTCCATAACCGTAACAAGTGCAATTACATGGATTTAGAATGCATTTTAAAAAGCTAGCTGTGGGGCCCGGCGCGGTGGCGCAAGTGGCTAAGTCCTCGCCTTGCACACCCGGGATCCCATATGGGCGCCGGTTCTAATCCCGGCAGCCCCGCTTCCCTCCCAGCTCCCTGCTTGTGGCCTGGGAAAGCAGTTGAGGACGGCCCAAAGCTTTGGGAACCTGCACCCGCGCGGGAGACCCGGAAGAGGCTCCTGGCTTCGGATGGCATAATATCGGCCCATTGCGCTCCATCGGACGGAAGATCTTCCTCTCTGTATCTCCTCTCTGTATATCCGCCTTTCCAATGAAAAAATAATAAAAAAATAAATCTTTAAAAAAAAAAAAGCTAGCTGTGGGGCAGGAAGGCCAATACCTGTGATACATATATAGTTTCTTTTTGAGGGGTTGAGGGGGAGGCGTGTGCCCATATACTGACCTGGGGATCCCTCTCATTTCTAACATTGGCCAGTAGCGCCACGCGACAGGCAGAATGTGACTGAATTCCTCTCCCAGCCCTTGGAAGCAGATCAGGGAATGAAGCTGCTCTGTGCCAGTGTCTGAACAGCCAGTAAGCCAAGCTGCAATAGTCTGGGTGGCCTGTGGGTCTGGATACTGTGGAAAGGAAACTGTCAGATCAGATCAGTTGATGGAGATGCTGTGAAACAGGGAGGAGGGAAGTCAGTCATGTTTGGGCTTGGCTCATTTTGCTGTTATCCTGGTGCACTGTTGCTGTCTGGACATCCCCACTCCCAAATTGCTGGTGCCTGGAATGCATGCTGGCATGTGGATAACAGTGTCCTGTGTCAACTGTACTCCCCAGGTTCTTGGAGCTCAGCAAACATTTTTCTGTTGTGTGACAACTGAGCGCTGAAACCTTGGTGGGCAGGGATTGTGCTCATCACACAGCTCTTTTATTCCCATGCATGTGTCTATGTTTGACTTGACACAGCCACGTACGATACCTGTGCCTACAAGGAGAGTTAACATTTGTGGAGAGGCATGTTAGGTAGTATGTTAGGAGTTTTACATGCATTAATATCTTTAAATTCTCTACAGTCAGGTTTTGAAGAATTCAATAAATTACCTGGAGTTGCAGTGCTATTAAGATTCAAATCCTGGTTTAAATGATACCAGAGTTTATACTCTGAGATGGATTACAGGGTAGCACCAACCAGGCCTTACTTCACTGATCTGCTTTGTATCAGTCTTAAATTTGTTAATCAGGGAAAGCCCCAAAAGAATTGTGTCTTGGGTCTCTCGCATAGTTCCTAAATCAAGTCACAGGAGTTGAGGAGGAAGAAGTAATGGACTTTTATCAGATCAGCATCCGAGCCAATTTTGGTTTTTTCCTGTTGAGTTTCTGGGAACCACATTGCTCTATATACCTTTACAGAGTTAATGCTGACAGTATCCCACTAGTTTTCACACATTGCTGTTCTGTGGAAAGGAGAAGGAACCAAATGGAGAAAAGTCAGTGAGCTTTCTTAACTTGACTGGTCCAACACTTGATCTTGCTGGGAATCCTCTGGGTTCCTTGGTGAGGGTCCTTCTGGGAAGAGTTGCCCAGGTCGGGGAGAGTCAGCTGACCATCCTTTCTTTCTAGGATGCTGGGGTTAGATCTGGTGGTGCGAGATGACAATGGGAACATCTTGGATCCAGATGAAACCAGCACCATTGCTCTCTTCAGGGCCCATGAAGTGGCCTCAAAAAGGATTGAGGAAAAGATCCAAGAAGAAAAGGTATGTGGCTTCCAGTGTGCTGAGGTTGGCCACTACAACAACTGGTTTTATTTTTCCTACAGTGAGAGAAAGAGAATTGTTGACAATAGAAGTCACTATGTCCTCATTTTAAAAGTGGAACATTGTGAAAACATTGCGTGTGCTGATATGGAAGGATTGCAGATGCATAAGTGAAAAGAACAAGATGCAGAAGGATATGATGAAATACTAAAAAAATAATTCATATACATTGCTGCTTCTGTATGCGCAGGCTGACTCTGAAATGATAGACAAGAGCTTGATAATTAATAGATGCCTCTGAGAAAGAATTGGGTGTGAGAGAAGCTTTTCATTATGTGCTCTTCTATATTTTGTACACATGTTATGATTTACAAATCAAGTATAATAACATTGTAAAATCTATTTATTTGAAAGGCTGAGTTGGAGCCTGGAACTCCATATTTGTTCCTCATGGGTTGCAGGAGCCAAAATACATGATGATGATCTGCTGCTTCCTCAGGCACATTAGCAGGGAGCTGGATTAGAAGTTGAACTGCCAGGACTTGAACCAGTGATCAGATGGGATGCTGGAATCAAAAATAGCAGCTTAACTCACTGTGCTACCATGTTAACCCTTAAAATAAGATGAAAAAATACTTGATTTTGAAAACAGTAAATGGCAATTAAAGTATTAGAAAGATATAGGAGAAAGAGAAAGCTATGCGTGTTATAACTGCTCAAACCCAGCTGCGCTGATATTTGGGTATATTTTCCTTCTGTTTTTCTATTCTAATGTGAATAAGGATCTGATCATTTACTTTTGTAAGATTTGTGTTCAGTTCATTCATAGTTTTAATTGTGTTAGTGTAGCTATAGTAATACTTGTGTTTCTGAATCTGTGCCAAACCATGACTGAAGGCAGAGCCTTTGCAAAGCAATCTTCTGTTCCCAGTAGCAGTTACCCCTGAGAGAAGGTTAACAGATTATGGCTTTTGTGCTTTTTCTAAGAAGTACTGTGAGACAGTTATCACCTCTAGGCAGCATTTATCAAATTACCTGGGCCCAAGATCCTGCAAGGGACAGCCTTGGTCATCTAAATGATGATGGTTGTATTTGTTGTTCTCTGATCATTGGATGAACCCCTTTTCTGCCCTGTAGATATATTTCTTTGCAAGATATCCTATTTGCTGGAATCAACATATGTTTGTCCCTTTCCCTCTTTGTTCAGTCCATTCTACAGAACCTGGACTTACGGGGTCAGGTCATCTTCACTACCGTGCACACCTATGGCCTCTACGTGAACTTCAAGAACTTTGTCTGCAACATTGGGGAAGACGCAGAGTTGTTCATGGCTCTCTATGACCCAGACCAGTCCACTTTCATCAGGTAGCCAAGACCTGGGTCACCTGTGGCTGACTTTGCAGGAATGCTCAGCCTTAACCCCTGGCCCTTCTTTCCCTCCACTGCAGTAGCTCTTGGCTACGGTGGGGAAGGAAGACACGGGGGAGGGGAGCACTGCTAGGCAGTCGAAAGTGGATGCCTTTGGATCAGTAAAAGTTTACATATCACCGCTGGTCAGTGTGGCCTCAGTCTGTGTACTCTTAGGGATTTAAAGATCAAGTAAAACTTGTAATGATGTGGACAGATTCAGAAGACAAAAGGGGAGGGCTTGAATAGAGTTGAATGCACAGAGTACAGGGGATTTGCGGGGTATGGAAACCACTGTGTATGACAGTATAATGGCAGAGATGGCCATTACAAATGCACAACATCCAGAGTGAAACTAATGCAAACTGTGGGCTCTGGGGGACATGATGAATTCCTGATAGTAAGAAATGCACTGTTTTACTGCAAGAAACGAGTGAAGGAGGCTGTATGTGTGTGCAGAGACAAAACACATGGATATTCTCTGCACTTTCAGCTCATCTGTGCCTCAACCCAAAACTGCTCTGAAAATACATATATGTGTGTGTATATTAAAGCAAGGTCATAGGGAATGATAATGGTTGTTGTGTAGACCTAGAACAGCTAAGAAAGCATAGATTTATTTGGAGAAGCTGGATGAAAGAAATTCCTGAAGAAATGCTTGTATTTAAAAATAGTGTTTTGGAATATAGCAATGTGTATTGCAGGAGATGCATTGGAATGCCTATTCCAAAGTTAAATTCTTGATGAAACAAAGTTGAAACTTTTACAAAAAGAATATGAGATGGAAGGAAGAACCCAGAGAGGTGAATCCCATGTAATCTGCTGTGCCTATGCCTCTCTGGGGTGTTACATGGGGAGTGCCCAGGATAGCTGCAGCACAAACTCCTCTCTAGAACCTGGAGACCCGTGTTGGTCCAGCCATTTGTGTGGTCCCAGTTCTGTCCTCTACCACCTGCCTGTGGATGTCACTGAGCATCTCTGGTCCTGAGGATAGCCTCTATTCCCACGTGGCTTCTCATTAAGAATCATTTGTTCTTTCTTTTTTCCTTTACCAGTGAGAACTATCTTATTCGTTGGGGCAGTAATGGGATGCCCAAGGAAATAGAGAAGCTTAACAACCTTCAAGCAGTGTTTACTGTAAGTTCTACCTTCTTGGAAATAGTTTGTTTATGACATTAACAGTTACACATAACAAATAAATGGAAAACAAACAAAAAAAGTAGAAAGAGGAAAAGAAAAATCAGAATTTCCTTTGAAGGCATAACATCACATATCTTTTAGAAGATTATCTTCCTGTTTACAAAGCATTTATTTATTTGAAAGGCAGAGAGAGAAAGAGAGAGATCTTCCATCTGCTACTTCACTCCCCAAATGGCCAAATGACCAGGACAAAGCCAAGAGCCAGGAACTCCATCTGTGTCTCTCCTGTGGGTGTCGGGGGCCCAAGTACACAGGCCATCATCCACTGCTTTTGCAGGCGCATTAGCTGAGAGTTGGATCAGAAACAAAGCAGCCAGGACTCAAAGTGTTGCTCTAAAGGAAATGTCAATGTTGTAAGCTGTGGCTTCACTTGAGTGCTACAGCACCAAACCCAACCCCTGCTTATTTTTTTCAACAAATATTTACTGAGCACAAATATTTATTGTGTTCTCTTCACTGGACGAACCCCTTTTCTGCTCTTTAGATGGATTTCGTTGCATCCATGAACAATCTGAGAGAAACATAGCTCCTCACCTTGCTTTGGTTGTGATGGAGAAGATGGGCCTCTCATCCAAGCACTACTAACCAAGACCCGACCCTGCTTAGCATCCAAGATCAGACTAGATCAGTCACAGTCAGAGTGGTATGCCCATAGATGAGAAGATAGGTGGTAAGCAATAGCCACATGAATATGTAGCGTATGTAGAGACATCTGTGGGAAGAAACAAACCAAGTGAGAACTTGAAGTTGACCAGCAAGGGGACTGTACAGATAGCGGGAGGAGAGCATTCCTGATAAAGGTCACAGGGGGCAGGAGCTAAATGATCGTCTAAGAGTGGATTAGAAAGGGCTTTACTTTACACAGACCACTCCTTGACCACAGAGATGGATCCAGCTGGAGTTTGGGGCATGGTCTCCATTTTTCTTTCCCCCTCACTCTCCCCCAGGCTAGGAACTTATTGGGTATTCTTTTACTTTTTTATGACTTCAGCATTTAAAGTACCCTCCACAGCGGCCAAGCCTTCTGTGGGAAACCGTGGTGGGTGGGGATTACCAGATCCCATGGGGACCAAAGGAGGGGTTCTTCTCTTCAAGTCCATTTGTGTGTTATCTCCTTGTTCTCTTAGCTACTTATGGCAAGGAAAACAGAGGCAGCTAGTACTGAAGGAAATGACAGGGAGCTGTAGTCTTGGGATAAGCTCTTTCTGTTCCTGCTGTTGATATTCCACCCTTAGGATGAGCCTGGACAGATTTCTGACCTCACCATACCCCAGCCCAACTGTGGCTTCACCACCTGGCAAGTACAGGCGTAAAAGACCCAAAAACCTTCTTGAAACCCTCCTGATCTGCAACACACACAAAATATTTCCTCAGCTGTAAGATAGGTAGGATTTTCTTATAAAATCAGAAATTATCCGTCTGTGCATATTTTAAAAAAATCATAAGCTGACTTACCACACATTGCATGTGTATGTATTGCCTTATCACATTGTAAACCATAAGTAAATAGTTTATAATAAAAAGAAACAGCATGAGAAAAAAATTTAAATTCATTTAAAAAGTATTATTGGGACAGGCATTGTGGTGCAGCAGGTTAAACTGCCACTCGTGAGGCCCCTATCCTATTGGAGTGCTTGGGTTGCACTGCCAAGCCAGCTGCTTGCTAAGACCACCATAGGAGGCAGTAGGTGATGATCTGAGGGCTTTTAATCCTTCTACTCCTGTGGGAGACTGAATGGAGTTCCTAGCTCCTGGCTGTTGGAAGCATTTGGAAAGTGAGTCAGCAAACAGAAGATACCTTCTCTCTGTCATTCAGTTAATTAATTAAACATCATTTTTATAAAGTATTATTGAGTTTTTACTCTTTCTGCTAATCAATATCATTTTTAAATAGTTGCAGTTTATCTTTCCCCACTTTATTTCCTCAATTAGAGTCAGCTTTTATACAAATTTCAGAATCAGTTTTTTCTACTCAATAAAGTACATGGACCATTTCCTTGGTGATTCTTCAATAATTTCTCTTTTAAATGATTATGTTATCTAATAATATTAATGTGTCACATTTTATATAACTGGCCAATAGTGTCTTTTTTTTTTTTTAAATAACTGAAGCCTTGCAGAGCCTAGAATAGAAATTGAGGGTGGTTATGGCAACTGATAAATATTCCTATTTTGGCAACCCAAGTTAACTCAATTACAGGGGATGGATTTGGAGTGATTATTTGAAAAGTCATTCTTGACCAGCAGAGAGGTCTTGGGATCTGCTTCATGCAAAGAATTTGAGAAGTTGTGAGTGAATATGCGAGCTCATTCCTGTGTTCACTCACCCTTCCTTGAGAATACAAACTAGTGTAGGACATCAGCCACAGAAATCACAGATGTTCAAAATGCCCATCCCTGATGTTTAATACATACCGAGAGATCCTCTGTGGATGCTGTAAATGCCCTTAGGAACAAAGTGAATAATTTACAGAAATTTACATGTCTGTACTCTGAGGTTCCTCCCAGGTTTGTTCTGAAGAAGAAAGGAAATGTCACAGGCCTGTGTGGGGTCCCCGATAAATGTCAGTGTCATGCAAGTTTTTATTTCATTTGATACTGAAATGCATTCTTTCCTGAAACAGTATGAAGTAACAGTGGTGAGGGCCCTATTTTTTAAAATACCTGCTTACATGGATTTGGTAGGGGTGTAGACTGATCTGGTTTGGAAAATTGAAATACAAACTGAGGGACAAAAATTGTTTTTGTTTTGTTTTGTTTTAATGAAAATGAAATCACTTTCTGTAATTCCCATCAGCGTTCAGAGATGGTTATGGAGAAGAATCCTATTTCAGCGTGGGGGAATGGCTCCTGGGCTGTGAACAGGGTGTGTGTGGTAGAGATCAAGGAGCAGTAAAGATGACAAGGTGACCCAACCTGACCTCTCTAACATGTTCTCTTCTGGCCACTTCAGGACCTCAGCAGCACGGACCTCATCCGGCCCCGCATTAGTCTTGTGTGCCAGATCGTCCGGGTAGGCCACATGGAGCTGAAGGAGGGCAAGAAACACACCTGTGGGCTGCGAAGGCCTTTCGGAGTGGCAGGTAAAAGACAGAGACCATTGTGGAGTGCGAAGCTGCTTGGTTCAAACCTCAGGTCCTTCCAAGAGGCCCTTAGGGTCCTTCCTTTGTTGTTTGTTGAATTTGCATTAAATAAATTGATTTGAGGTTTTACATTGACATTTTGGCATTGACATTAGTTTGAAAATCATCAGTGAAATGTCCTGGTGCTCTTAAAGAAGATCCCAGATACTCCACTTCTCAGAGGTGTTGGGTTATGTGGGTATTGAGGCAACCTGTGTACCCTGCCTGCTGCTCAGAGGGGGCAGTGTTACTTCTTTTTTTTCTTTTAAGTTTTATTTTTGATGATTTTTACATAATTTATTTGGGTGGGTGAAGAGATAGAGGAGAGTGAGTGAGACCATTCTTTCCGCATTCTCTTTTTCCCTTCATCTTTGTGTGAGAAGGGGAGAGATAAGGGGAGAAACCACACCCAGCCTCCCATCTGCCTCCATACCCTGGGATGGGGGGCAGCCATCTGATGTGGGGCATGCTCTGAGAGTCCCACTGAAGTGGTTTTTGGTGGTTTGACAGTTCTGAATGAATTGCTGTCGATCTTGCCACTCCAAGCACAATGAAATCTCTCCGAAATCTACTGGCTGACATAGTCCACCTGAGTCTCTATTTGGCCAGATATTCACTGCCAACACTTGGCTGGGGTAGTTGATCAATTTGTTCTGTCCTTCATCTTCTGTTATGGTACCAGATGTCCTCGGCAAGTTCTAATGTGGCAGTGTTGCTTCTTTATGGAGAAAAGTAAAACATACCTCAAGGAAAAGGCATGGAGCCCTGTCCCAGTTGTATTTAGTCATTTATATGAGGCTTAATTCATTTATTGCTTCATAAAAGAAGGCTATTTCATTCTGAATAGGTCAAAAAGACTCTAGCAACAGGCTGAATGCTTTGGCTTACTTTTCTGTTTCAGGGATATATATATATACACACATATACACATTCATACATATATACATGTGTGTGTGTGTGTGTGTGAGTACATGTGCCTAAGAGTGTGTGTACAGGTATATGTGTGTGTGTAGAAGAGTGTATAAATATGTTCAGGATGTTGAGTGTAATGGGAGTAGAGAGTCGACTAACTTACTCTGAGGCTTTTGATACCAAGTGTCAGCAGAGGTCCGGAATGATTAGATGATGGCATTGACAAATGAACTGCCTATTTTTGGAGATCCAAAATTGCAGTGTTTTGATGTGATCTTTTTCAGGCTTCCATTAGGGGCTGACAAGACATTGAATGAGATGCCCTGCTTTCTATGCCTTCTTAGCTCCAACAACTATTACTCAAGCCTTTAAATAGTGGGGCATGTGGTACTTTAGAGAGAACATTTTAATCTCTGAGCTTATCATCTGGGGGAGTATGTTACAAAATGGGTGTTTTGTGGCCAAAAGGACCACCTCCTTCTGGGGACTCTGCCTAATTTCAGGAGCTTTGGAGTGGATCAATTATTAATTCCCTAGACACCTGAGCACAATGTGGTTGTGTAATCTGATGTTACCACTTAAACAACTGAGAACCAGATGCTTCATTTTCTGTGCCTCAATTTCCTCATCTCTCCAAGTCGGGCAAATAATTCCTATATACATGGAATGAGACCTGCAGTACACTTAGGGAAGCACTTATTCTGTGTTTTTATATGAGAAGGAACAAATCACTCCCTGCTACATTTTGTGCTCCTGGTGCCTAGATTTATGTGGAAACCAGGTGAGCAGCTATCTCATCAGACGGTCAGCCATACCAGCTCCCACGTTTTTGTCCTGCTAAAAGTACGGTTCACTAGGTACGCACTTACTATAAGGTATTCTGAGTTCCAGTTTCTCAAGAATTTAGCAGCACTGTCTTACAGAAGTTTTAAAGGGTTTTCTCTGCAAGGGAGATCTGGGAAAATCCAAGCCCCATCCTGAACACCTCAAGAGTTGCTCTTTTGCAGAGCTGGGTACAGCAGGGAAGGACGATTGGTGAGAGCATACAAGGACAGTCTCTGCTTGGTATCTTCCTTCCTTGCTTCCTATTGGCCTCTGCCATAGTAACCTACTGAGACATGAAGCATATAGTTTCTCTAATTATGTTTATCTTTTTCCTAGTGATGGACATTACTGATATCATACATGGGAAGGTGGATGATGAGGAAAAGCAGCATTTTATTCCCTTTCAGCAGTAAGTACTTTGGCATTTATCTCAGGTGACTGGAGAGCTGGACTTGACATTCAAATAGCGTGCTAATGTTGAAACAGGTGCCAGGATCTATTTTCCCACTTTAGGGAAGGAAAAACTTCAGCTAGAAAAGCTCAGCTTCGTACTGGACAGAAGGCTTTATTCATGTAAAAGGTTAAATAGAATATTCTCAATTGCATTGGCATCCCCAAAGGAATTTAAAACAAAAGGCTTGTGTGCACCTACACTGATGCTGTTTAGGAGGTGAGAGAGGGAAGGACTGATAGACCATGGGTTAGGCATTCAGCAAGGGGCTGCTCTCCCCTGGAGAGCATTCACCAGCTTCCCATTATTGAACTATGGGACTTGGAACTGTATTTGCACCAGTCAGGAACCTGAGGCCAGTACGTGTCAGTCCCAAGGAGGTATAGGAGTGACCTTCTTGCCCCCTGCACAAGCGGCAGTGATGCTGTCCTGACTGGCTGCTTTCAGGAACTGCCTGCTGGGTAGATAAGTGTGTAAATGCTGTGTGAACAAGTGTGTACGAGTCTTCTAAGTATATGAAAATTGCATAGGTATACATAGAAATAGGCTGAAATATTTCTGAATAAGGTTTAATTTTGCTTAATTAAGTTTTAAAATAATATAAGGAATACACAGTGGTTGGATGGATATAAGGAAATGTATTATCTGTTACTTATAGGAAGTTATTACAATGCATTAAAAGCCTTAACATTTAGATACTTCAAAAAGTGTACTCCATAACTAACAATGACCATTTCTAACCTTGGATACTTTTACTTTCTTTTGTATGGTTTCTAGTTTTTATAAATAATCATGTTTTATGTACAGTTTTAGTTTAATGTCAAATCCTCATCTTCCCATTTGAAATCCAATCCCACTGAACTGGTTTCTATATATAATGGTACATATAGCTTCTGCTAAGTGGTACTTCCCTCTTGTATTCTATGTAATTATTTTTTTTTAATTTTTATTGGGTAATTATTTTTTGAGTATGCACTTAGCTGCTACACCTGTGTGCTGACTTTATAAGCATATAGTGAGCCAAATACTATTACTTAGTGCCAATATAATTTTGAAGAAATTTCATGCCCATGAGTACTGCACCTGTTAACACATCCACTGTCAACATACAGTGCTATGTATAAATATGGATTATGTAACATTTAACTATATTTAAATCACAGTGAATACATAGATTGAATTTAATACAGTATTAGTTTAACACATTAAATTTGAGTTGTAAATATATTGAACCAAATTAAGACATTAATATGTGCTATAAAAATAAATTTACATACAAGTCTTACATGTATGAATGCTGCCCTATTATATTTACATGCTTTGTTATTTTGCAGGTAGTCTGCATGTGTGTGTGAGAGAGTGAGTTGAAGCGGCATTCATGATTGTGAAATTTACCTAAAATAGACATCCACATATTCGTTTCCACCTTTGTGATGAACCAGTTCTTGTCTGGTCTCATCAATGACTTGTCACAACAATGAGCCCTGCGATTATCTCCTCTGTACAATAATACGTGCTTGGAATTTCCAAGGAATCCAGCCCTAATTTGGTTACTTACTCACTGTGCAGCCAACAGCCACTGTAAAATGTTAGTGCAAATCGTGGCTTCTGGTATTTAATTTCTAGGGTTTATGGAGAGTGCCTTCATAACCTATTTCAAATGCTGTGTGTTTTTTTCCACTAGGGAGGTAATGTGTATATTCTACTGATCTGCCTAGGGTAGACAGCTCAGGTTAGAGCAGTGCCAATCTCGTGCCACATATTGCAGTTTCATTAGAAAGCTGGTCTGTGTAGGAAGCAGAAAAGACAGAGGGTAGATCTCTTCCAGCAGACTGATAGGAGCTGATGATAGCTGATCTCAGTGGTCAGCAGCATGGGGTTATGTTGGCTTCCTCGAGCCCATTTTGTGTGCTCAGCCTAATGTGATCACGCAAGTGGTGCTTGTATGCTGGAAACATGGGGTCACTCAGGGACCAAGGGAGACTGAATGGACCTCACAGTCTGGTCTGGTAGAGCTTGCCCATTCCACAGTCATTCAGTTCCTTCCCAGCAGCCAGCAGCCTCTTTCATCCAGGAAAGAACGTAGATCTTTGGGTCTGATTTTCTTTAACATTTGGCTGTTTATTTTGTTTGTTCTTGAAATTTCTTTTTCTCTTTGCTTTAAATGATTTGCAGGAGCAATTTAATATTTAACTATATTTAAAGCACAGCGATAGAGAAACAATGAGAAAATTAAGAAAAGATAGTTTCACAAGACAAAATCACAACAGTTTCATTTGAAGATCTTAATGGTCTAATTTTTTTATTCTACAGTTGGGCAATACTTCATTCCATGTGTTCCTATGAGCGGCAAATAGAAGACTTTGAGTTTCATAGTCCAAAAACAATAATGGATCAGCCATTTTAAACTTAATTTTTTTGTGGGGGCAGAAATAGGGGTACAGAACAGTAGAAAAATAACTAATGAACCTCAGGTTGCCTTTTTTGTGAAAAAGATTAGAAAACTTACTTTAATGCCATTTAAAACCATCTGGAAAATTTGGCTGTTACCTCTTTCATCCTGGTTTCTGAAGAAGTCAGATAAATGGCTTGGTTTCAGTTTGATAACATGGAATTTAGCAGGAATGACTTCATTTTGATTTTTACCTTGTCAGTTAATAGACTTGACCCCAAATTATTGTTCCCTGTAATTCGTTTTTGACAATAGAAACAACCCTCTCCTAGGTGCCTTTTGAGTTTATGCTTCCAGATTATTCCTATCAAGGCACCACCATTCAGGATTAATTATGCCCTCAAATATCCCTGCTTACCTCTTTTCTGTTTCTCAGAATTGCTATGGAAACCTACATCCGGCAGAGGCAGCTCATCATGTCACCCTTGATAACGTCACATGTGATTGGAGAGAATGAGCCACTCACGTCAGTCTTGAATAAGGTGATAGCAGCGAAGGAGGTGAATCACAAAGGACAAGGTACACAGCCCTGTGTTCTGAGTTAAGAGAGAACTTGGTGTTAGGCTTGGTGTGTACAGAGCCAGGTTCTTGGACTCTGGCCATATCATTAATTTTCTCTGATACCAAACAGCCTCTGTTGGGTTAGGGACGTCAGATCCCGGGGGTTAGATGCTAAAACTGAGAATGCACTTAAGAGTACATTGGATCACAATAAAATTTGACAGATGTATGGAGCTGTTTATAGATAAAGAAATAAATCTTTTTAAAAAGGGGGGGGCGGTATATGAAAGGTATAGTGACAAAGAGAGGAATCATGGCAGGGAGAGAGCCTCAGCTTATGCTTCACTCCCTTAAATGTTGCCAGCCTCCTGGACTAGACCATGTGGAAGCCAGGAGCCAGCAATTCCGCTCAAATCTCTCCCAAGGCTGGATAGCAGGACTTCTAGACACTGATAGGAATGAGGCTATCCCACATGGTGACTGAGTTGACTGACACAGCAGCCACCCTGAATAAATTTGTATCCCCTGAGTCTGTCCTTACCTTTATCTACCTTACATTTACAATGCAGACTCTGTGTAAATGCACAAAGAGAATCGGGAATAATTATGTTGTTTTACCCCTGAATACCTTTGTTCCATTTCCTAAAATTGTCAGGAAGGAGAGCCAAGAAACAAGAGTCAAGTATTAATATAAAATAATTGGGGGAATCTTTGCTAGTTAACTGAGAATTTCTCCTTGTTCTAACTGCCTTTTAAATTCAGATAATAAGAAAAAAAATAATTAAAATTTTAAAATTCAGGTGCCAAGATAGTGACCATCTTTGGATGATTTTCAAGATTTTTGCCTTTTTTTTTTCATTATGCTCTGAACTGTGTTCTGCAGTAAACATTTCCTTTTCAATATGTGCAGTTTCTATGTACTCTAAGCAATCATGAGTAGAGAACACATGAGAGGAAGCAGTAAAGAAGCTGAAAAAAATCAATTTACTTAGCAGCTCTAACCTAGGAACATAATTTGTTGGAGAAGAAAATCTTTACACTAGATAAATTACTATATGTGATAATTGCTTTACAGAACTGAAAATAACATTGTTTAGAAACAGAGCAAGCACTTTTCAAATGTCTTATGAACTTTGTAAATATTTTTGTGGCTACATGATACTCCATTGCTTAGATTCGCAAAGTTTAAATCCTGTACATGAACATTGGAGTGATTTGTAAATTGTCATTGTCAGTGTAAATAAATGTTTGTCAACTATAATTAATATTCAGCTTTTTTCTGAATGTGGGACTGACTATCTTCCTAAATTCCTCAAAGTAGAGTTCTGGGATCTCTGGGTGGCAGTAGGATTGTAGCTTGAGGTTCGGTGTCTGCATAGTGCGCCCAGTGGGCCCTCATTACCATGCCATGTTGTCCTGCTGACCCCTTGCCTTCACTGCAGACAGATATTTGGAAATCCTCCCTCACTTGAAAGATGGAAAGTAGACTCCCATTATCCTATTGTATTTGTGAAGACTGCTTGAGCCTTCTCTGTGCATTGAAGAGTTTCCTAAATTTGCCCTTCTCAGATATCAAAAACTCTTTATGAATGAATGACAATAGTAATCATATAACATACACTTTTTTCCGTTTTTGGTTTGCCCAACATTTATAAATTTCTTGGGCTTCTTTATGAATTAAATATATTCATGTCTTGTTATTTGTGGAGAACTTTTATTTTCTTCTAATGAGTATGTTATTCATGATTTCTTAAGTATTTCACTGTATTGTGGCATACTTTACATTTCCTGTTATTTTGGCAGTAGTATCATTAAAATTTTGTGTTAACAGGGAGTGAAATTAATGTGGTATCTTGCTATTATGTAACTCAAGTTTTTTTCTCAACATTGATGTGTGTGTATTGTACAGTTAAGACAAAAACATTGAAAGTTTCTCCTCTCTCTTTAAAGGACTTTGGGTTTCCTTGAAGTTACTGCCAGGTGATCTCTCACAAATTCAGAAGAATTTTTCCCATTTGATTGATAGATCAACAGCAATAGCTCGAAAAATGGGCTTCCCTGAAATTATACTGCCAGGTAAACACTCTGCGTGGCTCACCTGTTTTACTTTCCCCATCCAGGTAACTGAAAACCAGAGAGCAGAACTGCAGTAAGGATTGACTGCAGTCCAGTGGCAGCTGATCCAAGGAAATACAAACAGGGTTGCCTATTTGTACCGTAAAAAGCTAGTCAGTGTGTAAGCTCAAAATGATGTTGGATGATGTAACACAACTTTGTGCTCACTCTCTTCGTCTCGGCGCAAACCCTTCCCGAATGCTTGCTTAGCCTCTGTTCAGGAGAGCAAATGACAGCACAGAGATCTCAATCCAGGCAGGAAGAGGCGTTGCTAGCGTCCTGCTGCCCCCACACTGTGGGCTCCATGCTGCGTTCCAAGTTTGGGAGAGCCTCTGCTCTGGCTTTCCCTGAGCTTTTGGTGACACGGAAGTCAGTGGCATCTAATCTGCATGTAGTAAGGGGAAATCATTCCTTCAAGGATTTTATGAAATGGATTAACATAAACTAACTGAAATTATTGAAATATTAGCAAAGCACCCAGGCCCTTTTAGAAAAATTCTAAAAGACCCGCTTATTATTGCATAAAATTCAGAATCTTTATTTTTTAATATATTTGATTTATTTACTTTTTGAATTGATTATTAGAGTGGCTGGCCATGGTGGCTTGGCAGCTAATCCTCTGCCTACAGCATATGAATATATGTGCGCTGGTTCATGTCCTGGATGCTCTGTATCCCAGCCAACTCCCTGCTTATGGCTTAGAAAAGCAGTGGAGTATGAGCTAAAACCTTGGGACCCTGCACCCAGGTGGGAAACCTGAAGAAGCTCCTGGCTTCAGACCAATCCTACTCTCTTGTGACCATTTGGGGAGTGATCAAGTGGGTAGAAGATCTCTCTCTCTCTCTCCCTGTCTCTCCCTCTGGCTCACTCTCTGTAACTCTTCTAAGTAAAAACAAGTAACTCTTAGAAGTAGAGATTTTAAAAAATGGGAGGAAGGTAGGAAGAGGAAGAGAGACAGGGAGAGAATTCACTAGTGCACTCTTCAAATTCTTTCAGCATCTTAGCTAGTCCAGGCCAAAGCCAGGAGCCAAAAATTCCATCAGAATCTCCCACTTGTGTGGCAAGAACCCAAGTACTTGGCCATCATCTGCTGCCTCCCAGGTACGCTAGCCCGAAGCCAGATCACAGGTGGAGACAGGACTTCATTATGGCCCTCTGACACAGGATGTGAGTTTCCCAAGTAGCTGTTTATCCTGCTGCCCCCAAAATCAGTTTTTTTTTCAAAGTAATGTATGATCTTACTCCTTTAATAAATGAAGGGTTGATCACAATTTGTTGCTGCATACATTGTCTGCATGTAATGTGTATGAAATGGGATGATATATTCTGATTTTTTCATAAAATCAAATAGCACTTCATCTGCTTATTTCTTCCTTTCCAAAGCTGCTTTATCCTAATGCATATTCATCAACATTCTAGGGAAATTTTGTCTTCTTTTGAAAAAAAGAAAAGAGAAAAAATCTCATTGTGAAAGTTCCCACATAAAGGCAACTTTACTGTTAAGAGCAAGACAGGAATCTGAAAACAACAGAGAAATTTATTCCTTGAACAAGGCCAGTTTGGCTTTGAAATGTGTCTTGAGCAAAGGAATTTAAGATTCTATCAATAGGATTGGCTCATAGAAAGCCCCAGTTAGCAGGCTTTCAGGTTCTCAAACAGTGGTTCCCAGTGTCAGTGTGTGGTTTACCTAGGTAGTCAGAATCACTTGGGAGACTAAAACACAGATTCTCAAGTTTTTTCCAGAGACTGACTGGGGTTGCCTTAGTGTTTTGGTGATAAGCCAGGTCAGAGTAAACCCCCTCAGCTTGGAGCTCCCACCCATCACTCTGCTCTCCATGCACCTGCCTCCTAGGCCAGGTATTCTGCTGTCATGGTCTCAGATCACTAGAAGTTATGTTTTCACTCCGTTTATGAAGCAACAGTCTCTCCTGGTGCTCCAGCCTCTGCAGAGTGGCTCAGGAGCTTCCTTTCTGATTGCAGGGTACCCCTCACTTTGCCTTTTTTTTTTTTTTTATGTTTCTCTGAGGCCACTGTTAGAATTCCCTTATCATCTTCTCTCTTGCCTCTCAATAATGAATTTTCTCGATATTGGATCTGGAAACTAAGTTCACTGTTAGTAGACCACCCTACCACTGCACCATAGATTGGGTGACTTAAAAAGCATAAATGTATCTTCTCACAGTCCTTGAGGCTGGAAGTGTGAGGCCAACATGTGGCAGAGTAGGTTTCCCTTGAAGTAATAGCTGGCCTAGGGGGTAGGTGCCTGTCAGAATCAGATACCCATTTTAGAGCCACTTTTGCAATACTGTGTATTTTCCTTAAGGAATTGGCTGTACCTTTCAATTATCCCACTTTTCCTGCTCGTTCCTCAGTAACGTTTGCATTTTTTTCTTCACTGTGAAAGATATATATTATTAATTAATTTTATATGTTTTTCTAGTTATTCAGAAAAGCAGAACAAACTATTTTGACATTAATATGAATGGACTTATTTAAATACATACCAAGTACTCCCTAGGTGTTCAGAAATAGTGTTTTTCTCATGATGCTGTTCTGTGGGTGAACAAATTATTCTGTAATATGCTTAATTGGTACATATAACACACTTTTTCCAGAACCTGCTACATATTGAGTTCTCACAAGTTTCCTTCATTATTCCAAGCTATGTTTAAAATTTCACATTCCTTCCAAGACACTATTGAAAAAACAATATGCCACTAGAAGACAAATATTATATGAACTTATTTTTGGCAGCAGTAATTCATACAACAATGCTTTATTGCTGAAAAGAGTTAATTTCAGAAAAAAAAACTTACATTGCAAAAACACACAAGAAAGGCAAAATGAGGCAAGTTGAAGAAAAAATGATGGCAGCTGTAATCAGAAAATCCAAAATCCATAAATGGCCTGTATCCAGAACTTTTTAACTGCTGATACAGTGTCCCAGGTAAAAAAATCCAAATCATAACTTTGGTTTCATGCACAAAATTATTTAAAATATTGTATCAGGATGTCATTGGGATTTGTGCATAATGTGCGTATGCAACATAACATTTTGTGTTTATAGTTAGCTGTCATTTGCAAGAAATCTGATTATGTAGAAGTTTGTAGGCACATATTCTAAAATACTAAATGACTCCAAAACATTTTGTGTTCCAAGCTTTTTGAATACGAGAAACTGAACCTGTTTTGCATAAAAGATTTATGGTCTATATAGTTCATTAAAAAGCCAGGCCATTTTATATCTTATTAATCTTTCATGTCTCGTTGCATCCTGAATGTTAAAAATGACTCCTCTCAGCAGTACTCAAAGGATAGGCTGTCATGTTGCAGGAGATGTTCGGAATGACATTTACATCACCTTGATCCACGGGGAGTTTGACAAAGGGAAGAAGAAGACACCCAAGAATGTAGAGGTGACCATGTCTGTGTTCGATGAGGAAGGCAACCTCTTAGAGGTGAGTGGTGACTGTCAGGAACCCTTCTGTACAATTACAATTGATTTCTTGTCCAATCTGAATTCTCCACATCAGGGTGAGTTTTGTTGTAAATTGGACTCTTTCTTTCATATGTTCCCTGGGTTAAGAAATGGCTCCAACCCTTAATGATTGCAGATGTGAGCTGCAGGTTCTTTGTGATGGTTAAGACATTTAACCACTTTCAAGCTCGATGAGTTGGGTTCTCTGGCACTTGAATGGGAATGTAGAAGTGCTTCTAGGGAGTTGAAAGGCGCATAGTGTTTAGCTGGGTGAATAGAACCAAAGGCAACGTGTCCATCAGAGAATAGTTAAACCAAGATCCCTAAAGTGGAAGATATCTGCCACTACTCTTTAGTTTTAAGAATCCGGAGACTGGAAAACAGAAGTTATGGCAGTTGTGTGTGTGGATCCAAGTATCCTGATGTCCAGTCCAGAGGCCTTCTGTTTGATAACTTTTTGCCATATGCAGAAGCATACCTTCAGTCTGACAACAAAGAGAAGAAGTAGGGGTGGTTTTAAGAAGCCTCCATGCCAGGTGGCACCTAACTCCTCTTGGATGAGCCAGTGTTACCTGCAATGAAATCCAAGAATCACTTCTTGGTTCGCTCAACTCACAGAGTGTCTACTGCAAAAGGGTTTGAGGGCACATTGAAGTAGTAGTATCTGTCACTCCCTAGGGATGTTCCTATATACAAGGAAGAGATACCCGGTTTACTGGGTTAAGTCATAGTCCACGTCATGGGGAGCAACAGAATGTTATGGACCATGGTATGGGACTTACTTGTGCTGTTGATGGAGGCTGAATCCCTTGAATTCATTTCAAGTACATGTCTTATTCTGGTTAATTTCATGGCTTTACTAACCAGGTTGAAGGTGCTGCATCAAGGCCTGGTTCTACTCAATTAGATGGTTTATCACTAGGAAAAGATTCAAGATAGGCCTGAGTGTGAGTGAACCAACTGCACCAGTATATCAGATCTCTAAGGCAGAATTTGGCCAACAGGAGAAATCTCAAACAGTGGTGCATCTGCCTGTGTGACCTAACTCCCTGTCACCATCACTTGGGCTCTGATTCTAGAGAGAGAAAATAAAAAGAAAGATTAAAGAGCCTGGGGATTTAAGAGAGAATTAGTTACAGCAAACAAGGTGTTCGTACGGTTCTGGGTCCCTTAAATGCTATCAGATTTACACACAGACCCTTCAGTAAAGGGGTAGAAAATCAGCTTTCTTTTGCTGATTTTGCCCGAGATTAGATCATTTTACAGATGTATGGGTGAGACACATTAGCGAAAGGCCTCATAGGACTTCTGCTTTACTGGACAGTAATGTTGCTTCCTAATTTTTCTATACCATCCAAAGAAAGCAGTCCATCCAGGAGCTGGCTATGAAGGTGTTTCAGAATACAAATCGGTGGTGTATTACCAAGTGAAGCAGCCCTGTTGGTATGAGACTGTCAAGGTGAGAATTCACTATGTGCAACCCAGACATCTGTTGAACGTCATGGTAGATTCCCATCTTCTCCTTAATTGAAAACCATTCTTAATATGTATGGAAGTTTTTGTTAACTTCTCCCTAGGGTTACAATAATTATAATTATTTTTTAAAATGTTATGTTTCATTGGAAGATAGAGTTATCGAATGAAGGAAGGAAGGAAAGAATGGGGGAGGGGAAGAGTGGTTTACTCCCACAATGGCTACAACAGCTGGGCAGACTGGGCTGGGCCAAGCCAAAGCCAGGAGCCAGGAGATTCCTACGTCTTTTGTGTGGGTGTGGGAACTAAAGGACTTGGTCCATCTTCCACTGGTTTCCCAGGGAGCTGGATTGGAAGTGGAGCAGCCAGTACCTGAATTGCGCTAACATGGGATGCCAGTTTCTTAGGCAATTGCATTACTTCCTATGTCACAGCTGTAATACTGTATAAGAACATTGGGTTTTTTTCAAATTAAAAGATTTATTTGAAAGGCAGAGTTCAGAGAGTGTGTGTATGAGAGACAGATCTTTCATCCACTGGTTCGCTCCTCGAATGGCGTGATGGTCCAGGGCTGGATCAGGACAAAACCAGGAGGCAAGATCTCTTGCTAGTCTCCACATAAGTCACAGGGTTGCAAGCACATGGAACATCTTGCCCTGTTTTCCACGACACATTAGTAGGGTGCTGTATCAGAAGTGAAATAGCTGGGATTCAAACCAATGTACATATGATAGCTTAACCTGCTATTGCAGAACACCAACTTCAAAAACATTTATGTTTAATAAATTCATCATTCTTAACTTTCTCATTTATAAGCATATAGAAATTTGAATAAATTTGTGGTTATAATAATGCAGATGGCTGTCAAAACAGTGCAAAACCAGACAGATTTTCACATTCTGCAAGTGGTTTCCTACCATTTTCTTTCTTTGTCGCTTCCAGCCAAGTTTTCCAGGCCTCTTTGCAGTTTAAATGTACGTATGACAGATTCTGAAGTGCTTTTCCAATCACTCATTTGCTTTGAGCTCCACATTAGCCCTGAGATAAAAACATACGAGTGTTAAAGGCTCTGTGTCTGACCAGGTTCAGGAATTTAAAGAAGCGACTTCTAAAATCTTAGACCTGTTTAGAGTCAGCACTGTACTAGAGCCCACGTCAGTGTTCCAGGTCCTGTTGGCTCTTTCTGACTGTCTACAACATGCAAGCTGTTCTGAGAAAATTTGAAAAAAGATTGTGCTCTGTCTGACCTCAAAAGTAGTCATTTTTTGAACAGTTCTGTGTAGTTTATCATTTGAATGATGCTATTTATGCAAATCTGCGTAGTGCTTGTTAAAACTACTTATCTCCACTTTGTTGTAAGTTCTTCAGAAACATATTTTGATGCTTGCATAATGTTTCAGTGTGTAAAAATGCCGTGATTTAACTACTCATCACAAATTATCTGTTCTTTTCATCACCTCACTTATGTTTTCACTGTCCTTGTTTTGTGTTTAAGCAGTAGAGGGCTTCCTTACCCTAATTTTTCTGATGTTGTAGACTCTTTTATACTACTCTATCAAGATGCAGGAATACTTCAGAAGTTCGTAAAAAATGGAATTTAAAGAAGTTTGTTATGGTTTAGAATTTTTGAAATCCATGCCTATAAAGGATTTTCAAAAAGTTAATGGATTTTGCATACTATTAAGAAGCTATGTGTGAATGGTTTTCAGACTTTTTCACACTAAAGAAAGCTTAGTTGCTAATACCACTTTCCATGAACTCTCCTGGTCCTCTTGTAGATCTGTCCTATAGAATTTAATATACCAGTCTTTACTCTCTAGCATATTTACTTGAGAAAGTACTACAAATTGGTAACATCTCCATGCCCAGAATAGCACAATGATCCATAGTGACATAATCTCCTCCTGAGAGTCTTTTGATGTGAAAATCGCTCAGTCCAGGGCCAGCTCAGTGGCTAAATCCTCACCTTACAAGTGTCAAGATCCCATAGGGGCACTGGTTCTCATCCAACTCCCTGCTAGTGGCCTGGGAAGGCAGTGGAGGGTGGCCCAAGGCCCTGGGACCCTGCACCCACGTGGGAGACCTGGAAGAAGCTCCTGGCTGTTGGGTTTGGATTGGCTCAGCTCCAGCTGTTGTGGCTACTTGGGGAGTGAATCAGCGGATGGAAGATCTTTTCTCTCTGTGTCTCCTTTCTGTAAATCTGTATTTGCAATAAAAATAAATTAATATTAAAGGAAGTAAAGAAGAAAAATAGCTCAGTCCTGTTTGTATAAAAACCTATGGAAAGTCTAACTCTGTGTGAAACAGTTACGTGGTAAAATACTAAAATTGATAGTAAAAAAGTCTGTGAAAAGAGAGTACCGAGTCCTGAGTCTGTGAACAATTACTCCTTACCGTTGTGCAGGTGTCCATTGCAATAGAAGAGGTCACACGCTGTCATATAAGATTTACTTTCCGACATAGGTCATCTCAGGAATGTAAGTATTAGGAGGTTATTTTCACTATTTTTTTTCCTCATGTTCTTTTGTGTATCTGGGGAAAGATAATTCAAAACGAGTGGGTACTTACAAATTTATTTCAGAAAATTGATGCTAAGGAAATCAGGATGATGACTTTAGAAGGGCTATGTAAATCATGCTATATCAGAATTTCTCCAAAGTATATCCTGTGTATATTGATGCTCTATAAGATGCTTATGGCAAAAAAAGGTTCCACACATATTGGTGCAAGAAATGCTGTAGAGTGTGTATCCCTATTTGATATTCCCTGTAAGTGTTGATATTCTGCTGATAAACTGTCACAAGAAGACTGCATCATCTTTGTCTCCCAAATACTTCTTTTCTAAATAGAAATATTTCAATGCTTAGATCACAGCTCATGAACCAGCTGTTGTAAGGTATGAACAGAGGAGATAATTGATTCTCTTCATAAGAGTCACATTTTCTAGAGGTGTCTTGTTGACATAGCACTGCATGAAAATGTCATGCTTATTTCCAAAGTAAGTGTAATGAACACCATCTTCGTAACAACCAGCAGGCTCTCTGTTCTGATAGCAGGATGATCATGGGAACAGGAAGTGATGCCTGCTACAAGGGTAGACCAAGCATTATCAGGGAGCATATAGCACAGCACCTAATCATGTATGCATTTGATGTCCTGAATGTTAGCTAGGATTTGAAGGTGACTAAAACCAAGTGAACTTGGTTTAAGAAAAAAATGACAGAACAAAAATCTATTTTGCAAAACAAAATGAGTTCAGGATGAAAAAAATATAATAGGAATAATGATAACAGTGGTGTTTTCAGGTTGAATCTTGTAAATCTGCCGTTTTTACAGATTAAGACAATCTAAAACAGGTTATTTCTTATGGTTCTACATAATGCAGGTATTCCTCAGTATATTTAGTGGAGAGTTCTAAAATCCTCAAGTTATCAAATCTGAGAATACCCAAGTCCCAGGTATAGAAAAGCACAGTGTTTCATATAACTTATGTATATCCTACCATGTAATTTAAATCATGTAAGTAAAGTTCTACAATGCATGCAAGTGTTTTGTAAATATGCATTGCCAGGAATTTTTGAAAGCCCCTCAGATACTTGGATCTTAAAGCATTTTGTACCAAATAAACTTATCTTTCAATTCCATTTTCCACAAACTTTGGAAAATAGCCTCAGTTGAAACTTAATATAAAGGCTGTGTAAATACCTATTAAACTATATTGTTTAGAGCAAGAAAACATCTGTATGTTCTCAGTATAGGTGCTCCCTCGTTGGTTCCACCACCAAGTTCACATCTGCAAAAGCAGGACATTTTTTTGTCTAGAGTTGGTTGGCTCCTGGGATCTAGCACTTACAGTTATAGAGGTTGGTTCTGCTAAACTAGCAAGTGTTGAGGTCCTATTTGTACCAGGTGTGAAGTGAAGCTTTAGTTTAGTATCTACAGGAATCCAGTGAGGTATATCTGGGCTTTGTCCATGTTTACATATGAAAGCACAAAGGCACCGAGGCTGATGGTTGCCCAGTCTCATGGCTGGAATGTGCTGGAGCTGTATTGATAGGGAGGCAGTCGGATTGCACATAGATTGGGGCCAGATTATGACAGATAAAGATTTTTTTTTGAGCCATAATATGGATGACCTATCAAAGGATAGTTTCTCTCTCTCTCTCTCTCTCTCTCTCTCTCTCTCTCTCTCTCGTTTCTTTTAGGTATGGCAGGATTTGGTGCATGTTCCTACTAGCTTTATTCACAATTCCCTAGCGTTAAAATAGTTCAAGTGGCCATTGACAGGAGCCATCTTGAGCCATCTTTTTCTGCTTTCCTCAGCATATTAGTGAGGAGCTAGATAACAAGTGGAACACTCAAAGTTAGGTCAGCACTCTTATGGATGCGGGTACCACACAGAGAGACTTAACCCACTCTGCCACAATGCAGCCCCATCCCCAAGCAGTGCAGTCACCTTTAGCCCAAGCAAGGGTAGCACAAAAGACAGCTTTCAGGTTGCCACCCTCATTTGCAGCATAAATCTCACCCAGAACATGATATTAACATGGAATAGAATCTAAAGTAGCATTCACATCTTTTTTGCATGGACGAATGGGTACTAATCTTATACTAGGGAATATAGGATGAAGAGCATACATTGGAGGGGGACCAGTTTGGGTCACACATTGCCTATGAACTGTGGACACTTACTCACTGTTGTAGTAGTGTTCAGCATCACCAGTCAGGAACAAACTGACATCTGCCATAGCCATCATGTTCTGTTGTCTTTTCACACCGCTTAGACACATCGTATTTCTGTCTTTTCAGCCAGAGATAAGTCGGAGCGCCCCTTTGGAGTGGCCTTTGTGAAGCTGATGAACCCGGATGGTACCACTCTGCAGGACGGGAGGCATGATCTGGTGGTTTATAAGGTGGTGCTAACAGAACAAGGCTCAGAAAAAGACTGAGAAATATCTGTTCCCTCTGACAGTGGCTTTGAAGCCACCTTGCAGGTTGATTTGTACAAGTAGCCAGAACCTCTCCAGAGCTCAGTGTGCTTTGCCCTTGGCAGTCTGTGGGTGTAATCACTAACTTCAGGGTTCTGATGGCCTTGTGTACAGAGTTAATTGCTTTATTATTTAGTCTTTAAGAATGTCTGTCCTCCTCCAACAAAGGGTGTTCCAGGGTAGTGCATAGCAAAGCCGACTGGCTTTTAATCTGCTCTTTGCATCCTCTTTTGGTGTTTGGACAGTTGTGCTCTTGGGCTCAGTTGGAGTGTGGTAGCTGTGGTAGGATGTGGCTTTCGTATCACCCTGAATCAGATACCATTTCTGTACTCTAGGGACCATATTTCTCTCCCTGGCAGTTTTGTTTCCATTCCTCCTCTCTAAGCATTGTTGAGCCATTGCTTTCTGCTGAGGTTTAGACAGTGAAGTAGATTAGGGAAGAACTCATGTATCCAGCTGTGTCGAAGGGCATTTCTTACAATGGGTAACTCAGTAAGATGTGTCTAAGTGATCCGTAGTCTCCTTAACATCTCCTTAGCTTGTAAATCATTTTGGAAATCACAAACAACTAGTTCATCTCCCATTAAGCTAGAGAAGTATAACTATGACCATTTATAAGTGCAAGGAAATGAAATCCAACCTTAATCTATGATACATTTATTTCCTTCTAGCAGAAACTAGGAAGTATGGAGTTCTAGTCCCAAACATTCACACAGCCATCCAGTGATGAGATTATAATCCTGTGTTTGTGATTAGATAATTTCTGAGCTTCTACTGTGAAAGAATAGCAGAGCTGAAAGAGATTGTCACCTTCATTTGATAAGTCTATGCTTCTCATGCTGGCTGTGCATGTCTTCATGACAGCAACTCTTGCTTTGTGTGTAAGACATATTGCTCATTGTTTGGTGCTTCTAATAAGCTTCTTTTTCAGGGTGACAATAAGAAGATGGAAGATGCTAAATTCTATTTGACCTTGCCTGGAACCAAGGTGGAAATGGAAGAAAAAGAGCTTCAAGCATCCAAAAACCAGGTCACTTTTACCCCAAGCAAGGATAGCACAAAAGACAGCTTTCAGATTGCCACCCTCATTTGTTCCACAAAGCTCACCCAGAATGGTAAGTGGTGACCACAGAGATGCAGATGAATTTTCTCTTCCCTCCTCTGGGTCCTTGGTTGGACAGGTTCTGAGTGGTGGGATGCTGGGCAGTTGATGGCCACTCTTTGCTCTTTACATGTTGTTCTGGGTCATACTAAACCAGTTGCAGGGCTCTTAAGTTTTATCATCCATGTCTTGAGGCATGATAAGTATTTTAATATTTTCTAGTATGTTTAAAAACCAATATATTCATTTACTGAGGCTGTAAACTTTGAATGTCTTATGTTACTGTCCTTGAAGGCAGGAAAAAAAATATGTTCTTTATAGTATCTGCATCAAGAGATGTTGGTAATGAGGATGCTGGCAAAGAAATTGACTCAATGTCTCCCATCCAAGTAGGTAAAACAAAGAACAGGGCTTCCTGGGCAATTTCCATCTTTCCCCTGTAGAGTGTCGTCGCTCCTGTTTTTTTTTCTCCCAAGCAGTTAAGGATTTTCCATGAAATTAGCTGAGGAGCTCAATTGAAGCTTTGTGGTGTTTCTCCTTCAAATCTCTAGTAGTTGTTGTGACTCAGTGGACTCTCACATGGCATTGGATTATCTGTAACAGCTTGTTGTTTAAACTGTTTGTCTAAAGAAACCTACTGAATACAATTACCCAAGAATCGTCTGTGGGACTTGGGACATGCTATGCCCTCAGTGCTGTCCAGATTAGTCCCTTTGGCTTTATAAGTGATTGGCTTGAGGAATGTGGTGAGAGATCTGACTTAAGCACAAAGACAGACTAAACAATGTAGTTAGGAGATGGGTGCACTTTTAAGGATCAGATTCTGGGGCCAGAGTTAGGTTTGTTTTAGTGAATCACAATTGGCTGGGAGAATAAAGATTGTCCTGCAGCTTTGGACAAGTGACAGTGCTAGCAGAGTGAAATTCAGAGTTGATTTGCATGGGACAGGAAAAGAACATTCAACAAAAATTCAACCAGAAAACATAATTAGACTTCATAGAAACTGTGACAAAATTGTGTCCGTCATATCATAATCTTTGTTGTGAAAAAAGCAAATATTATAAAGTTTCTAATAAGAGCATGTAGGGTGTGGCACTTATGGGTGACTTAGAAGGTGTGTAACTTCAGATCCTTTGACGCAGTAATCTCACTCCTGGAAATTGACTCTCAATAAACAAGGAGAGAAGTGCACAAAGATTATCTGGTGAGGTTTCCCATGATTTATAGTAGGATAGTACTGAAGCCAACCCATAAGTCCAATTGTCATGGCCAGCTTACAATCTATGATGTAATTAAGTGGTTTAATATATGCAGCTGCAAAATATCATATGTCAAAACATAGCCGAAGAGGTGGTGGACTTTTAACACTAGATCCATAGGTTTGTTTAAAAATATGTGAATATTTGTAGCCAGATTGGATGGGTTCATTGTTGCAGAGTGCTTTTTATTCCTAAATAAGAAATTCAGAAAAGCTTGTTGATGGGGCATAAACCTTGATTTAAACCCTTGATTTGCTAATATCTAATCTACTCAGATTTTTAAATGGCTCTAAATCTGTACTGTTCCATCGCCACTAGACATGGGTAGCTTATAAAGTTTGGATTGATTAAGAACGGGGGATTAAAGAATTGGGAAGATGTTGGTCAAAGCTGAGTGTAAGAGATCTGTGTGGGATGACACTCTAGTTAGTCAGCTATTACATCCTTGAAAATCAGTAGACGGTAGACGGTAAGTGTTCTCACAACAAAAACACAAGTATGTGAGGTGTCGCATGTTAGCTTGGTTCAGTCATTGCACAGTATGTAACCATAGCAAAACATCATGCAAGTCTAATTTGTCAGTCAAAAATAATGAAAAGCAAAATAGCTCAATAAAACTATGAATCAGCCCTACAGTTAGACCTGTCACATTTCAGATGCCTGATGGGTTCATGTGACTGATGACTTTCTCACTGAACTGTACAGTTATGCCACATTGCCATCATCACAGAATGTTCCATCGGATGGCACTGTATGCTTTGCTTTGTTGTCATTCCCATTCCTAGAGAAACAGCAAATGCATTGTGAGTGCCAGAGAAAGCAGGGCTTTCCAAGGCACAGTGAATATGAGCTGTTCGTGGGTTTGCTTCCTTCTGATGAATACAACATAAAAAGAATCAATTTAATTTACCCCCAGAAAGGAGATGCTACTAATAAGCCATTGTCAGCTGTCAGAGTGTTTGTTGTGTAAGAAAAGTTACTGTTCTTTTCTCACCTTGAGACTCAGACCTGAGCATGCTTTAAGTTTAAAACCACTGAGCTGTGTGACAAGCACATGTTGCATGTCCCATTCTTTTTTAAAATTTTGTTTGAAGAACCGAAATACAGAGAGGAGGAGAGATAGAGAGGAAGATCTTCCATCCATTGATTCACTCCCCAAGTGACCACAATGGCCAGATCTGCGCCGATCCACGTCCAGGAGCCTGGAGCCTCTTCTGGGTGTCCCACATGGGTGCAGGGTCCCAAAGCTTTGGGCTATCCTTGACTGCTTTCCCAGATCACAAGCAGGGAGCTGGATAGGAAGCAGGGTCACTGGGATTAGAACCAGCCCCCATAAGGGATCCTGGTGCATGCAAGACGAGGACTTTAGCTGCTAAGCTACAGCAGCGGGCCCAGTGCTCCACTTTTTAAAAGTAAAGATCTATTTATCTTAAACAGAAAGGTAGATTGGCAGAGAGGAAATACAGAAAGATCTTGTATTTGCTGGTTGACTCCCTGTTGGCTGCAGTGGTCAAAGCTGAGCTGATCTGAAGCCAGAAGCCAGAGAGATTTTTTGCTTTCCAATGCAGATGCAGGGCCCACAGGCTTTGGGCCATTCTCTATAGCTTCTCCAAGCCATAAGTAGTAGCTAGATCAGAAGTGGAACAGCCACACAAACCAGCACCTGTATGGGATTCTAGCACTTGAAGGGGAGGAGCAGCCAATTGAGCTGTCTTGTCTGTCTGTCTGTCTCTCTCTCACTCTTTCTCTTTCTCTCTCTCTCTCTCTCTCTCTCACACACACACACACACACACACACACACACACACACTCTCTTTTTCGTGATTGGGCTGTATTTGTGAGGAAGACCATTTTTAATGGGATCATTTGTGGCTCAGTCCAGGTAAAGACAGAATAGAGTCATTGTTCAGAAAAAGGGGAGGGAATTCATGTCCCTGTGGGCTGAAGCCATGTGTGGGTCACTTAACTTCCTCATCTCGTTTTACCCTCCATACCCTGGGACTTGAGTGCCCTATCATTGCCGTTATCACCCCTCCCCAGTTTTACTAACCAGAAAACCCAGCTTTAATTTGGTTGGTGTGCTGTCTCATTTCATAGGTAGCAGGGTTTTGAAAGCAGGATATTGACCACACCTAAGCTTATGAATTTTATGTCTTTTTAAAAAATTAGGTGTTTCTTAATCCTCTCCCAAAGACGGTTGCCAACCTAAGTTTGGGGATTTTTCACTTTCTTGCTTTTCTTTATGCTTTTAACACATTTGTAACCCCCCAAAATACTGTTTAATTTTCACATTTCTATTTTGTATCAGTGCAGTCACTGGCATGAATGCTTGTATTTCTTTCAGCATTACTTGAGTTTTGGAAGTACCTGACTTGAACATATTTGATAAGAGTATAAATTTGAAAATCTGGGTAACATCTGGATATGATGGAAGCTAGTTATGTCCAATTCTGTAGAAATTTTACTCTTGGCTTTACACCCTAAGAAATCTGTTGCACCTGTCTGCAGGAGGCATATGAGAATGTTTATAGCAGAATTGTCTGTTATAGCAACAATTACTTAAAGCAATTCCAACGTTACTGACAGTAAAAAAGATAAACAAACTGTGGTGCATAAGTACATTTCATAGATGCTGTGCAGCGGAAACAAACTTCCGTTACATGCAACAACCTGTATAAGTCTCAGAAACACAACAATTCTAAGCTGTTTTATAACATAGTTACCGTGCTTAACCCTGGGACCTGATGGTTAACCAGAAGCCAAAATGCATTGCTGTGTGGTAGGCAGGAGTCACAAGGAAATCAACCTCCAGCTGATGGACGGGTACTTAGAAGGTTAGAAAATTCTAGTGATTCTTTACTTTAATGAAGTGTCAAAATCTTTTTTTTTAAAGATTTATTTTATTTATTTGGGACTCAGAGTTACAAAAAGAGATCTTTCATCTGCTGGCTCACTTCCCAAATGGCCACAATAGCTGGAGCTAAGCTACTACAAAGCCAGCAGCCAGGGACTTCTTCCAGGACTGCCACATGGGTTCAGGGGCCTAACCACTCGGTCATTCTACTACTTCCCCTAGGCATACTCACATGATGCTGGATCAGAAGAGCAGCCGGGACGTGAACTGGTGCCTATATGGGTTGCCAACACCACAGACAGCAACTTTAATCATTACACCACAACACTGACCACAAGGTCAAAATCCATTAGCCTAGGTGGCAATCCTGGAATGAAGGAACTAGTGGTAAAATTTACTTGCTTGTGACAAAAGTAGAAAGTAGAGAAGGTAGAAGTTGTACCTCAGTGGATAAGCCTAGCACAGTGCCTGTTATTAAATATTTGATGAATGAATGAACACATTGGTGAATTGCATTGAGTGCCCTGCTAACCTCTATATGATTCCTTGTTTCTTTTCCTTTCATGTATTCATCAACAATGGGATAAAGTGTGGATGCAGGCAGCTCAAATTCATGGGATAAGCCAGACACCCCACATTCCTGGTCATTTTACAAAAAGGGAAGAATATATGCAAAGACACATTGGTATTCAGAATCTGCCCTGGTTTGAGAAATAGCAAGTTGATTGCTGACTAAATAGAAGAAAATAATGGGGCTCAGCACAATGACTCAGTTACTAAATCCTCACATTGCAAGTGTCGAGATCCCTGATGGATGCCGATTCGTGTCCCGACTGCTCTGTTGCTGATCCAGCTCCCTGTTTTTGGCCCGGCAAAGCAGTAGAGGATGGCCCAAAGCCTTGGAACTCTATACCCTTGTGGGAGACCAGGAAGAAGTTCCTGGCTTCTAGCTTCAGGTCTTCTCAGCTCCAGCTTGACAGTCATAAATCCAAAAATAAATTTTTATTGTTATCCAGACTTATGTTAAGGGCTATAGATTGGTTCACTTTCCTTTGAAATAGCAACCTGTGATTTGCTTATCTATTTCTTAAAAGAATTCTAGGAAGGCAAAATGATAAAATAGTGAAGACAAGTGTTTGGAATCAGATAAAACTACAATTGAATTTTACATCTACCACTGCTGACCATTTGCCTGACCTAAGGAAAATAATGTAATTTCAGAAAATCTCAGTTTCTTCATCTAAGAACTGCAAAAAAGTCTCCAATCCATTTGTGATACTGAAATGAACTCTTGCATAAATGTTCCTCTTCCCTTTTGCGTATGCCTGGAGAATAATAGTAGCAAAGTATAGATTAAACATGCAGCTAGTTAAAAATACCTAGGTTGAATACAAATGTTTTTATGTTTACTTTTTAAGACTTATCCAACATTAGTTGGGAAGTTTGAGTCCCAGCCAGATGTATTATTTTGTTTTGGACATCAACAGTTAATTTCTTTTCTCTTTGAAGGTGTTGAAGGACCACATCATTTCCTATGACATGGATAGGAGATTGTGCATTAGAAGAACATATCAGGCTATTCTTGAAGAAGCTGCTATGAAGGGCAGTTATCTTTGTTAGAGAATTCCTTAGCTGTGTCCTAAACTGGTGTGGCTTGTTCCTTGCACTTGGCATCTAATGTTTTTGGTTTGTGATCATTCTTCCTAGTTGACCTGTTAGGCTTGTTAAATTGGCGCTCCAACTCGCAGAACATTAAACACAACCTAAGGAAGTTAATGGAGGTGGATGGAGGAGAGATTGTGAAGGTATGTTCTAAATTCATAGATAAAATTGTAACTACTATGCTGTTAGTTAAATAGCTTAGATAAAGCTAGTTACATGATAAACTTCTTATCTGCATTGCTAAACAATTATACCAGTGTCTGAGATAATAATTAAAAGCTACTCTATTGAAAACCTAATTGTTGCAAAATTTCTGCAAGATGGAGCTTTATCCAGTCATCATGGAAATGTCAAAATAACCTCTCTTTTGTTCTTCAGTTTTTGCAAGATACGCTAGATGCACTTTTTAACATAATGATGGAAATGTCAGACAATGAAACGTACGACTTCCTTGTATTTGATGCACTGGTAAGCAGTTCAACATTATCTAGTGTCTATTCTTCAAGCTGTGCAGTTTTCAATAGTTCACTGTTGTAAATAATTGCTATGAAGGTTCTCCTGCATAAATATTTGTACGTATCTCTTATGATTTCTGTAACCTCGATTCCCAGAAGTAAACTTAGAAACAAACCCAAGCCTTTGTTTTCTTATTTTCTATTATATCTTACTTTTGACATGCTTTCTTGTACTCATTAAGGAAGGAAAGGTGTTTACATTAAAAATGAGGAACCACTTTAATTCAGCTTTTAAAGATCTATTTATTTATTTGAAAGTCAGAGCTACAGAGAGAGAGTCTTCCTTCTGCTTTCTTCCCTTACTGTCTCCTTACTCCCCGAAATAGCTGTAGCAGGTGGGGCTGGGTCAGGCCGAAGCCGGGAGCCAGGAATATTTTATGGGTCTTTTATGTGGGTACAGTGAGCTAAGGATATGAGAGTTATCTTCTACTATTTTCTCAGATACATTAGCAGGGGCTAAATTGCAAGTGAAGCCGCCAAAGCTTGAACCAGCATGCAAATGGGATGCCAGCATTACAGGCAGTGGCTTAACTTGGTGCACTGCAATGCTGGCCCCCCTTCTGTATGTTTATACAAGAGAATGAATTCACAGGCCAGGGATGAAACTTTGCCCCATTAGGTCCCATGTATAGACAATTTTGTCACACAAAGTGTGTAAATACACAACATATTCTAGGCCCTGAAATCAGCCCAGAGAAAAGTGTTTTGAAAATTTGAGGTCAGAGGTCGGAGTGGAGGGGTAAGAGCCAGATTGTCAAACCAAGCCTTGACTTCTCATTGTTGGGAAACAGGGCAGGGTTTTACCTAAATGTTGCAGCGAGGAAGGAAGGTAAATTTCAGCTTTACATGATTCCCCAACTTGGAGAGGTTGACAGGTTCAAGAAGTGATCAACACATGGAAGTTACGGATGCAAAATAAAATGAATCCTGATCAGGTCAGGTTGATTGGAAAGAAGTTGTTACTCTGGGTATCGTGGGATAAAGTCCAGAGACAGGTTCCTGTGGAACAAAGAAGCTGTGAATGGGCATACTTGGAAATCCCAAGTGCCCTTTCCTTGTCCTTTTTGTCATGAGTTCAGGGCACTGTGGTGATTTCTAGATTATACCTGTGAGAGATGAGAGGTAACGCAGAATGAGGAACTTGGAAGACAAAGCTCAGGTGAAAAGCTCATTTTGGAGGATCTGACATTGCACTCGGGAAGAGTGTGTGATGTTTCCTGAGCAACATCCCTGGGTTAGAGTCTGTTGTTCCTCTGGAAACCCCTTCTCTGGTCCTCCTTTTCCTCCTGTGTTTTCTTCCTGACTGATGATGTGGCCTGTGCCCCAACTACCCTCCTGCTGAGACTGGAAGTTCTCCGAGACAAAGCTTGATGGCTTGTATTAATTTCTTCACAGCAGTTAGCATGGGACTCTACACTTAAGTTTTGTATTGGTGTTAAATAACCATAAATGCTGAAACTACTTCATTCCTGAAATAGTAGGAGGAAAATGGTGCAAATATGATGCAGAAAAACAAGAAGGCACCTACATGTCAAAATGTACCTTGTGGACAAAATACCGGGGATTATACAGTACTGCTACTCATATTTCTTACCGTTGGCAGGTGTTTATAATTTCACTGATCGGAGATATCAAGTTCCAGCATTTTAACCCTGTACTTGAAACCTACATTTACAAGCACTTCAGTGCCACGTTGGCCTACGTGTAAGTCTGACTCAAGGGAAGTGTGACTTGTTGGATCACTATGTATGTTCTCTAAGGATTGGATCATTGAGAAACAAGAGGGGGTTTTTGCCTTTCTGTAAAAAAATTTTTTTTCTAAGAATCATGATAGAATCATCTGATTATTTTATCCTGAGAAAAGCTACCAAATTCATCTAGCAATCCAGAGCATGTAAGTGAGGAATCAAAGTCAGGTAGAAGAATACAGGGCACATGACTAGATTCAGCGTCTTTGTAACTGGTTGTTGATAGGATTGACACCAAGACACCAATGGGATTAAATAGTGAATTAAACAAAACTGAGTCTGAAGGAAGAGCAGACCATGTCCCCTATACCACCTGTACCAAGTATGTTTTGTTACTTAAAAGATAGGAAAATATTTGATTTTTGTTTTCTTTTTTCTGCGTAAGAGGGAATGCGTCCTACCCTTTGCACAGTGTAGCCTTCTTTCTGGGGTTAATTTCTGAGCCTTCAACTAAAGAAAAGAGTGAGTGTTTATCTTGCACATCTCTGCAAAGTGTACAACACACTAACACACCGTGTGTAACACTCTCACTCCTTGTATTTTATCCCCTTGCATTCTAGTTTTTGTGCAGAGCAATGTGATAAATAGTGGCAGTAGTACTATGTAGCTAGAATTTTAGGTAAATGCTCCTTTGGATTCTGATTTATGTCAGATCATGTCGCCTGTTGCCAGTTGATATGTCAGGTCAGATCTTTGGTTTCTGGTGTCCTTTTCTAAGCTCGGGGAGCAACAAAGGTACAAGAACACAAAAGGGGTCATGCAGCCATGGTGACCTGCCAACAGGATGGCTCTGAAGTCCTCTGGACTGAAGAAGCAGATTCATGCCACCCAGCAGCTTCACTGTCCCCACGAGCAGCTGGTAAAAAATGGGGAAATTGTGTCACTGAGTATTTTAATCACAACAAGCCACATGTGACCCCTACATTGTAGCAGCCTGTGTATATTTTTCAAAGATTTTAAAAAATTTTTCATTTGGGCCCGGCACGGTGGCGCAAGTGGTTAAAGGTCCTCGCCTTGCACGCCCGGGATCCCATATGGGCACCGGTTCTAATCCCGGCAGCCCCGCTTCCCTTCCAGCTCCCTGCCTGTGGCCTGGGAAAGCAGACGGCCCAAAGCTTTGGGACCCTGCACCCACGTGGGAGACCCGGAAGAGGCTCCTGGCTTTGGATCGGCATAGTATCGGCCGTTGCGCTCACTTGGGGAGTGAATCATCGGATGGAAGATCTTCCTCTCTGTCTCTCCTCTCTGTATATCCGCCTTTCCAATGAAAAAATAATAAAAATAAATCTTTAAAAACAAAATTTTTTTTCATTGAAAAATCAGATATACAGAGAGAAGGAGAGATAGAAAAATCTTCCTTCTAATGATTCACTCCCCAAGCGACTGCAATGGCCACAAGGTCTGGAGCTGCGCCGATCCAAAGCCAGGAACCTGGAGCCTCTTCCAGGTCTCCCATGTGGTCCCAAGGCTTTGGGCCATTCTTGACTACTTTCCCAGGCCACAAACAGGGAGCTGGATGGGAAGCAGGGCCACCAGAATTAGAACTGGCAACCATATGGGATCCCAGCGTGTGCAAAGCGAGGACTTTAGCTGCTAGGCTACCATGCTGAGTCCTGGGTTTATTTTTAGTAATCGCTAATCTTTCATGGAGTTGTGTGTGTTTGTGTACTTTTTGACCTTTTGCTGTGTTCTGGTAAAGCTGAGATACCTATAGAAAGAAAATTCATAGTATCAGTAAGTGCCTTGAAAAGTTTGAGTTAGGGTCCAAGATCATCCATCTCTAATCCAAAGAATCTGGGAAGACCCAAAGAGCAACCTGAACTGTTCTAGAGAATTAGATTGTGTTCTCAAACCATGCTAAGTGATGTTTCCACCTGGCTCCATATTTATAAACTCCAGAATGGGTAAAGGTGTGTGGATTTGTTAGTCAGGCATAACCCCTCCCTGGCGGGCACATCTGCATTGTGCCTATAATTTTCATCCCTTTGGCTTTTACAAAGAAGAAATCTCAGCATTTCTAAACTACACATGAGGAAACTGAAGGGCTGAAGAGTTAATTCCCTCTCAGTGGAGGTGTCTTTAGAATCATGACATCTATCTCCCAGTATGCCAGCTTCCCTTCCTATGTCACTTACGCCAATCCTCCATGCAGCATATTTCCCGTGATTAATTTTTCTTTCTCTCCCTCTTAAGGAAACTCTCCAAGGTACTGAACTTTTATGTGGCTAATGCAGAAGACTCCAGCAAGACGGAGTTACTTTTTGCTGCTTTGAAAGCCTTGAAGTACTTGTTCAGATTCATCATCCAATCACGAGTGCTCTACTTGAGGTAATGGTAACTTCAGTAAGATGTCCAGGCTGTCTGTGTCCTCTGCACATAGTTTGCCTTGCTCCAGAGGCTTGTGTTCTGTTTGGTGAGTGGTTGGGTTTGGAATCATCAAATTTCAGATCATCTCTATGCATGTAGTTTGCATTGATGCTTATGCTTATGATCAACTTTGTGAGCAGTTGGATATGAAATCATAAAATTTCAGAGCTTAAGCCTTAAAGATGGAAGTGGGCTATAGGCCCACTGAAGAAGCTCCACATGAAATCATCAGACTCAGCAATAATCCCATTGATGATTCAGTCGTTCCAATACTCTTTGAAATTATCAGGGTCCACATTTTAGGTGTTGGAACACCAACTGTGGAAAATGAGACATTCAGTTCCCTTAAGTCTAAGAGAGTTACTCTATTGTACTTCTTCCCTGATGATTTGTTTCTGGTTATTTTTCCCACACAGTAGGGTTTTCTTATTAAAGAAACACGTGCTCTGAGAAATTGATTGTACTACGCCACACATTTTCTGATTGCTTAGATTTGATAGACTATTTGTATATGAGCCCTGTCTTTGATCTATGTGGATGGCACATGGTCAGCCTCCTCATACTGTCTTCATCAGAGTTTACATTCCTCTTCTGAGGTCACTAACTGGTTACCAGGATACAGGTAATTGTGGAATAATAACCAGTTATAACTGTGAATTACTTACAGGAGCACATTGAGAGGTTGTATCTACCTAGAGTATCAGGTGTTGTTCAGTGTAGGTTCTGCCATCTAGCAACCTGCATGACTAAGCACCTGCTATGCTTGTGTGGTTGACATAGCATGTATGCTGCAATTGGAAGCTAAGAGATGTCCTCTGGAGATGCCAAGGCCAAGTAGTTCAGGGAGCAGGGTCTGCAGATTGCAAGGGCCCTATGGGCCAGAAAGTGTGATGTGTTATGAGAAACTGTGTTGTTTGGTCAAAAAGAATAAAAGGAGAATAAGAGTAGTAGGTATAGAAGGTAATAGCAAATGATGTAGGAGTTTCTGGATGTTTGGATCTTTTTTTGTTGTTGTCAAACTTTTATTTTAAATTTTTGAATTTTATGGTACAGTTTCATAGAGACTGGAATTGCCTGCCCCCCAAATTCCCGTCCACCTCCCGGACAGATTTTCCTATGTTGCTACGATAGTATAGTCCTTCATAAGGAGTCAGGATTTCATCAGTCTATTATTTAAGTGTGCCCTAACATTATTAATACAGACAATGTCAGACAGTCTAACATCCCATTATGTATACATTTCCAAGGGCGTTTAGATATTATTACAAGTGTAATGGGAAGATATTGGTTATAAAAATATTAACATCTGGATTGTATTTTTTTAAAGATTTATTTATTTTTATTGCAAAGTCAGATATACAGAGAGGAGGAGAGAAAGAGAGGAAGATCTTCTGTCCGATGATTCACTCCCCAAGTGACTGCAATGGCCGGTGCTGCACCGATCCAAAGCCAGGAGCCAGGAACTTCCTCCAGGCCTCCCACGTGGGTGCAGGGTCCCAAGGCTTTGAGCCGTCCTTGACTGCCTTTCCAGACCACAGGCAGGGAGCTGGATGGGAATTGGAGCTGCTGGGACGAGAATCGTTGTCCATATGGGATCCCGGCACATTCAAGGTTAGGACTTTAGCCTGTAGGCCACAGTGCCGGGCCCTGGATTGTATTTTTTAAAAATATCTATTCATTTGAAAGAGTTACAGAAAGAGAGAGAAGTTTTTCATCAATGTATTTACAATCTAGATTGCCAAAATGGCTAGTGCTGGGCTAGGTTATGGCCAGGAGTTTTGTCTTGGTTTCCATTGGGTGACAGGAGCACAAATACCCCAGCCGTCTTCTGCTGCTTTTCCTAAGCTATTATCAGGGAGCTCAATTGGAAGTGGAATAGCCAGGACACCAGCTGGCTCCCACATGAGATGCCAGTGTCACAGGCAGTGGCTTAATGTACTGCACCACAGTGGCGTGCTTTTTTTTTTTAAGATTTGTTTATTTTTATTTGTAAGATTCACAGAGAGGAGAGACAGAAACTTTCATCCACTGGCTCATTCTACTCCCTAAGTAGCCATAATAACTGGTGCTAAGCCAATCTGAAGCCAGGAACTTCTTCCAGGTCTCCCATGTGGGTGCAGGGTGCCAAGGCTTTGGGTCATCCTCCACTGCTTTCCAAGGCTACAGCAGGGGGCTGGAAGAAAAGTAAAACAGCCAGGACATAAACCAGCACTTATATCGGATCCCGGCACATGCAAGGCAAGGACTTTTGCTGCCAGGCTACTGCATCAGGCCCAATAACTTGCATTTGAAAAGATCAGTACATCTCCTATGTATAAAATAAATCTTAGAAGGCAGAGGGAAAGTGAGGACCTCCTAATTGATGTTGTTCAAGTGTGAGACATGGGGACTCTGTCTCGGTAGCGGAGGGAGAGTGCGCACTGCCGTGGAGGGAAGAGCTCACAGCACCTGCTATTGGAGTTGACAAGGCAGTGAGAGGAAGGAACATTTTATGGGTAATGGACTGGGGGTGCATAGTGCTTTGATACGCTAAAACCTGCACTGTTGAGAACCAAGCAGGATAATCAGTGAGTTCTGCTTTGGCTTTAGGGACTTTAGGGACTAAATTGCAGGTAAAGTTCTACTTGGGAAAAATGGATGAACTGAGAATTACCAATAACCCTCTGATTGAATACTTTTCTCAATTGACTTAATACTCTTTGGATACCTGATAAAGGTAAATGTGAATAGAAGAGACTAATTTACATATATACACAAGGACACTTCGAAATGGGTGAGAAAGTAAGTTTCTTTTTGGTGCAAAAAAAAGTGAAATCCATGCACAGTTTTTCTGTAATAAACCTTTTCCATGAACGTTTTGTGAAGAACCCTCAAATGTACCTTTGAGAGTGTGCTTGAAAGTCGGACTTCTAACTGTCCCTACTCTGATATGCTTGTGGAGTTGCTCCTCAGTGCATTTGCTCATGCACTACCATTTGAGGTTTTTGAATTTCTGGAAAATTCACCAAAGACCTTTCAATTGCCTCTTATGAAAAAGAACCACCTTTTGAGTTAACCGAGTCGTGTGAAGGCAAGCGGAGGAGTTTCCTGAAAGCCAGAACAGGCAATGAAGGCGAAGGTCCCAGTGGCAGAGCAGCTCAGCCTCCACGTGGGCAGCTGAGACATTCTGGGTTGAGGAGCTTCCTTAGCTCAGCTCAAATGACAGGCTTTGATTGGGTGAGACATTGGCGGGGAAGAAAGAAGTGAGGCTGAAGGACAGAACCTGCCAGGTGTGGTGTTAGGGTGGTTTGCTGGGAACAGATCCTGCTTATTACAAATCCCTGCATTCAGCTGAGGAAGGCTGGCTCACCAGCAAATTCCAGCACCAAGACCTCCTGCTGTTCTCCCTCCCCGTGGGAAATGCCTGCAAATCCCTGGAGCAGAGGACATCATTAAAGTGGAGCCTTCCATCAGGGGACACCTCCTCCCTGGCAGATCACAGCCAGCCAACTGCAGAGTCCTATGTCAGGACTTGACCTGCAGGTTTCTTACCTGCTCTTGTCTCAGACTACAGCACTGATGCCTGGTCTCCTTGAAACCATCCCGGGGAGCTGTATGGCGTGTCTCTGCAGTTGGGTGAAAGGCAAGGCGATAAGCTTCCCTCATTGTTACTTGAAACTATACATCTGTCGTAAAATGTTTTCAAGGTGGAAAATCTGTTTTTTCTATTTTTCCTGTTAAGATTCTATGGCCAGAGTGAAGATGGAGATGAGTTTAATAACTCAATCCGCCAGTTATTCCTCTCCTTCAATATGCTAATGGACAGGCCTCTGGAGGAAGCTGTCAAGATCAAGGTGAGCACGACATTCTCTTGGATAAGTCTGTTAAGGCCATGGGTGAGGATGTTCTGTGGAACTTGCTGCAATGGTAGAGAATGTGAATCATGACTCAAAGCTATCTTGTGATGTTTAGTGTGATTTGCAGAAAATAACAGGAAAAACACCTACATTTTTAAGTTTGGGGAACATGTGTACTTTTAAAAATATATATAGTTTTTATTTGAAAGTCAGTCACAGAGTAAGGAGGAGATTCAGAAAGGTTTTTTATCCACTGGTTCACTCCCCCAATGGCCACAACAACTGGAGCTGAGCCAATCCAAAACCAGGAGCCAGGGGTTTCTTCCAGGTTTCCTACATGGGTGCAGGGGCCATTTTTCACTGCTCTCCCAGCTATTAGCAGGGAGCTGAGTTGGAATTGGAGCAGCGTGACTCAAACCAGTGCCCATATGGCATGCTGGTACTGTGGCTAGAGGCTTATCCCAATAAGTGATGTGCCAGCCTGAATTTGAATTTTTAAAGGCCACTTTTACTAACATCCAGATGTGAGGATACAATGCAGTATGCATTTCTACTTCCTGGACAAAGACGGACTTACAATGAAACTGTTTACTATGTCTTGACAGTAGGATTCTGGACTCTGCCATTGTCCATGCCTGCAAGGATGGACATATAACTGTGTATGAAGAACTATACTTTAGTAATGATATAGAGGAACTAGGCGGGTGGGGTGGGGGGAGTTGGGGCTGGGATAAGGGAAATACCAGGAGCCTATGGAACTGTGTCATAAAATGATAATAATAATGTAAAAAAAAAAGACCACTTTGACAAAGATGAACTACCATTTTATGCATCCTTCTTGGACCCACTGATTTCAGCAAACTGATTCTGATTCTATTACAGATGACAATTTTGTTGGGGGAGGGAGGGCCTTCACTTCCTTTTGCTCCAAAATGGAAAGCCACCATCTCATTCATTGTCCCTCTGTTCTTTGAAATGTGAAAGGTGTAATCTCAGAAGTCACACCTTGGACTTTGTTATTTATTTCTTGCTCTATATGGCTGCTTTGTGAATCAGACTAAAAGAATTTAACTGCTTGCTTAGATTGAGAAATGAGAGGCCAATGGACGTGCCTGCCCGTAGTGGGGACAGGACACCTTACCTCCTGCATTTCCAGGAAAGAGGTGTTAGGACAGCCTGTGTACTGACGTCAGCTTCACTCCGCATTGCAAGGTCCTCACCACCCAGCTTCCTGTGGAAGATTTGGGCCCAGCCCTTTCTTCGTGGGATCAAGCCCTGAAGTTTTGTATTTGTCTTACTTGCAACTGAATTTGCCCTTGTGTTGTTTTTTTCCCCCAGGGAGCAGCTTTGAAGTACCTTCCTAGCATAATTAATGATGTCAAACTGGTGTTTGATCCCACAGAGCTCAGGTAAATAACAGGGGGGAAAGTGAAAGTGTGTTTCTTAAACAAAGAGGCTACTACTCCCAGCTTAGCTGGAGCTGGGGCTGCTGTGCAACCTCTGGTTCTGCTAACACACCTGAACTGAACACCTTTTTGTGCTCCATCCTGTGAAAGATAGAAAAGCACACCCAAAGCCTGCCCTGGGAAGAGACTCAAGCTTTTTCTCTGGGAAAACAAGATCTGTACACATAAAATGAACTACCAAAGAAAGTATGTAACGATAGGCTTCCAGCCCTACAGCAAGGTGCTCTGGGTATGCAGAGCTAGACTTCAGTGGGCCGAGAAAGACGTGAGCCACAGCTGAGCCTCCAGGCAGGTCTGGATCGCAGGTGGAGCGGCATACGCCTTGGTGATGGAAGTTGTCAGTTCTAGGCAGAACCCGTTACTGGGCGATGAATGTAAGCCCTAGGGACAGAGATCTTAGGTCATCTGTAAGACTCCTAGGTCACTTTCCCCACACCCGGATCTCAGAGTGCAAGAGAATGTTTTTCCCTCTGCCTTCACATGAGCTGAAACACTGTTTCTGGGATTTCTCTTCCAGTGTGCTCTTCTGCAAGTTCATTCAGAGCATTCCCGACAACCAGTTAGTTCGGCAGAAGCTGAACTGCATGTCCAAGATTGTTGAGAGCAGTCTTTTTCAGCAGTCAGGTGAGTCACACTCAGGAGTGCTGCCCACTGTCATGCCGGTCCATCTTTGTCACCAGCCAGTACTTACTTTTTTTTTTGAATGTCAGTTTGTGAGTAGTTAAGCAAATCCTGGGAGACCAACTTCAAGGAGAAACTTAAGTCATATTTTGTTCCTGCATCCTTAAATACAATAATCAGCAGGTAGTTTGTCAAAAAAGAACTTTGTTCTCTGAAGAGGAACCCCAGAAAGTGGCAGACAGCCAGGAGAGGTGGTTTTTTTAGGCAAATGTAGCTTTCACTGTGCGTGTGGCATAACGTTACAAGCCACAGAACAGGTAGGGGGCGATGCTGTAGGGATGGGCCAGGTCTCAGTTGGATTGCCTTGAGTGGTGCTGGTTGTGCTCTCCCAGCACTGTGGTCAGTGATGTGACATTAGTAGCTGGAAATTGATCCAGGTGGAAGTGTTGACACCACAGAAATTCGCTAGCCCTGGAAATCAGGGCTCATTTAGGAGGTAGAGTTGGGGAACCAGACTGCCAGCACTTAACCTCTGAGATGGCAAAGAAGGAAGAGAATTCTTACGACAAAACACTTTTTATTCTCTCAATAGAGTCGAACGTACAGCCACCATTTCCAAATTACTGTGCTCTTGTCCCAAAGCCTAAGACCCGGCCCTTGCCCATAAAAATATTTTGAAGATATTTGTTTTGATCAGTGTTCATTAATTCCATGTGGCTTAGCTTTTCTGTATCAGGCTATGAGGCAGAGCAGTGGTTACATATTTTAAACCTTTGGCTATCCCCACATTTACCCGCGGGAGGAATCGTCTCAGTTTACCTAATTCAGTGACAAGACTGAAGTTCCAGGCCTAGAACCATCTGCTCCTCTATTGCCTGGGGAAGCTCCTGCTGTGCAGGAGCTAGGGGGACAGGTAGAGAGGACCAGCAGGAGATGGCCATGCAGGGGGTGGCCCTGCGACACACGACACATGAGCTACGATGTCTCCTTTCTCAGAGTGCAGAGATGTACTGCTGCCACTGCTGACAGACCAGCTCAGCGGCCAGTTAGACGACAACTCCAGCAAGCCTGACTATGAGGCCAGCTCGCAGCTCCTGAGCAACATCCTAGAGGTGCTGGACAGGAAGGATGTGGTAAGTTGAGTCATCATTGAATTGGTGTGTAGTGTGAGCCCTTTGTCCTTCACACACGAGACCTGTGACCTGCCTCATCTTGAACACTTACAAACATGCATTTTAAAAGTGTGCAGAGGCCACAGTGTCTCCTTGGCACATCTGAGTCTACATGAAGTCAGTTTAGTAGGTGAGACCTCCACTGGCTCATTTTCCTGGTTTGGCCAAATTGCTTATCCTTGAGATTACTGTGAATAAATACCCTTGTAAATACTCTTTTTGAGACCAACCCCCCATTGCCAGGAGGCTTTCTGTTTTTATGTAGAAACCTCTACCCTGATCCTGTGATGTTAGGCAGCACTATATAAATATTTCTGAGCTTCTTAGTTTTCACTTTAATTTTTTAAACTTTATTTGGTTCGAAAGGCAGAGGACTCCCATCTGTTGTCTCACGCCACAAAGGCCTGTAACAGCCATGACTGAGCCAGGCCAAACCCAAGAGCCTAAAATTCAGTCTGGGTCTCCCACCTGGGTGGCAAACACCCAAGCCTTCATCACCTGCTGCCTCCAAGGGTCCACATTTGCAGGAAGCTGAAAATGGAAGTAAAGGCAGAGTTTGAACTTGGACTCTCCTACATGAGATGTAGACATCCCAGCCAGCATCTGTTCTCACCGCCTCTCTCACACTGATGCCCTGCTTCAACCTAGAACTTGCATTTTCCTATCTTTCCTCTTTCCTGTGATCTGTCTGCTCTTTTTCACCCAAGGCTACACCTGCCTGGATTCACCGTGTAGAGACAGCACAGCCCCCAGGCTTCCACAGATTCCCCCTTGAGAGAACCAGAGAGTCTTGCAGATTGTTCAGTTAAGCACTTAGAGCTCAGAATAAAAAGCATCTTCTCCCACAGCACACTGCCCCGTGGCAGTTGTGTGGTCAGGGTGTCCATAATAGCCCAAAGAAACCACTGCTTTTGTCTAAGCGCTCTCTTACCAGTTCTTTCAGGTTCAGCTCTGCCAAAGGATGTGAGGAACCCTGGACCTTTGCTCATAGTGAAACTCTTCGCTCTCCTTTCAAGCTCCATAGCAGCTTGGCCTGGGCCTACCTTCTCCTGTTTGTCATTCACACAAGCCCACTGCTGACCCACCCTCACTGCAGTCTCACAAGCATGGAGGACACCATTACTGTCCCCAGCTACTCCCCTGCCCTGTCCCTCCACCTCCCAGACCCCATGCTTGGTGTGTTATATGATATGATATTTGCTCATTACAGGGCCTTTCCCTCCCCCATTCTTAGTTTGCTTGAATGTGTTCCTAGAAACCGCATCATAACGTGGAATAAATATTCCCAACGAATGTTATGATTAGGGATCTGGTTCCTGACCAAGGACCTTGCAGCAAATAAACAAATGTGACTAATTGTATCATAAACATGACATTTTAAAAAGTAACTCTTTTGACTCAGTAATTATTTGACATGGTAAAATCCAGCTCTAAACCCTTCAGCAACAAAGTATGAAGTACTTTGGGTTAGCCAAGGTTCCAGTGCTTTAGATAGTATAGATCTGTGATTTATAGTTAATCTGAAATCTGGAAATAAGAGGATTGATTCCTAGTCCTGATAAAACCAGTTCTTTAGGACCAATGTTACAGTATATTGGGTAAAGCTACTGCTTGTGGTGTATGTCAGCATCCTGTATGGATGTTGGCTTGTACCCTAGCTGTCCACTTTGATCCAGCTCCCTGCTGATGGCCTGGGAAAGCAGGATCAAAGTGGTTTAAGCATTTGGGCCCTTGCTACACACTTGGGAGACCCAGATGAAGCTCCTGACACAGCCTGGCCATACCTGGCCATTGTGTCCATCTGGGGAGTGAACCTGCGAATGGAAGATTCATCTCTCTCTTTCATGGCCTCCCTCCATCCTCCTCTGTGGCTTTTCCTAATAAACAAGGCAGATTTACAGAGAGGAGAGAGAAAGATCTTCATTTGCTGATTCACTCCACCTAATGACCATAATAGCTGGAGATGAGCCAATCCAAAGCCAGAAACTTCTGGCTCTCCTACATGGATGTGAGATCCCAAGGCCTTGGGCCATTCTCTGCTGCTTTCTCAGGCTCTAAGCAGGGAGCTGGATGGGAAATGGAGCAGTTCAGGCTCAAACTGATGCCCAGATGGGATCCTGGCACTTTGAAGGGGGATTAGCCGATTGAGCCATCACGCTGGGCCTATAAATCTTTTTTAAACAGAAAAAAAGGGCCCAACACAGTAGCCTCGTGGCTAAATCCTCACCTTGAATGTGCCAGTATCCCATATGGGCACCGGTTCATGTCCTGGCAGCTCCTGCTTCCCATCCACCTCTCTACTTGTGGCCTGGGAAAGCAGTCAAGGATGGGCCCAAAGCCTTGGGACCCTTCACCCGCGTGGAAGACCCAGAAGAAGCTCCTGGCTCCTGGCTTTGGATCAGCTCAGCTCTGGCTGTTACAGCCACTCGAGGAGTGAATCAATGGACAGAAGATCTTTCTTTTTCTCCTCCTCTCCTTATATCTGACTTTCTAATCAAAATGAAAATAAATCTTTAAAAAATAAAATAATTTTTAAAATTAAAGATAAAAAATTCACTCCACTGCAATTAGCCCTTAGGCAAACCTCCCATTGCCACAGTTTCCTATGTAATAATATGTAGGAATCATTCCAAACAGCCTTGCAGTCTATTCCATGTCTGGTTCTGCTTTTTCATACACATTGCCTCTATATACCTTCTCAGCACACAGAAAGACTCCTTGGAAATAATTTGATAGTATTTAAATCCCATGGAAATTTACTTGCCATTTTTTTTTATGAGGCGAGGATTCTTTTTATCTTCCCAATAATGTTACTTGTCGTCTTTCTAGCTCTATTCCTCTAGTCATTCCAGTAATCTTGTGTTGATGGTGGTACTTCTTTCTCACTCAGAAGCATTTTTGTATGCATGAACTCTATATCTTCTGTTATCCTTTTCTCCCAACTAATTCAAGACTGACAGCTGACCTTGGCTCTTGGTGCCTTGTGCATGGTCCAGGCACCTTTTCTCTTCCCAGCTGCCATCTTGGAATCAGCATCGTCCTTGAGGTCAGCTGCAGCAGCTGCTCCATTGGGGTGTTCCTGTGGCTGTGCTGTCTGCACTCCACACCCTGCTGTTTCCCTTCCTGTTCTTCTCTTGTCTCTTCAGGGCTCTTACCAGTTTGTAGCTTGAATTACAAATTCAGCTCATAAACACCTGTTGAACTGCCACCCTGTATCAATGCTAGGAAAGGTGAGGATCATGGTTGTGAACCTAGGTGAGCACCCTGCCCTTGTGGCGCCAAATTGCTAGTGGCTTCCTCCTTCAGATAACTAAATCACTGTTCTGTGTACATATTGCTTGTTAGCATTTTGTTTCCTTTTTATTTTAAAAGATGTAGAAGTGACATAATTGCATATATTCAGTGTGTTCAACATGATGACTTAATATGTATAGACATTGTGTGATGATTGTTGCAATTAAATTGGCACATTCGTCACCACTCATGCTGTTCAGAGACAGAGACACTGATTCACTTTCAAATGCCTTCTGAAATCAGAACCAGGAAGTTCATTCCAGATCTCCCCTGTAAGTGATGACAGGGACCCATGTATTTGGACCATCCCTGATGCCTCCTTTGGTTTGAATTAGCAGGAAGCTTATTAGGAGAAGAGCTGGGATTCAAACCCAGGCACTCCCATTTGACTTGTAGGTGGACAGAACAATGGCTTAACCACTGTGCTAAACCCCCCACTCCAGATATTTTATATCCTTGTGGCTTGGTGGCTGGAGTTCAGGATCAGAACTAAGTTCTGGTGAGGACTGTTCCTGGCTTGTAGATGGCTGCCTTCTCCCTGTACACTCACATGGGGACTGAGAGGAAGCATCCCTTGGAACACCGTTAGACCAAGGCCTCATGCCTCTGACCTGAACTAAACCCCCATATCTTTGTGCTCTCCTATTTAGGAATTAAGGCTTCAAAATAAGGATTTGTGGGAAATTCACCTATTGTTTTCATATGAGCTGGACATCCTTTTTTTTCTTTGTGCACAGAAAGTGTTAAGAACTTTGCATTTCTGCATTTCACTTTCCACACTTTTGTTGACAAATTTTCCTGGCCCACCCTCATGTGCTCAGACAGAGCAAATTCTAACACTGGTGATGGCAGTAATAAGCTCTTGGTGAACCTGGTCAGCCTGGGTTATTAGGGTGTGCACTGGAGCCCTGCATACCACTTATGTGTCTTCTAGATGCTAGAACTGATTCTGCTCATCTGACTTATGCCATGAAGTTAATATATTTTGCTTCTGAATAAGAACTTGAACTGCAGGGAAGTGTTGAGATATAAAGAGAAAACTCATCTGTGAAACTTCATTTAATAAAGGTGAAGCTAAGTGAAAACAAATATCACATCCTGTGTTTCTCCTGCTCCTAGGGTCCCACAGCCTCACACATAACGATGATAATGGTGCGCCTGCTGCGCAGGATCAACCGGACAGTGATTGGGATGAACCGGCAGTCTCCGCACATTGTGAGTGTCTCTTTGGGGGCCCCACCTGCCTGTTGGCAGACCTGCAGGGCCTGTGGTTAGGGATGAGATGCACTTGCCCCTCCATCACAGTCTACTGATGAAAATCCTCAGCAGATCCCTTTCTGACATGGATGGTTCTGTTCCGTATCAGACCATTTTCCCTGGCTAGGATGAGCCAAGGACAAAAGCGACATCATAAAGATGTTGTGATTAGTATGCTTGTAGAAAGAGCAGTGTTGCTTCAGCTTGTTAGTGTCCATCTACTACATAGAAACATATCCATGAGAAAAGTCTGAGACCGGTAGTAACTACTCAAAGTCCCATTAAAATGAGGCGTCTTCTAGTCACTGTCCTAAAAACAGATTTTAATCAGAAGGCATAGGAAAAGAATTCTCTCAAATTGTTTTGATAAAGAAAAACCCTGCCTACATTCGTTGAATGAGTGTGTGTTAAGAAATTATGCCAGCCACTGTTCCAGACCCTGGAAAGAAACCGTGAACAGCACAATAAAGTACTTTCTATGTGGAAAAGCAATGAAGAACAATAAGAAAATAAGCTTCAAAGGATTGTTAGAAGGAGACATGTGTTATGGAGAAGAAAAAATGAACAGAAAAAGGAAAGTCAGGCTTAGGATGTCACAAGTTTTAAGAAGGCAATACTTCACCCAAAAAGTAAATATTAGGTAAAAACCTGAAGATAGTGATGGAGTAAACTGCACAGATTCCCGGGGAAGGGCCTTCCAGGAGGAGGGAACAACCAGGGCAGAACCCAAGATGGTGCACCCAATGAGAAGCAACATGGGAGTGATCCAGCTGTTTCCAATACGAATTAGGAAACATGACTAAAACCTACACAAAACCAAAGCATCTTACAAGACAATTCAGTTCTCCTTTATATGATTAGTGTTCATCTAGGCTATTCCTGGATCTTTCTCTGCAGAAGAAAAGGTTCATAGAAAAAGGTCTGTAGAAACTGGAAGATTCCTATGTAAAGTCAAGGCTCTTGACCTGCTTGGAGTAGTGGGGTTGTGGGCAATCATGCTAACTTGTTCATCAATACAGAAGCAAGGAAAATGCAAAATTGATGGATCATGTGTTAGTCTTGAGCATTATGCTGTTTAGTGTGCAGAAATAAAATAGGTGACTTGATGGCTCTAGCTTTTCCACTACTGAATTTTGAGAATAAGAACGACTTGCAGAAAATTACTCAAGTTACTTATATACTTGCAAGTAGAAGTTGAGAACATTTTAACAGCACTGTTTCACTAATCCTTTCATAATTTATTAGAATTCCTGGCAGACTTACTTGTCCAAGTTTACCAGAATGAGAGCAGAATGACTAGCACTGATAGCATTTTATAAATCTGTGAAGTTTAAGCAAATAACACTAGATGTACCACTGACCACTGTTATCAAGCCATTTCTACCATGCATTTAAAGAACATATAAGGAAAGCCTGCTTACTATATTATTTAAGCAATTATATATTGGCTTATAGCTAACACTGTGAGTTTAAATTTACCTATCCAGCTTCCATTCGTGGTTATATCATGTTATCTTGCTCACTATTTAAATGAGCTTGAGAACTTTGAAAAAAGAGGTGAGAACTTCAGTATAAGCTACAGAAGGCCCACTCCTATTAAAGTAAGAGAAAAGTTGTATGCACAATCTGGGTCCTTGGAGAAATATACAAAAGAGAAATATACAAAAGGAAATACACCTGGCATAATACATGGTTTATTTGATATTTAAGAAGTTAAATATTAGAAGAGCTAATAATTCACAAACTGTATGAATTCATTGATGCCTAATCCTTGGCCCTACAACATCGCCCGCCCTTCTCTATTACTACTCTTTACAACAGACTCAAAACTCTACAGGTTGTTTGTCTCACTGCTTCTCGGCCTTTTGGCTAAGATCAAGTGTTTTATCTCTACTGGAAACAAGTTGAGCTAGTTAGTGTCCCTGGACCTTCTGGGCTCTACAAATCTTAACTGTTAAGGATGTCAAATGTCCTCCAAGTTTCCTGGCTGAAACCCGGAAGTAGGTGATTTGTAGCTGAAACCTGATAGGTAGAATGTGGTGTGTTTCCAGTTTGGCAGGGTTCCTGCATAGTTCATTGATTAAGAAGACCAAAGTCTGTGGAGCTCAAATCTTATTTTGTCACCGGGTGCTTTGAACCTTCAACTTCTGTTTCTGCTTCCCTCCCAGGGAAGTTTTGTGGCTTGCATGATTGCCATCCTGCGGCAGATGGAAGACAGTCACTACAACCACTACATCAGCACCTTCAAAACCAGGCAAGACATCATTGTAAGTAGTCTTTGCTGGATTCTGGCAACCTGAAGACTTATCTGATTCTGTTAAAAAACAGTAACTAAAGCTGAGCATCCGGAGTTCAGGGTTTCCTTCCTACCAACCTCAACTGCTCTGAGAAAGGGAAGGGTTGGCTCTTGCTTTCTCTCTCTGATGGGGTTTGAGGTGGAGGATTATGTGTAGATACCAGAAGGTTATCACACATCGCAGGTCTCTTGGATTTAGAGAGAGCTTTCAGAGCTCCCAAAGGTTTAAAAACACTCTTCTCTTGGGAGATTCTCTGAAAAAAGAAGATTGTTTGCAGTGACCATAGTTAGTCACGTATGATCACAAGGATTTTTTGAAGACAGGGATATGTAGACTCTCTGACATGTAATTTATATCGTCTTGGAGAGGTCGACAAGAAATTTAATGATGTCCTGCCTCTTACGTTTTAAAGGAGAAGATCATTCTCAGAGTTACTGGGAAGCATGAGGCTAAGAGGCCAAGTAAGCCTTGCGATGCTGCTTTTATAGCACAGCACTCAGGAGGTTGCTAGTGGCCATTGAGTTGTCCGGGGGACTGTTGGCTCATCTTGCCGAGCAGTGAACTGGACATGAAGTTGGATCTGCAGACGGATGCTGTGTGGCCCTGGTCTGTACTCTGGGTGGCTTCCTGTCATCTACTCATATTCCACTTTCCTTTGTGCTATGGATATGCATGTGGCTTTCTGCCCGCGTTACAGCCAGTGCACCAAAGGGCACACAGCTCCTTCCTTGCCCGCAACTTTGCTTTTGGTAATGGCCATCCACAATATGAGCAGACATACCAGGCTACTTCAATATAATTATGGCAGATAGAACTAACAGACAATTTGTTTTGGTACCCAAAATTTTGAACTCTTTGTATATGCACGTAAGGTTTTCAAAAAGTTCTTGGAAAATACATATTATGAAAAAATGCATACATTTCAAACATCTTTTATACCAAAATAAGTTTGTTTTTAATTTTCATTTTTCCACATACTGAAGTGCCTTTTTGTAAGGAATTACAATAGCAAATGGTACTTCCTATTAATTGATCCAATCATGTAGGCCTCAGAGTATTTTTTTGAACTGCGTGGCTCAAGCTGGAGGCCTAATTCCCCTTAGGCTGTGCTGTGCTAAGATAGCAAGGTATCAGTACCATAACAATATGTGAGTGTACCTATAGCAACAGGTGCAAGAGAATCAGGATGAGCAGAGGAGCTGGGAGAGATGGAGACCAAAACAGCAATGTTTCTCCATGAGTAGATGGCATAGTGAACAAAAGCACAGATTTTAGACTATACCACTTTTGGATTGGATTCTGATTTTTCCAATTCTTATGTGAAATCCAGAACAAGGTATTTAGCCTTACTGCAGCTCAGTTTTTTTTATCTCTAAGATGGTATCTTACTTTAAGGGTTACTAGGAGTACCGCAGTTACCCGTTCACTGTGCTTTTGCTTTTCTGTGGTTTGTTACCCACTGTCAACATTGGTCCAGAACTATTAAAATGAGTAATTGATATGTTTTAGATACATTTTGTTAATGTATTATAATTGTTCAGTTTTATTGACTAGTGCCTATTTCACTATGCCTATTTTATAAATTAAACTTTGTCATATAGGTTTGCATGTGTAGGGAAAAGCATGTTTATGGGGTTTGGTGGTGTCTGCAGTTTTAGTCATTCACCTGAGGGTGGTGGAGCTTATTGCTATGGTCTGGGCTGGGGCCACCGTCTTGACTGAATCCATGCATAGAAAATGCCTTGCTGAGCTTGGAATGTGGTTAACGACTGTGAAGACTAATGCTTGATAATAATAATAATCCTATTATTATAACTTGAAATTAACATGAAATAGTTTATTGGGGTTTTTTTCAAAGCCATTCGGAAAGCAAGTATTATATGACACCCTAAAGTCAACATTTGATGGTTTGGCTCTACCATTAAGTAAGGGAGAAAACAAGCAGATTTAACTCCTGTTTGCCAGAACAGTGATGAGCTCTATTGTTTGCATTATATAATTAAAAGATAATTTTTCCCATGGGGAACTAAGGCCTGAAGAAACAGGCTGGCCACTTGGCCAAGCCCATCTTCAGTGTCAGAGCCTCCAGGTACAGCTGACTCCAAGCCTCCAGTAGGCAGTCCTGTGTCGCGTTTCATGTCAGCTCTGAGTTGGGCCCATGGAAGTGGTGGGTGAAGTGAGGTGCTATTCTGCCGTCTTATTAACTCAGACTGTCTAAAGTTAGACGTAGAGTCAGACACAGGTCCTTGACCACTGACATCTCATTATTCATTGTTTCACAAACCATGAGTTCTTGTTTATTTAAATGGTTGATAAGTAGTTGGACACAAAGTGCTTGATTTAAAAAAAAAAAAAAACTACAATCCCATGGAACATGCATGTTCCTCCTGCAACACCATGTACTTCATGAGGTAGAACCGCCTGAGCAGCTGCCAGAGGCACAGCACTGGGGCTTCATTTCAGGAACCCACAGGGAAAAGGCTAGTGACCCAATGAAAATGCTTTTAAAATGTCTTGGCTTTGATTTTTAAATTAATTGTTCTATTTCTGAATTATTTATTTTTTATCACATCCCCCCTTTGGAACAGCCTTCCTTCCTTTCTCTCCCTTCTCTTGGTCAGTGATTACAATCCCCACAAGCCACGACCGTGATCGGATAGGATCCACTTAGGATCCTTTTGCTCAGCTGCACGTGACAGCACTTCTGAAGCAGGAGAAATTATGACTGCACTTGTGCGTCTGGCATTTCTCTTCTAGCTCTAATGAGGGAAAATTAGACCCAAATATTTAAAGTTCTCACAATTTTGGGTAGGTGTGACAGCCATATTTGGGCACTCCCTGGCAGGAGAGGACTAAAGAGAGAAGGTCTGTCAATACCCAGGGATTAAAGTCCCAAACTCTTACCCAGCTGTCCTGCTTTCTAGTCTTCAGCTGAAGCAAGTCATTTCATTTTCTGCAGGCTTGAGTTCACTGTTTGTTGTATAGGGACAATTTGTGTCCTGAATTTCCTTATGGGGACGTGTGATGTGACAGTCGAAGGCTAGCTTGTTGCCAGGACATTACCTGTAATAGATTTGTGGATGCTGAACTGTTAGTATGGCTTTAGGAACTCTTTCTCTGATCTAGTCCTAGTCAGTGTACCACAGAAATAGGCAAGGAATGCAGTCTCAACTCTTGCTTGTTCTCTGCAGGACTTCCTCATGGAAACTTTTATCATGTTTAAGGATCTGATTGGAAAGAATGTCTATGCCAAAGATTGGATGGTGATGAATATGACCCAGAGCAGGTGAGATAGCCCATGGCCCTCTGTGGAACATGTGACTGCAAACTTGGGTCTGCTGTTCCATCCACCAGCTGTACAGTCATGCTCTTCTCAGTCTTGTGACCCTCACTGATGTGTGTGGGACCCTGACTTCCCCTGGACTGTGCAGGTGCTCCAGTGTGGGCTTTCTGCTCCTTTCTCTGGTCTAGCCGCTCAGCATTCTCCTCTCAGCCTTCAGGATCACCGCCCCCTGGCCTCCTTCAACCTGCTCCTCAAAGCCATTGCTGCCTTTTGAGACTTCCTGCGCATATCATCTGTGCTGCAGGCAGATGTGCCTCTTCCCCATCCCTGCTCTGCCTCACTCCACTGGTTCCATTTGCAATGACTTTCCCACAAATCTGGCTGCCTATTGGTTCTTCTCTCAAATGTCACCGAAGGAAACTTTCTGACCTTGTGTGATCTTCCTTTTATTTCCTGAACAATGCTGAAAACTTCATGTGGAGTTTTTGTTTTTGTTTTTGGTTTTTGTTTGGGTTTTTTTTTTTTTTTTGCACACACTTAGGTCAGATTTTTAATTTGTGGAGTTGGCAAAATAGAGACTGTGTCTTTCACAGCACTTACAGCACTGCTTTGCAATGACTGGCCTACAACAAGTATGTGTTGAATGGAAGAGAAAGTGTTGAAATATTCATTATGTTAAAAGGGCTTTAGAATTTTTAACTAAATAAAGCAAATCATTATAACTAGCATTTTTATTCATTGTTTCTGAACCTGATACCTGAATTTCCAAAGGTCCCCAAACTATGTACATATTAGATTTTTTTTTTTAGATTTATTTTTTTTAATTTTTATTGGAAAGGCGGATATACAGAGAGGAGAGACAGAGAGGAAGATCTTCCGTCTGATGATTCACTCCCCAAGTGAGCACAACGGCCAATGCTATGCCGATCCAAAGCCAGGAGCCTCTTCCGGGTCTCCCACGTGGGTGCAGGGTCCCAAAATTCCAGGCCGTCCTGACTGCTTTCCTGGGCCACAGGCAGGGAGCTGGATGGGAAGCGGAGCCGCCAGGATTAGAACCAGCGCCCATATGGGATCCCGGGCATGCAAGGCGAGGACCTTAACCATTGCACCACCGAGCCGGGCCCAACATATTAGATTTTTAAAAATGCACCAGAAACCCTAGACTGAGTGATAGAAGCATCACAGTAGAGTGTCAGATGCACCTGCTCTGAAGATCAACAGGCCCTGTGTGGAGTCTACAGAGTAACATGCTCAGAGCAGTTGTTCGGGTGAATTCCAGGAAGTGAACAGAAGAGCCATTTCTATGCATTGTGCTCTGTGTGCTTGATCTCCGAGGACTCCGTACTTCAGTTGAAGTTCTTAAGTTGCCCAGACAGACCAGGGTTCACTTTGGTCTCATTTTTCATATTGATGGGGAAATGTTTGCAAGGATCTCAAACCACCACCCTTGTTTTCTGTCTTCAGGGTTTTTCTCCGTGCCATCAATCAGTTTGCCGAGGTTCTCACGAGATCTTTCATGGATCAGGCAGGCTTTGAACTTCAGGTAGGCACTTGACTCAGCTGAGAATTCCTGCAGTTCTCTGCTACAGCCAAAGAGTGACTTCCACTGTTTTTGGGAAAGCTGCCTCTGATTTCACCATTGTCATACAATATATATTCTTGTTACTCCATCCTCTGAGCATCATAAAGTGGTGTTTCTCCCTTGTTTCTGTAATTCATGTAAAAAGTAATACATATAGTATAAAGTAAACGTTACACTCCAGTAGAAATTGTAGCTAAGCAAATTATAAACAAAAAAGCCAACGGTTTTACCCTTTGCTGTTGGCATTTAGTGTTGGTGTTGCTCCTGAGTGTGTCTAGTCAAATATTGCTTCCCAAGAGGCCCACAGGTAACTCCTCTACTGACAGATGAATTTTTGCATACGCACATGTTTTCACAGTCCTAACACAACTACCAGATAAGTGGCCACCAACTTTGGCTTCTTTCCCTCATTCTTCCAGCAAATACTGACATATTTTTATGTCCAGGGAGCCATTCTGCACCCTGTTCATAGTAAGACCACTGCTTTAGTGGAGCTTCTGTTCCAGAGGACCTTTGTGGTAATGTCTTTGTTCTGTGTCACATGCCTTCGTTTGTATCTGTGGAACTTACAAGGTGCTGTGTTCACGCACATGCATATTTGTGTATAAAGGACTCCAGGGTGCCCTGACAGTATGTAATAAGGTACTTCAAAAACCAAAAAAAAAAGTCAAGGAAAATGGAATTAAGGCACATATGCATTGATTGCCAAAATATAAATCCATGCATATGTATCACATAAAAACTATGCACAAATTTCATTTGTTTTGTATCAAAATGAACTTGCCTTCTGTTTAAATGTGCATTTTATTTATCTAAAAGGCAAACAGAGGCATTCAGACCAATCAAGAAGAATGTGTCCATAGGTTTACTTCCTAAATGCCAGCGATTGCTGGATATGGCATAGGCTGAAGCTGGGAGCCAGAAACTCCCTCCAGGTCTCCCACATGAGTGGCACAGACCATCATCCATGTCTCCCAAGGTGTGCACTAACAGGGGGCTCATGTTGGGAGTGGAGCCAATACTTGAACTCTAAAATGAGTGTTGTAGACATACCAAGTAGTGTCTTAACCACTAAGCCAAACACATAATCTTATTTATATTTTTATTCCATTTTTACAAGAGCATTAATAAATATCCTGGTACATATAAAGATATTATAAATATATTTGTGTATATTTATTTGTATATATGCCAAAATCCAGTTGAGTTGTGCAATTCTTTGGTAATCTGTTCATCTACTTTCCGTGTTTTTTCCATGATCCATGATTTTTTTTTAAAAAATATGTTTTTAATGGCTGAATGCACTCTGTTACATAGTAGGATCACATTTTAGCAACAAAATTCTTTTTATGAATATTTATGTTATTTCATTTTTGTTACAATAAAGCACCATGCTGAGCTCTTGTTTTAAATATTCAGGTTTTTTTTTTAATGTCCTGTATGTATTATTTGCTAGTTCAAAAGTTTGGCAGAATCTTAGGCTGTTGATGCAGGTTGCTAAACCATTTACTTATACGTAGACTTCTTGGCATCACTTTTCCTTTATCCCAGGAGGAAAGTATGAAGTTTGGATTTTGTATTAAAAAAAAAAAAACTTAATATTCAGTCTCAGAACCTTCAGAACTGAGTAATTGAAATCCAAGAAAAAAAAGGATGTCTTTGGATTTTTTTTTTCCACTGACCATGGATAGTGACTTTACCAGATGGCACTGATTTATTATGGCCTGTATTCATGTTGTTTTTCCTTTTCTTTTTGCCCACACAATTAATTTTGAATAGCTCTGGAACAATTACTTCCATTTGGCGGTAGCATTTCTCACCCATGAGTCCCTTCAACTTGAAACCTTCTCACAAGCCAAACGCAGCAAAATTGTAAAAAAGTAAGTGTCCTTTTAAGCTTGTTTAGGAATGGGAAGGTAATTCTTCTGTTTATGTTCAGGTTAATATTTTTGCTATTGTAGTGATAACTGCTCAGGAACTGCTCAGTGTTGTTAATGAAGAAGGTCTTAAAATAATCCTGTAGGAGGTTTCAAATTCTCCTGGAGTCACATCTCTTCCTTCAAGGTCCTGTCAGCCCTCTCTCAATTTTCCCATGACTTTTGTTGTATCTACATAAGAGGCTCCTGGGATGGCAGACACTCTTGTTCACAAGAACCCCTACTACCTGCTGGTGGCTCCTTGAAATTTGGTAGAATTTTGGTAGAGGATGATGTTTAAGGCAATAGTAGCATGACTAGGATGATGTAAACCAGTGGTTGTGGGATAGACCATAAGTGTATATTAGAGTTCCCTGGGAACATTGACTTTTAACTGATTCTACTCTCTACCCTGCCCCAGCCTTTGGTGTAGTTGATGTTGTGGGTATAGCCTCAGGTATATATGTTGCTTAGGAGATTTCCAGATATTTCTGATTGACCTACACCCTAAAATCACACTCAAGAACCAATATTCTTTCACTGTGTTTCTCGTGATTAGCTCTGATCGGGATTCTTTTCATGACATTGTTTTCTTATGCACACTTTCCATGAACTGTTAATTCTACAGGTATATGTGATAGCCGTTGATGTGCTCTGGATATGTAAGCCAGTAAGCTTCCCCTCCCCTTTAAGCCAGTTTTCATAACTTTGGCAATAATATCACCTCCAGTGAGAATTCATGGTCCAGGGCTTTCCAATAGTGAGTACTTTGAAGAATGCATTAATATTGTATGATCTCAGCCTGTGTGTCAGACATCAGTTCCATTACTGTATAAGTTATCCTCATCCATCTTCCTTTTTCATTTGTGTTTCTTACTAGTTGCTTATTTCTTCCTTTGCTTCACAGCAACTGGAGTGTCTCTCTCCTCCCTTCAGTTGGTATGTTAATCTCATAGTATCAGTTATTTTTCAAGCACTTCCACTGCTGCCTATACATCTCAGTTCTCTTTCGGAGTTTTAAGAATTGACTTCATCTCTTCTGGTGACCTTGTCTCTATGTGACCCAGAGGGACATGAGCTGTTTTATCCTTCTTGTTATATTGTATTCAATGCCATTGCCACTGCAAACCCTCTTCTTGGTTTATGATCTCGTTCCTAGATATGGGGACATGAGAAAGGAAATCGGCTTTAGAATCCGGGACATGTGGTATAATCTGGGTGAGTGTGTGACCCTGGCCTGACCCAAGCACAACTCCTGTGTCTAAAGAATCCCATGATAAATCATCTTTCTGTTTCATTCACATGGCACTGACATTGATTTCTTATATGTGCGCATGGAAGTTAAAGTTGGTTTTGGGGTTCCACACCCTCATCTGCACTGGGTTGCAGACTGTGAACTGTTACTGTAACATCCACACACCTTCAGGATGCATTGTTTCACCACTCCTGCATGGAGCTGAGTGACACATACGACCTTTTCTTATGGGCGCTGTGGAGGAAGATGATTACTCATTACTTAGAGTGGAATGATTTTTTTTGTATCTTCACTTTTTTTCAGGTCCCCATAAAATCAAATTTATTCCATCTATGGTGGGTCCTATCCTGGAGGTCACTCTGACCCCTGAAGTAGAGCTCCGGAAAGCCACAATCCCCATTTTCTTTGATATGATGCAGTGTGAGTTCAATTTCAGTGGAAATGGCGATTTTCATATGGTAAGAAGTGGGAGAGCCTACAATCTGACAGAAGCACAGGGAGTCACCACTTCCTTCCTTTCTGCCTGGGAAACAGTCACCTGAGTAATAAATACTGAGTAACAAAAAATGAAAATTCATTTTTACATTTGCTTTTGTTAAGGTTTCACTTAAATTTTTTAATTAGTCTATTTACTTGAGGAACAGAATATGAAGACAGAGAGCTGCTTAGTTTACTCCTCAAATGGCCATGATAATGAAATTTGGGCCACACGGAAGCCAGGAGCCAGGAATCATTGCAGGTCTGGTAGGTGGGTGGCACAGACCAAATACTTGAGCCATCATCTGCAAGAAATTAAAGTCAAAGCACAGCCGTGACTTGAACCTAGATGATCCCAAATGGATTGTGAGTGTCTTAAACTTAGCCACAGACCCATACCTGTATTATTTTTTTTTCTGCATTGTTTTGTGTAAAGCAATTAGAGTTAGTGGCTGATATTCCAGCCCAAAGCTGGAATAGATCATTTTGCTAAATGTCCTTCCTAAAGCAACAAACACTTCACTTCTAGAAAATTAAAAGTTGGTTTCATTCATTTTAATTCTGTTTGTAGCAGCATAGCTGAGCAAATAATACAGTAAAATGAGGGAGGGAAAATATATCTGTGTGGTATAGCTGAAGGAATAATTGAATGCATTGAAATCTAACCCATTGCTGCATAGTTTTGAGAACCCAATTTGCCTAATCTCTGTGTCTGTTTTTCTATAAAGTATATCAATAGTGAAAGACAGATTGTATAACTATCAAACTTCAAAGGTAGTCCCACTGCCAAGACTTAAACAAGTAATAAAAATAAAATAGAAAATTACAATCAATAAGCTATTTTTTTTTTTTGCTTTCATGGTTGTAACAAAATTTTGAAACTTTTTTTTAATGTTAAGGACAAGGTAATAGGGGACTACTTGAGAACATTTTGTTTGGACTTTGGCACTCTATTCATGAGTGACAGGAAGCAGGATCCTTCCTGTCTATGTGAGATGCAGTTTGTGATTCAGTAAGGGATTGGACCTGAGTTGGAATGGTTGGCTGGGTGTCTCTTGTGAGGCTGACATTCTTCTGTGAAATTGTTCTGCTTTCAGTTTGAAAATGAGTTGATCACAAAGCTGGACCAAGAGGTAGAAGGAGGCAGAGGAGATGAACAGTACAAGGTTCTTCTGGAAAAACTGTGAGTATTTCCAAAACAAATCCTCATGTTGGCAGTGGTGTGTAGTAGGAAGATGGAGCTTCTGCTGCCGACAGTGAGTCAGTCATCTCCTGTACCCCATGGTCGTCGGTGAGTCGGTCAGCTTCCACTGTGCCCCCATGGCTGTCGGTGGGATCAGAGGGCTTGACACCCTCCACAGCTGACATCATTTATCTGATGAGAGTCAGATGCGCATGTGTGTTGCTCACCATCTCAGCCCTGGAGAACAGAGCAAATGGAGGAGCGGAGGAGGTGTACAAAGCAGTGGCATTTTGCCCAGGGTCTGAGTGTCTGAACTTCAACCAAAGTGTTAGCACCTCTAATTATGGCTTCAAAGCAACAATTTAAAAGAAAAGCGTTTCCAAGTCCAGTTTATATTTAAAAATACCGTATGTCCTGTAAAGGACCTCTAAGAACAAAGTGCTTATATCTCTAGGCAAGTTAGTCTTTTCATTGCTCCGTCCACACTACATTAAAAAAAAAAAACATGTTGAGCTTCAGGTTCTGTTTTTGCAACACAGTTTGGCTCTGGAGAAGTACATCAACTTATCCAATACCTCATTTTTCTCCCATTAACAAGAACATCTGCCTTTTGTGTGCTGTCGAGAGTGAATGAGATGATGCATGAATGTAGTGTTTGCTGTGGAGTTAGTGCTTCCTGCAGGTCAGCTGCTGTAGCATTTGCTGCTGCTGTTGATACTAATGTTCCCATCACCTCGAGTACTGATTTCTTATTTCTCTAAACTTTGAAAATAAAAAGCAGACTTGTTGCCCTTGAGTACTTACTCAAGTCATTTTGTTATTCACCTGTTTTGTGGGTGTTTGGGGAATTAGACTGAGCTTGAAAACAGAAACTCCCAAACTTTTCTGAGACTTCCTTAGGAGCCATCCCACTGAATGCTAGAAATGACATTGAATTGTGATGAATAGTCTGTATTCGAATGAAATGGAAATCTTTCTTAGTTTTTTTAAGGATGTTGTTTTTAGTGGTTGTTTTCTGCTGTTTGCCCTGCTCTGTATATTTGAGCTTCTGAATTTCCCAGAATTTTATATATTGCTTTTATGTTTCTAGTTTCACATGAAGTCAAAAGAAGCTGTATAGACATACAAAAACATGTGTACAATCTTTAGACGTGATGAGCTATATTTTCTAAAATCCTGATGTTGATTACATAAATATCTTACCCTCATTTCTTCATTCCTTCTGGATCAATAACCCCCCCAAAAAAATGACCACAAAAATTTCCAGTATCTAAAAGTAATTGCACCCATTTCATTCTTTTTTACCCCTTCCCTTTCTAAATTTCATTTTAATTGTCTAATCTGTGAAGTCCGCAAAGTTTGCTTTTGATGATTCTAAGACAAGGGGATATAGATCAAAGGCATAGCATTGCATTGCTTATTTAGAATTCCGTGTTCTTATTTGAAAATAACACCTTTATCTATAAGAGCCACATATCTGGATATGTACCAGCTCTTTGAAACCTGGCTTTAATCCATGCCTTTCCAGAGTGCCTGTAGGATGTTTTGAATGCCAGGCTGTAGGGAGACTAAAGACATTCGGAAGGTAGTCTCATCAGCTTGATTACACTCGTCAGCATGCATGAGCTGTGAGCAAGGGTTCTTGTTTCTGTGATACTGGTTTTTAAGAAATAAAACCACACATTTGACCTTCATGAAATATCATAGACTAGGATGCTAAGTGATAATGGGAAGAAAGCTAATTCCTAAAAAGAATGTAGAACTTGAGTGAACCAAGACACTGAGACAAGATGGAGTTCCACAAAGGATATGTGTCAGCTTAACTGTCATTCTGTACCCACCTTGTCTTCACCACCTGCTGCTGGGTGCCGGAATGACAACTCGGAACCTGAGCATTTGTCTCTGCCTCCTCCTCTCCAGGCTGTTAGAACATTGCCGGAAGCATAAGTATCTCTCCAGCTCTGGGGAAGTCTTCGCGCTTCTGGTCAGCAGCCTTTTGGAGAATCTGTTGGACTACCGAACCATCATGCATGACGAGAGCAAGGAGAACCGCATGAGCTGTACTGTTAATGTGCTGGTATGTGCCAAGCCCATGGAGTGACTGGAGGACACTGTCAGGCCACTGTGGTCCCACAGATCGACTAGGAGAGCTCCCAGATCTCTTGGACACAAAGGTCACCTTTGTGGAGCCTCTCTCCTGCTAAGATGAATGGGAAATGCTGAGTCAGCTGTTGGTTGACACAGCAGCAGCCACAGACCCACAAAGCTTGAGGATAAATTTGAAAACAGAACCAGGAAATGCAGTGTAAGCTGATTTCTCACCACTATTGCCGAAAGCCATCTTCAGCTTGTTTCAATCTTTCTTAAATATGGCGGTTTTGCTGTTGGAATGGCAGGAACAGCATACAGATACATACATATATCAAGATGGTCATGCACAGAATTAGGACATGAAAGCCTCATAGGGATAGAGCTTTCTGGGGGGGGGGCTCACTTTCCCTGGGCATACAGGAAATGGGACTACAGAAACTCAGCATTTCAGGTTACCATGCATCCCTTTGCTTAGTAGACACTAAGACCCTCCCTGATTCCCTGATACAGTAGTATATCTGGCCAGTTGGGTATGACCTAGAAGTCTGCCTGGGTCCTTGACAGCATTTCCAGTTAACCTTGTCACTTTCTTTTCTTGGGGTGGTATTAAGACAGTGAAGTCTTTTAGGAGAGTGAGACTGTTGAAATCCAATAACCATGTTTTGACCATTGTCATGGCAGCTCACCATCAGCCCCCTTGATTTACTTTGGTATTTTGTGACCCTTTTTCTTGCAGAACTTTTATAAAGAAAAGAAGAGAGAGGACATCTATATAAGGTAAGGTGAAGCGTACCTCCTGCTTTTTGGCACTTGTGTCCTGGCTTTGTCATTTACTTCTTCAATAGGCAAATAGTATGTCCCAACCCCACACATGCTGCTTTGGGAGACCCCTAAAAAGTACACAATATCCTGTTTGCTGCAAAAGGATAGAATGATTCTTTGGACAGATTCACGATATGAAGCAGTGCTTTGGGAGAAATGTGTCAGGATGCAAGGGACAATAGAAGACTCTCAGTGGGAACAGGCATGAGAATTAACTTTTCCAGTACTCTTGGCCTGAGCTCATAAGACTCTCAACATGGAACAAACTTGTGTATCAACCAGATACATGTTCTTGGGGAGAGATTCCATAGCTTTCACTAACTTCCCAAAGGGGCCGAAGACCTGAAAATTAAAAGAGCTGATTTCAACCCCTGCCTTACAGCAAGAATAATGGATGGAATAGGAAACTCACAGAGGTAGGAAGTAGCACAATGGGTTGAAAAAGGAGTAAACAACCAGTTTCTGTATTTGAGAGAAAGAAAGAGTATGTATGTAGTGATGAGATGGGTGTGGGTAGGGAAGCAGGCTGGGGTGGAGTGTGCCAAATGTTACACTAACTTTAGAGTGATATAGTGCCCCCTTCTTCTTGCCAGGTATTTGTACAAGCTTCGAGATTTGCACCGAGACTGTGAGAACTACACAGAAGCTGCCTACACGCTTCTCTTACATGCTGAGCTTCTGCAGGTAAATGGATCAAGGGAGCTTGTTTAAACTCTGCACTAGCTTCTGTCTGCTTCATGCATGTCATGGGAAGAACCTGGTTCAAGTGCTAACTTTTGTCCAAGGATATTTTTACACCTTTTAAGTGACAGTTTACCTCAGATTAAGGTTGGGTGTCTTCTACTAATACGAATTAAAGACATGAAAACACATTGAAATGATTTGTAATATTACAGAGAAATGAGTAAATGCATGGAGTGCCATCATCCTAAAGGTTTTATTGTGGCATGACATAGATCCATCCATGTATCTTGAATCCCTAGTAATTGGGTCTTGCTTGGACCACCTCTTTAGGGTTGGAATTTGTGTGAAAGTTCTTCTTCAGCCATCAATCTTTCAATGACTAATAGACAACTTACACTTAACACGTCAGTGACAGAGCCTGTATTTGCACTGTTAAGCCCCATTCCATTATGACCTTGTCGCCACTCTGAACTGTTTTCCCTGAATGGCACCACCATCTTAATCAGGTGCTCAAATAGCCCTTCTTCAATCTTCCTGGCTTTCTCTCTTTCATTCAGCATTTCCTACATTCTCCATGGGCAAGAGTCATGGGCCATGTGTGTTTTTTAAAATATATATATTTATTAATTTTATTTGAAAGGCAGTTAAGGAAAGAAGGAGAGACAGAGGGAGATCTTCCATTTGCTATGCACCCACATGGCTGCAACAGCTGGAGCTGAGCTGTTCAGGAGTCAGGAGATTCCTGCAGTTATCCTATGTGAGTGCAAGGATCCAAGGTCTTGAGAGCAGGGAGCCGAGTTCAAAGTGGAGTAGCTAGGATTCGAACCAGCTACTGCCAAAGGCGAAAGCTTAGGCCACTACACTACGGTGCTGACACAAGGCCAGCACCCAGACCCTGTGTGTCATTGACATGCTGACTATCTTTGTCTCACTTGCTGCCACTCAGGTGTAAGCCGTAAGTGTCTCACCTTGAACCCTGCAATAGCCTCCTGTTAGATATCTTGGCTTCCATTCTTAACACTTAATTTCTTTTTTAACTTTTTATTTGACACTGAAATAGTACACATCTGCTGTTCTAAGCTACCAATTAAAATGGGGGGGGACCCCTGCTGGGCCAATTCCCAAAGGAAATTTATAATTCGCATCTAAGTTTGAAGCACTAAATAACTTCGTGTTTGGAGTTTTAGGGAGTTCGGCTCATTGACTGTGGGTTTTCCCCAAGGATGACTGAAAGAAACCTCAGTGTATGTATTTGTGGGTCTCCTCTTTTGTGTTGAGAAAATGAACACTTATCCTTGATGTAAGGTTGAAAGCGTGGACATAGTTTTTGGCACATTTCTACTCAGTACAAATGCCATGTGTTCCTTCCAGCCCATGTTTTCCTCATTGATGTGAGATCCCATCCTTACCTTGTGCTGATTCCCTGTGTTGGTGGAGAGGCCTCCTCTTTCTACTTTTTATGGACTTTTATGTAGGTCTCTCTATTCATGTTACAGCACCCCACTGTTTTAATTACTAATTCTTCTAAAGTTTTCTGGCAGTTACTCTTTATTCATTTATTCATAGCTTTCCTACCTATTCCTTTACTTTTTCTTTCTGTATGAATTTTTGGAATCATGAAATTTAAGCATTATATTTATGTGAATTTGTATGTGTATTTGTTATCTTAGCCAAGAACATGCACGTTGATCCTTTTTTTTCCAAATCTGCTTCTGTGTTCTTCTGTGGTGTGTTCAGGTCTCCTTTATCTAAGCCTTGGGTGCTGCTTGTCATCTTGACTCTTGGATATCTGATATTTGAGGATTATTTTTATTTGGATCTTTTCTTCTGTTAACTTCTATATGGTTACTTTCTAAATGTTTGAAACTTATTTTCAAGTGTATTTTTTTATCCTGCAACTTAATTCACTTTTTGTATTCTTTAGTCAATTGCTCCCCATTGTACAGATTTGCCAATGTCTTGGCCTCCTCTGATTTTTACATTCCTAATTTGTTTCTTTGTCTGATTGTGCACATGATGCCTTCAGTACCACAATAATCAGGTTTGTTAACAGCTTCTCTGGTCCTAATTCCCTTAGGGGGATTTGCAAGTATTGGTCCATTTGATGTGACGCTTGTTTTACTGCTTGCATGTATATATGTGTCTACATTATTACTATGCTTAATTGAAGTTCCAAGATACAGTATCCATGAGTTCACTATAGATGTAGGTATTTCTAAAGACTTTTTTGCTGCTGAATTTGCTGCATGAATCTTATTTGTTGCCCATGTTTCTTTTTTAGTGGTCTGACAAGCCCTGTGTACCTCATTTGCTTCAGAGGGACAGCTACTATGTTTACACCCAGCAAGAGCTTAAAGAGAAGCTGTATCAGGAGATCATATCCTACTTTGACAAAGGCAAGGTGAGTGTCCTCAGGAACAAGGCAAATGGTTGCAGTATTGCAGTGCAGTTTTGATACATAGACTGTTCAGGTTAAGGCATCAACCCCTCCAGGCACCAGCCAAAATTTTTGGGTCACCAGAACATCTTTCCTTCTCCCCACTAAGTATTTGGGAATTCAGGTTTCATAATCTGCTAGAACAACCAGCGTAACTCAAGAAAGTGCTGTATATAGTGGATATAATTTTATTGTATGGGAAATAAATGACGCCCAGCCAAATCAGGAGGCATGTAGCAGAAAGGTTTGGGAAGGTCTCATGTACAGAGTTTTTCAGTCTCCAAATTGCTTTGTTCCCTGGAGTCTGGGCTGATACTGTGTGGCTCAAAACCCTCTAGCTACACAGTTGGTCTTTGTGAGTGGCTAGTGCCTGTCCTGAGACTGTAGAGCACACCATGAATGACTCCATCACCGTAGATTAAAGTGGGATTTACAGGGGCCGTTCACCAGGAGTAACCAGAGTTACTTCAATCACTGGGGACATTTCAAGCATTTTAGAAGCTCATTTCCTGAAATTCAAGGCAAAGATGAGAGATTCTTTGTTAGCTAGCAGTGACTCATGATTCGCTGCTATTTTCTCTGACAAGTCTTTGGATTCTGGTATTTTTATTCATTTTAGAGAAAAAAATGAATAAATTCAGGTGTTAAAGTTAGTAAAGATGACTTTTTAGGACACTTATTCCAGTGAAGTATAGAATAAGCTGCCCAGAGCCACACTCTCTGTAACAATTTCTCCAGCTAAGTATTCCTGGAGCCAGGAGCTGGCATTATTTTTTCCTGCCCATTCTATTTGTGAATATATGGTGCGCCATGCACATGCCCAAATTTTTTTAGGGATGAGATACACATATGAAGAATATGCTTACGAACTGGGCCAAAAAGTTGTAACATCTGAGATCAGTTGGAGAAAGTGTGTCCAGTGAAAGACTTTCTAAAGCAGAAATGGAGAGAATGTGTGAGAGAAGGACAGGGACAGAGGAGTTTAGGGGGAAAAAACCAAAAATGCTTTATTTTATCCAAACAATAGAAAAAGATCTAGATTCAGCCAGTTCTTGCCACTGTATTGTTTTTGACAATAGAACCTGTAACTTAAATTACTAATAAATAAACCAAATAATCATTGTGATGAAATACCTGTCACACTCTACTACTTAGTGCCACTGACTGTCTTGGATGATTTTTCAGCTTCTTTTTCTAATTCAGTTCTTTCTAAAGGTAGGTCTACCTTCTGTCTTACAGGAAAGAACTTGAGGTCCAAATAGCAAATATATTGTTCATACTTTTTTGTTTGCCCTCTTAAAAATTACTGAAGACCCCAAAAGCATTTCTGTTCATATAGGTTATATATTTTAGATTAGTACTCTCAGAAATTAAAACACAAGAATTTTAAATAACTTTGAGTTTGTTCTTTTGATAATAGACCTAGTACCTGTTAACATAAATCACATGTATTCATGGAAAATTACTGCAGTTATCAAAAATTGGTGCTATATATGACATTGTTTTGGCAAATCCCTTTTACATCTGGGCTAATAGAAAACAGCAAAATTCTCCTATCTGTTTTGCATTCATTCTATGTGATTCCACACATCATGTAGTAAAACTAGATTTTTGATCTCATGTATCCTCTGAGATGCTCCTGGGGACTCTAAGTGGCCAGGGACCACTCTTGGGTTACTGGGCTAAGTAATACCTTTGGTTCTATAAATGAGGACTTAGCAATGAAAGGAGGGGATGCAGTAGGGTGTCTTATTAGGCTCCGTTGCTGCTGGGGCTACCTTCTTTCACCATGCTCCACTGATCTGGAATGGTTTCTAAATCACACCTGTCAGAATCTTTTCAGTGGACCAGGCTGTGAAATTTCACACAGCATTGCTTCTCGGCCTTTTGTCTAAGATCAAGTGAAATTTCACACAGAAAATTTGGAATGTTCTGGTTTTAAAAGGTTAAATTTTTCCAGTTGTGTGTAGGCTGAATAGAATTTCTGCATCCAGAAACAATTGAATGTATGTTGACAACTGAATATGTTGAAAATGACCAGATGCTATGTTTTGAATGATATGCATCTTGGATACATTGCATGAAATAGCAAAATACTAAGTATGCTCTGTGTGGCATAGTAACTTCAGACACTAGGCACGTCCATTGGGCTGTGACTCGCATGGTTGTTAATGCTCTGAGGCATTTCCCAAAACTCTTTCAATGAATAGGTCATTAAGGTAGAGCTAGCCCATCAGTATTCTGGAAAAACTTGGCTGAGTCCTGTGCAGCAGTACCATTAGCCTCTTCTTTAGCCTGCAGACTACTCACCCCTTCCTCCTACCCTACCTCCTCACACACAGCAGAAACAGTTTTCTGCATTCAGTTTCTTTTTATCCCAAATATGACACTCATGATGCTGTCAGAGTCTAAACTTTGAAAATGATTCCTCACTACTTGCAGTTGTCATTAGTGTTTTGCCCTTTAGCTCAATATTGCTTTGTTTTGGGAGAGAACACATGGTGTTTTCATGTTCTTGCAAACAGAATTTCAGAGGATGCCTCTTGGCAAAATAGTCAAGATACTCAAAATATTCCAGAATCCAAAGCTGTTAAGTACTCCCATGGTGCTCATGAAGTTTTGGATTCAGGGTGCTAACAGATATTTCAAAACCCAACAAGCTCCAAAATCTGAAGCACTGTGGTCTTAAGTATTTGAGAAAGGATATTCCAGCATCCTTATGAAGTCATGCAGAAAGGATTCAGTTGATCGAAGAGATGAAGCCTTTCTTCAGGGACCTCTGCAGGCATGCAGTCCACCTGAGTACCACCCCAGCCCAGTGCCTCTACAGGAGCCTGGGCAGGTGGATCAATGACTACTCTGACCACCACTTTTAATCCTACTTTTCTTTTTGTTGAAGATGTGGGAGAAGGCCATCAAACTGAGCAAAGAGCTGGCCGAGACCTATGAGAGCAAAGTATTTGACTACGAGGGCCTTGGCAATCTCCTGGTGAGTGTGGGTCAGAGTATATTAATCTTCTCTACTAGGTTGCTGAAACGAGTGCTCCTGAAAAGGTTTCTAAGTTAAAGAGAGTTTCGAAGTTGGATCACAGGTGCCCTTTACAGTGAAAAGTAAAACTTGTTCAAAATCAAAGGGAACAAAGACATGATTCAAAAGCTTGGATCTTTGACCTTCCTTGGGAAGGCTCAGCATTGTGGAGTACTGTTTCTGTGAAGGCGTGGCCAAAGCCTGCGCCTCTCATAGCTGTGACCTGGAACAGCTTTCCTTGGTTTACCTCCCGATCCTCATCCCCAGTATATCTCATGTAATGCCATTTGTTCCCCATGCGATTTCTGTATTCCTGGCCTAGCTGACTCATTCTGCCTCCATGTACACAGTCCAGAGGTCAGATGTTCCAGAAGTCTTCTGCTCATCAGATATTACTTGTACTAGGTCCTCAAGGCCCTGCTAAGTGAAAGAGCTGCTCACCTTCAAGGCTTATTTTTCCAGGAGTTCCATTGCATACATCTTGGGGAGCTGCAAAATGTTTTGATGGATCCCAACTCTGTTTGTCATCTTTCTTCCCAGTCATGTCCCTGGATCGTTCAACTTCTGTGGTTCCGGAAACATGTGTATTAAGCCTGCATGTAGATTCAGTTCAGCTATTTAAAAACCAAAATAGTGATAGCCTTCAGAATTTTACATGGAAGGCAAATACAATAGTATACGTGATCGTTTTTAGTAGAGGAGTCACAAAAGGTCAGGCCACCCATTGTCATGGAAAGATAATTTATTTGAAGAGCTGTTTTGTATAATCACTGTATAAAAAAATGAATGAGTATACTGTACCAGCATCTGTCATTGCACAGGAAAAATTCGTTTATGAACCTAAATGGACTTAAACCAAAATGTTAGTGACATATTGCATAGTTCCTTCATCCACAAGAGCTTTGTTTTGACGGTTTCCTATCGGAATGGGGTCGTAATGGAGGTGTGCTGACCATGTGGGTGTGGGGGGCAGAAGTCCATCAGAGCCTTCATGTCTGACTGCCTGGTGTGTATTCTTTTGGCCTAACTGGGAAGCCACTCCCTGGTGAAGAATCAAAGATAAGGGTGGGAGTAGGAACTAAAAACAGAACATCATCACCTCCTTCTGGGCACTTGCAGTTGAGCTAAGCTGGGAAATTCTTCATCTTGCTTTGTTACCTGGCTCTGCTCTCTCTGCATCTCACAAAGTGTTCCTTAACCATCAGGGGGTTTTGAGCTGCCTGAGCCATCCTCAGCATCCCACACAGAGGAATGCACAGGGACCCCAGCCTTATGAGGCCAGCTCCTGGACCTCCTCTCCAGGAAAGGATCACCCTGCTTGCCAGAGGCTGCTTTCCAAAGGCCAATCTGTTATGTGGAAAACAAAAGTGCAAATAGTCCCATCTTTTTATTCCCTAACCGTGTCCTTCTAACCTCCAGTGGAATGTCGTGTTTTCTTTTCCAGAAAAAAAGAGCATCATTTTATGAGAACATCATTAAGGCCATGAGGCCTCAGCCAGAATATTTTGCAGTGGGATACTACGGACAGGGCTTTCCTTCTTTCCTTCGGGTAAGCAGCCCCTGGGTGGTCTCCGAGCCTTGGGCCATGTCCTCTGGAGGAGGGAAGGGAGGCCTTTCTTTTCCAGATGGGCAGCAGTGTGTAAGCAGCTGCCGACCTATGTTCCCACTGTGGGAGGTCGGGAGGGAAACTGCTTCCTGAGTGTGGCCTCTTCACCCCACGCCCCCGGGCGCTGCTGGCATTCTGGCAGATCTTTTGTTCTATGACTTCCCCCAGGTGGAATGAGAAAGGGAAAAACAGAATCATTCCCTCCACTGGCCTGCTGGTCAGGCTGGGGAGAAGTGTCGATTGATGTGTTTAGCCATTTGTTTTCTTTCTAGTTGAAGCTGGTTGAAAAACAGGGATCCTAAGAATAGGACAACCAGAAATTTCCCGAAACTAAAAGAGATTTGGCTGTGATAGGGACAAAGGCAGCATTTTCCTTCCTTCTCAAAATGATGTACACCATGGTATTGAGTTCACAATTGAAAAACCAAAAGCCCAAGCATCTCCTACAAAAGGGAACCCTCTTTTGGAGCTGAGCTTTGTTTAAACATATGCATGCTGTCTGTCTCCCTTCCTCTAATAAAAAGGGGAAAGTAATTAAAGAAAGCAATTTCCATGCCTAAGGCTTCGAAGGAGGAGGCGGTGTATTGTTCATTCAATAACTACTTACTGAGTAGCCAGTCTGTGCCACACATCCAAGAGGCCTTTAAGCCCCTCTGCTGATGAAATCCCACATGGCCCTTAACCTCAAGGCTTCAGCAGCCACCTAGGCAACGTGTGCAAAAGCATACAATGAATGTGAACATTTTTTCCAAGGAAGAATGTTTTGTTGCAAAGATGATGATGATGATGATGATTAGGATGTATATAGAGAGAGAAAATGAGAAACAGAGAGAAATATCTGTCTGCTGTTTCATTCCTCAACTGGCCACAACAGTCGTAGATGAGCTGATTCGAAGCTAGGAGCAAGGAGCTTCTTCTGAGTCTCCTACACAGGTACTGGGTCCCAAGGCTTTGAGCTGTCCTTGACTGCCTTCCCAGGACACAAGCATGGAGCTGGATGGGAAATGGAGCCCCTAGACATGAACCAGTGCCCATATGGGATCCTGGTAGATTCAAGGCGAGGAATTAGCCACTGGGCTGTCATGCCTGACTCACCAAGAAAGAATACTTTTAATTTATATGAACTGATTTAATAAGTACAGAACCGGAAGGGGAAAGATCTTGTCTGCATGTTTACTCCTCAAATGCCTGTGATGTACAAGGCTGGATGGAAGCCAAAGCCAGGAACTGGAAACCAAATCCAGGTCTCCCACACGGGCGGCAAAGACCCAGTTACTTGAGCTTTCACCCCTACCCCCACTGGGGTTTGCATTAGTGGGAAATCCAAGTCAGGAGCTGGAGGCGGACTTAAACCCAACACTCCAGTATGTACCGTGAGTGTCTTAACTGCTAGACCAGACACCTACTGCTGAATGTAAAATTTAAACTGTCATCAACAAAACATGTCCTGTGCTGTGTCTATACTCAGAAAGTATCACCAAGCGAAGTAAAAACCTGTCCTTTTACAACAGTTGCACAGGAACATTTGTAACAGCCTTAATGCTAATCAGACTGGAGCATTCTACTGTATGGATGTAGTACAGGCTCTGTACCTCCCAGCCAGTCAAGGAAATCCATTGGAATACTACTTAGTAAGAACAAAATGAATTCCTCAGACCCACAGCAATCTGGATGGATCAAAGTACATTATGGAAGGGAAAGGATGTTAAAAGACTCCCAAGATTTTACTCACAAGATACTCTTGCCAGGGCAACACTTCCTACAAGGACAGAAAACATATCAGTACTTGTCTGGTGATGGGGAAGACAGGCCATAAAAAGCCATGGGAAGTTTCTAGGGATAATGAAACTGTTCCACATCTTGATTGAGGTTGTGGTTAACTTGTCAAACCACATGGGATGTTTTACTTTTTTTAAAAAAAAAAAGGAGTCCATTTTCCTGTGTGTGAACTATCCCTGATTTTCTTGATACCACTCAGGAAAGACTTTATGGGAAATTGCATTTTATCTACTCTCTGAAATGTGAGCTAAGAGAGGAAAAAGTAACAGATGGGAGCAGCAAGCTCTAGGCAGGTGAGACAGTGGCCATGCTGAGGAATGATAGATGGCCAGTGCCACGGCTCGAGGACCAGCTCAGGGCCCGAGACAAGCACAGGAAGTGTGCAGACCCTTGGGTATTGGAGAGGGAGGCTGGCCCAAATCCTTGAGACCCACAAGGGAGACCCAAAAAAGCTCCTGGTCCCTGGCTTTGGTTTGGCTTAGCTCCAACCATGGAGGCTGCTTGGGCATTGAAGCAGCAGCTAGATCTTTCTGTCTCTCCTCCTCTCTGTAAATCTGACTTTCTAATAAAAATAAATAAATCTTGAAAGGAAGGAGGGAAGGAAGGAAGGATGGAGGGGAGAGAAAGAGAAAAGGGAGGAAGGGAAGGAGGAGAGGAGAGGAGAGAAGAAGAAAGGGAAGGAGAGAAAGAGAAAGGAAGAAAAGCAAAGCAAAGAGGAGCAGCCAGAAGAAAGGAAAGAAGAGGGAACGGAATAGGTGGGGAGGGGAACAGTCAAGACTAGAACTGTCTCCTATATGGGATGCCAGTACCACAGGACAGATTAGCTTGCTGTGCCACCATGCCAGCCCCTGAAAGGCAGATCTACCTTCTGCTGGTTCATTCTCCAAATGGCCACAATAGCCAGAGCTGGGCTAGTCCAAAGTCAGGAGCCTAAAGCTTCTTCCAGGTCACCCATATGTGTGCAGGGTCCCAAGGACTTGGACCATCCTCCACTGCTTTCCCAGGCCATAAACAGGGAGTTGGATGGGAAGTGGAAGAACCAAGACTCCAAATGACACCCATATGGGATGATGGCATACACATGAGGAGACTAAATGTACTGTATTACCATAGTGCCAGTCCCAGACTTGTCATTTTGAGGTGAGCAAAGTGAATAAGTAAGACTTCAGGAAGAACATGACATTTGAGAAAAAAAGAAACTTGAAACCAGTAGAAAGGAGAAGCCAGGAAGCTGTTCAGGAAGATGAGCAGAGGGTTCTGGACAGTGAGAACAGCAGGCTGAGAAGCATGAATGAGAAGTTGGGTACAACAGGATCAGGTGGCGGTGGCTATCAGAGTGCAGAATTCTACACACATTAGTTGTGAGGGTTTGGTTTCAGATAGCTTCAAAGTGGGTAAATTTGGAGCAGCAAAAAGACATGAGATAGTCATTTGTTTTCTAGATCTGGGACTCATGGTAAACTTCTAGGTGCGAGAAAAAAATAATTAGTGAGTTATTTACAGTTAGGACCATGGTTGTGGAAGAGGTGACCTAGGGCAAGAGCATGGAGTGAGAAGGTCTGGCAGGGAGCCTTGGAGCATGTTCTAGACTTAGCTTTGCCGTTAGTCAAGACGAGCATGATGCCTGCCCTACTTGAGGTGTATTCTCTTGTGTCACATGAAACAAAGAAAGAGAACTGAGAAACAGTAGTGATTCCATCCAAACATGGATCCTGACTTTCAAAGTGTCAGAATCTGAGTTGCTTCCTGAGTAATTCTGGTCACATAAACACTGAATCGGAGGTGTAAACTAGGAAAAGTAAGGTTCACATCACAGCATGTAAGTTATATAAGCTTGCTTTGTAAACTATACATTGTAGATGTTAATGCGCTGCCAAACTCTTATACATAATAAAACATAAACTCTCTTCCATATTGTGGAGTATCTCCCCAAACTCAGAATATATAAAATTATATTAATCTCCTGCCCCCCAGCTCAGTCAGATCTCTTCTGCTGAGAGCACCAGTGTGCTTCCTTCTCTAAGATGAGTAAATGAATTGTCACTGGCTCCCCCGACCCCCCCCCACACCCCCGGCTCCTTGCTATTTGCCTTAACACCAGGGAATCAGAACCCTGTTACTCCATGTGCTCCTTGGTCAGGTTTGGTTATCTTAATGTCTTCCTTGTGTTGCTTCACCTTTCCAGAGTCTCCCTCCTGAATATGGTGTGAGCTTTGAGATCTCTGGCTCCCTTTCTAAACTGTTCTTTTTCTGGCTCTTTGCATCAGCCCCAGTTCATTCCTCCTTCCTGAACTCTGCACCTACTGCCCCTGGCCTCACCCTTCTTTTCACTTGCATGCTCTGTTGCTCTTTCCTCCACTCTTGATCACCCCACTTTAGCTTAGTCACCATCCAAGTCCAGCCAAATCCCACGTCTTTCTGAAGCTGTCTTTTTTTTTTTTAAAACAAAGCTGATTCTTCCTGATCTTCAGTTTCTCTGACTCCATTTATGGTTATTGCCTGTGTCAAATGACTAGTGTTTTAATTGCACCTTGATTGCTTTTCTACTGCAGTTCTGCCTTCATAAATCATACAGTTATTTAATGTATGAACCACTCATAGAGAAGGATCTCTATGAGTGGTTCATACATTAAATAACTGAAGAAGTGTTATGTGTTCCAAAAGATTTAGCAATGTTTGCTTCATGCATTGTTCAACCTGAGATACTTGCACTGTCAGAAATTGTTGTCTACCTGTTTGCTTATTTATTTCTTCTTCCCTCTATTAGAAGGAAAGCTTTGTGGGAGGAAGACGACCACTATTTCCCTCATGTCTAGCTTAGCAAATGAATGTGTTGGATGAGTGGCTAAGTGACTTTCAAAGATGTTTTGCAAGACAACATGGGTCCAAGTTTTGGTTTAAAATGAATCATCTGCAGCCTGCTGCTGTAAATTAGTCATCTAAGGTGACAGTCAGATAAGGAAGACTCCTGTAAAACTCAGCTACATATGCTCTTGCATGGGCAACAACTTCGGAGAGAAATTGCTTCCGAGCCTGAGGCATCAGGAATTTCTTTAGGGAAAAAGTCCAATTATATTAAAGGAAAACACATCTGCCATTGAAAATGGGGAAAATAGTATTTAATACAATTGTGTTCTATGAGGCTCAGGCTCAGAGCCTGCTATAAGTTACTCTTGTCCTCTATTGTCCGAGCCTCAATGGGTAATCGTGTCAGAAGTGATACTGGAGTTTTGATACATGTCATGGTGCTCCCTGAGGCAGTGCCATTTAAAGTGCTGGTTCATAAGTTCTTACAGGGTCTTATTGAACTAGGTAAGGAGATTGTACCTGATTATGAATTTGTGCACTCTCTCCACTGAGAATATCTTGCAATGGAAAATACCAACTGCATTAAGCAACTTGCCCAGTGGGACAGTACATTTATATCAGGGCAAAAGCACTTTTATTTTCTGGCAGATCCAGAGTCCATTCACAGACTGATTGTGGTCCTTGGGCCACACTGTGAGCAGAACTATGCTAATATTTTTTTAATGATTTTTAATTCCTTAAACAAGCCTTCTGAGATTTTGTCAGATATTGTTGTTGGAAAATGTGTTGGTCTGCTTTAAGTTATTAAAGAAGAATGCCCAAGGCAAGCTGCTTTACAAAGAAAAGCTTATTTAGTTTGTAGTTCTGGATTCGAGGGTGTGATATCATGTATCAGCTCAGGTCTGGTGAGGACCCTATGGTGTGTGACTTCACACTGACTAGGACAGATTGCATTGTGAAACAGGAAGCTGCTGAGATGGGAAAGGCCACAGGCTGGCTTTTCTATGAACTCATCAGCATCCCATGAGAGCTGTATCAATTGCTTCTGAAGGCCAAGCCCTCAATGACTTTACCACTCTTCCTGTGCCTACCTCTTAAAGATACCACCTGCTTCCAGTGCCACCACAGTTGAGGATTTAGATGCCCACATGTGAACCACCCACTGAAATCAATCCCACGCCAAAGCAGCGTATAATAGCCAGCACTCCCATTTCCCTCACTTCCATGTTTACTGATTTCCCTTGCTGTCTGTATCCTACAGAATAAAATCTTCATCTACCGGGGGAAGGAGTATGAGAGGCGAGAAGACTTCAGCCTGAGGTTGCTGACCCAGTTCCCCAACGCTGAGAAGATGACCAGTACTACACCCCCTGGGGAGGACATCAAGTCATCTCCGAAGCAGTGCATCCTGGCCCAGTGGCTCCTTAATGTGGGGCAGCCCCAGCTAAGCGAGAGAAACAAAAATATTACAGCTCCTCTGCAGGCAAATTGTTGGAGGGCCTATGTCCTAAAACTAATCATTTGACCACTCTGAGTCAGTTTTCCATTCTGTGTATAACTTGGGGATCCTGAATATCCTTAGTAATTAAAGAGGAGAGCTAGCAATTGAGTATGAAAGGATATATGTTTTTAAAAATGTTTATTATTTATTAGAAAAAACAGACCTCCCTAAGGTTGCCTTACTCTTCAAGTGCCTGCAGAAGCTAGGACTAGGCTGAGGGTGACAGAAGGAGCTAGAAACTCAATCCAGGCATCTCACTCCCAAATGAATAGCAGGGACACAACTGCTTGAGCCATCACCTGCTGCCCTCAGGATGCACCCAATCACAGGAAACTAGAGTCAGGGGCCAGGGGCCAGGGTGAACCCAGGTATTCTGAGGTGGGATAGGGTGTCTTAACCCCTTGGCAGATGCCTATCCTGCAGAATATCCTTTAAAATCGAATTGGGGAGTTTGAGAAGGACTTCTGGTTCTGAATCCTGGATTCTGTTCCAGATTTTAAAAACATTGGTGGGGACTGCAGAGAGAGCTTTTACTACCAACAGATCCTAGAAACAGGCAGAACCCTTATTCCTTCACTGGTTCTGAAGGCTACCTCTCTTCCCAGTTGTATCTACAGTCTTGGGTTTTAACCTCCCATCTTCATATTCTTCATGTGCATAAGGAGAATAGTAATATCTGCCTTCTAGAACCATTGTGTAATTAGGGATGGCATATTATTACAACACTTGGGGACAGCACCCAGCCCTGCTACTTACTCAATAAATAGATGATATCCAAAGATAGAAGCAGACCCTACTGCGTAGGCTTTGGAGCTTGGCTATTTCAGAATGATGCTTCTCTGAAAGAAGCTCTGAAAAACCATTTCTAACCACCCGTTTCCTGGCATTTCACTGATGCTTGTTTTCCTGTGGCAAGGCTCTCTGCCAAGTGTTTAACCACAAGAACTGTCCTGGGGCTCATCACTTAGGAAGAGAATTCAGTGATGCCCCAAGCAGCCCTGTTTTCCAATGAAGTCCTGGCATTAGAGTTACAGGAGTGGTTGGCACCCGTGCCATTTCTGGCTGTAAAGCAGGAAGAACATGTTCCCATCCCAGCCTTTCTCTGCCTTCCTTAACGATCTCTTCAGACATGCAGTGCTTCACCGTGAAGCCAGTGATGAGCCTGCCTCCCAGTTTCAAGGATAAGCCAGTTCCAGAGCAGATCTTAAAGTAAGTGTCCTTAAGAATAACGGTCTCTCTGACTTCATTTGGAGTATATCAGAACAGAAGCCTTGAATTCATGTGCACTTGGAAACACCTACTGTCCACTCTACTTCAAGCATAAGATCAGAGTATGGTAATTCTAAGGGATGTAGGAGCTTGGCTTTTAGGGTGGGAGAAATCAGGAATTGCACTCCTACGTATGTATCAGGCCTCTTTGCTCTCTCATTCACAAGCATCACGGTGAGGATTGGCTGGTTCCTACCAGATCCTTCGTCTTAAGAAGCTTGCGTGCTAATGGGGCTGGGGAAATGTACAGCTGTACAAATGAGATTGCGTATGTGGGTGTTTATGGAATGTGACATTAATTCATGCCTAATGAAAGCAAGATGTGCACGGCCTCAAGTCTTTGGTGTAGATTTCCTGTCGTTTTTGAGAGAGCTTAGTGGATAATACTCAGACTGTGTCCAATGCGCCATGAGTTTTGTTGAAGTCAAATCAAGAAGTACCTGTTCTAAGAGAAATCTGGCCCTGCTGTGCCCTTCTGCAGCTATTACAGAGCCAACGAAGTCCAGCAGTTCAGATATTCCCGGCCGTTCTGGAAAGGAGAAAAGGACCCAGACAACGAATTTGCTGTGAGTCCACCCCATTTGCCCATGACAATGGAATAAAGTTGACATCCAAACAAAAGGTCTTTCTCCTAACTAGCATCCACAGCAAAAGTGATGGTGCCAGTGGAAGGAGGACTCAGCACTCATTAGCTAGCCAGCAGCTGTTGTCTCAGTGGACCAGCTTACTCTGAGTATCCATAAACAACCTGGGTGCCTGGACCTTCAACAAGTTACTTCTCTGATTGATGGAAAGGTGGGGTGGGGTGGGAGTGCAGCTGAGTGGATGATCCTGTTCAGCCTTCAGACATCTCCAAATCCCTCAGTTATATGAGAAAACAGAGCCCATTCACTAGGATGTATTTGGGAGTGAATATCACTTCACCATGGAATTTTGCATTTTGCCTAGGAACTAAATGGTGTTTTTATTGTTTTCATTTCTGCCACCAGACTATGTGGATTGAACGGACCACATATACAACTGCATATACCTTCCCTGGAATTCTCAAGTGGTTCGAAGTGAAACAGATTTCAACAGTGAGTCATTTCAGATGAGAACTCAGAATTTGGGGGAAAAAAAAAAACTTGCCATCTCCAGATATAATAACAGTCTTTGTTAATCTCCCTTGCAGTTTGTACCAGTTTGGCTCTGGCAAATTTCGCTTCTCCAAAGAGCAGTAAAAGGCCTGCTTGTGTAATAGAGCCCCTTTGTCAAGCTGATATCACAACAGCAACCCTAAAGGTTACTCTTAGTGAATGACTTTTTGAGGGCCAGAGGAGTGTTGTCTCTTCCAACATCCTCCCAGTGCCCTGAAACATTCCTGGAATGCCACTTTGTGGTTGCCTGTCCATCACAGCTTCTCTCCTAAAGCTTTTTCTCTCTCTAGATTCCCAGTTTATGATATCACCAGTCACCTTGTCTCACCCCAAATCTGCCTGCTTATGTTTCTGATATTTATCCTGTTTCCATTGTTAGTCCTCCTCCTGCTGCCCCATTTCTAGTCAGTCATATTGATTGATGCCCTTGAAACAGCTCCTAATTGGCCTCCTGGCCTTGGCGTTGTCAGTCCCTTTTTCTGCACTGCCCCTGCGTGTGTACTCTACTCTGTAAACCCACTGTCTTCATGCTTCCTCATGCTAACGACCTTCCAGAGCTTATGACTTCTTAGCACACACATGCAGATCCTTTGGGACTTGGGTCTTCTGTTTCATCCTCTAGAGAATCTTTGGGGACTAAGTGTGCATTCCTTGTTATTCTGTGCAAGTGGGTCCTTTTCCCTGCCTGAAATGTCCTCTGGGGATTCTGTTGAAGCACCACCTTCCTCCCAGCCTCTTCTCTGTGTCACTCAGGAGTAGCCTGATGCTGTTAATGCTCCCCACCCCCGCCTGCAGGTTACACCCCCCACCTGTACAACTCTTGAAACCCACTGAAAGCTTAGCTGCCCCCCACCGTGAAGTTGCCTTCTGCCTTCTGCACCTGTAGATTCCCCATCCACAGAGTGAACAACTAAGAATCAGATATTCTGCCTAGGATGATCACCTCTGTACTGAACACACAGACTTTTCCCTGAGCAATAAAGTGTAGCAACTATTCACATAGCGTTTACATTGTGCTAGGCATTATAAATAATCCAGGGGAGATTTAAAGTATGTGGGAAGGTGTGTGTGGATTGTACACAGAATTCCACCATTTTATTGAAAGGACTTAAGCATCACAAACAGTTTCCTATAAATAGGAGGATATATTGTGATATATATCTCAATCACTTTTGAATCTGTGATGCATAGCATAATACTTAATATAACTTAGATATTCATGAAGTAGTTCTTCAACAAGTTTGTTATATTCCTTGTCTGGAAGATAAATAATTTTTCTTTGTGTGGATGTGATTTCTGGAAAGAGAACTTTGAAATCAGGCCTGGACTAGGGGGTCAGGCCAGGTGATAAGGAAGAAAATGACAAAGGACAGCTTCTCCTTGGAACCTGGTTTACAGCACGTTTCAGTCGGGGCGCTCCCTCTGAACCTGTATTGCACATCTGTCATTCTCATCTGATATTCTTAGGCGTGGCCTCCGTGTCTGTGTACTGCTTCCTAGGTCACCTGGCTTTTTCTCAGGGAAGGCACATAGACTTTGGCCAGTGGGCATTTATGGATCCCATATCCTGGGCATTTATGGATCCCATATCCTGCTATTCTGTCATCTCTGATCCTCTCAAAGATCACCAAGGAAGTTTGCCCTCAGAAATAATTCTGGCTACAGTGCCCATTATATTTATTCTCGAATTTTCTGTAGGCACTTTATCGTCAGGGTTGATTAACATGAGCAAAGCCCTGATTTTTAAAGTTATCATTCAGGGCTGGGTTGTAGAAGGCCTGCAAAGTCATTTGGTCTGGCCCTGCTAACTTTGAGTCAGTCTATACCAGGCTAAGATTTTTTAAGTTGATAATTTTGTATGTCCTGCAAATGATGTTATGAACATGGCCCTTGGCAGAAAAAAGTTCCCCACGCCTGTTTAAGGAGATTTTTAGCAGCTTTAGTTTCCATCAACCAATACCACTTTAAAAAAAAATTGTGTTGCCCTAACTGAAACGACGTTGACAATCAAAACTTTGCTCTTCTGTGGCTTGTGGGTGTCTTATAACTTGTGTGGGGATGCATAGTTAACCTTTCTTTAGTTCTCATCACAGAGCTCACACGGTGTCCTTCTCCCATGTCCTCTGTCACCCAGGAAGAAATCAGCCCACTGGAGAACGCCATAGAAACCATGGAGCTGACCAACGAGAGGATCAGCAACTGTGTTCAGCAGCATGCGTGGGACCGTTCGCTGTCTGTGCACCCACTCTCTATGCTGCTTAGTGGCATCGTGGACCCAGCTGTCATGGGGGGATACTCCAACTACGAAAAGGTATGCTGGGTCCTAGGACCCCACAGGACTCTCCAGCCTCCCTCTGTGCCAAAGTCAGCTGGCAGCTTCCTTTCCTGCCACATCTCTGGGAAGCTGTCACTCTCCCATGTAATTGAATGGACAAATGAGCGAAAAAATTGTCCCAGATCTTATTCCTCTTAGAGACCTTTAGCAATTGAGTCAGGGGTAGACCACTGCCTGGTAAAGCCTGGCTGAAAGAACATCAGTCTCATATACATGTGGTCCATTCACCAGCCTCTCTCTCATCGTCCCACCATGGGGTGGACCCCAGAACCCAGCATAGCTTGGCAGTATAGCTGCTTCTGTGGGGAAGACAAAGACTTTATATAGAATTAGCTTCCAGGAAGCCCCACCCTGGCTGGTGTGCCATAAGTCTTATGCATAAAAGTCAACCCTGGCTCTCTATTTAAATCAGTTGGCCCGAGTGTTAACATCTGTTACTCTAAAAAGGCAGGAAAGAAGTACTCAGCACACTTGAGCCTGTTGTGCAGGGTTTGAATGCAGCAGCATTTAGAAGAGCCAGGCATTCAGGACATGTTAAAAACAATCACTGGAAGCAGACTCCTTCATTGTTAGGACACATTTTCGTGACCAAATATTTTCAGAGTTCACTTCTTGAGTAGGAATAAACATTTGCCAAGGAAACAGGGAGGTGCTCTTGTCTTTTTTATGTACCATACATATCCTGTTGTGTCACAAGCAGGGACTTTGTAGTGCATCCCTCTTGTAACCCAGTTCTGATTTCCCACTTGCCATTATGTGTTTCTGAGCATCCAAACCTTACTTCTCCAAACTTGAGGTATCTGTAAATTTACAGTGAGGCAGCCACTTAACTGATGCAATCAGTTTGAGGATTATGGAAGACATCATACGTTTTATATTATGACTGGCATACAGTTGGGGCTTCATCATTGTTGACTTTTATCCTGCCTCCTGCCTGCTTGGAGAGGAATGGATAATTCAGATGCAACTCCTGGGCAGTGCCACCAGTGCTTTGTGACAACAGCTGCCCCCCTGCTCTTCTCGTTTCTCCTCCAACTTTCAGCCTTTATTCTCTTACTGGTGGTGACTGAGAAAGATGCAGTACCTGGGATACATACATTCTGTTTTTTACATGCGGTTTCAGTCAGGATTCCCAGTATTAAGTGGAAATCGATACAAAAGTGCCACCTAAAACATAGTATTTGCATAAAACCATAATATTTTTAGTGCATACTTTTCATGTGTGCTCTCTGGTGCTAATTGTCTTATATTTTTCCCAAGTGTTAATTTGTATAGCATGCCCCTGATGCATAGATCACTATACTCCTGTTCTGTTTGCCTTACACTATGGGCTTATTCACTTTTATATGCCTGTGCTCCCTCAAGGAGCTCTCGGATTTGTATGCTGAGGTGTTTGTCTTCTTGGCAACAGAGAAGAAAGGTGAGGGGGAAGCTTGGGACTTCAGTCTGTGAAAGTTCTTTCAACCTTTTCAGAACTGCGGTTAACGTTCCATACCCATAGTGTTCTCCTGCAAGTGGTGAGTGCCTCCGACATGCTAAAACCCTGGAGACCTTTTGTAAGAAGTATAGTGAACCTTACAAAGAGACATAGTAGAAGAACGGCCTGAGTCCTCTCTATGCCCAAAGAAGGCAGGATACAGCAGGAAACAGGGGGCTGGGATGGGCAGCCTGGCTGATTCTCCAGCAAGTGTCTCAAAGTTCAAAGCTTGAGTATATCGAACCTATCCGTAGAGCTCAGAGTAGATTGGCTTCGAAGAGATGTGCAAATCTTCAACTGGGAAGAGATACAAGTGATCCAGCCCTGAGCTCCAGCTTTTGTTTTGTTAAAAAGACAAGAAAATTTCTTGCTCAAGGTTATTTCCAAAATACGAAATGAAGGCGAATTTCTGCAGATAAAGTAGAACTCCTTTTTGGGCTCTATGGGAAATGTTGGCTGAAATTTTCCATTACTCTTTCCTGATGAATTCTGTCTTAAAAATTATCTTGTTTGTGAGGCCTGTGTGTGGATTTTATTTCTCCATTATGTAGGAACTTACCCTGGGGAAGCAGGGTGCATTCATGTTTATTGATCAATATGATATATAAAAGAAAGGGAACTACTATTTACTATTTTCAAAACATCCTCAAAGCCACGTCATTTTATTTTCAAATTAGCCTTTTGGAAAGGTGATCTGCAAAAAAGTACAGATACTAATCTGTACCCCAGATAAGGAAAGAAGTGTGGTACAACCTGTATCACTTTAAAAAGGCAAGAAAATTGCCAGCCACATCTCTTGGCTTGTTAATTTTTAAAAAATTCTTATGATACCTGTGTACTTAAAATAATTATTTTTATAATTTTACTCATGTTTTGTGAGAGAGACAGAACACCCCAAATACCCACACTGGGCCACCGTTAGGAGCTGGATACTCAAATTCAGGTCTCCCATGTGCCTGGCCCACACGCATTTCTGCCTTGTGGGAGCTGCATTGTGTGTCAGCAGGAAGCTGGAGTCAGACGCTGGTTACTGCAGTAGGGTCTTGAACCCAGGAACTGCGTTGTGCGACACAGGCATCTTCATCAGGAGGCTGAATACATAGCACTGACTTCACTGTTACACATATACAGGCTGCAGGTGGCCTTTGCTTCACTCTCAGGAAAGTTACTGTAGTGAGTGGTACCTTCGCAGCTGCTGATTGCCTGAGATGTCTGTGTACGTGGTGTATGGTGATTGTGGAGAGTGTACTTCTGCAAGGAATTTTCGTGCCTGCTCCAGAAAGAACAGAGAACACTATGTAATCATTAAGGCTACCTGTGATGGCATAAGGACTCTCATAGGAAAGAAATGAATTTTTAAATTAGATATGCTAGGTTTATCACAAGACATTTTTTCATGTACTAGGCACTTTGCCTCCCTTTTAGAGTCAAGTGCACAGTTAGGACTGTATTGTAATTCATACTTGCATGTATTCTGCTTTTAGGCATTTTTTACAGAAAAATATGCTCAGGAGCATCCTGAAGACCAAGAGAAGGTTGAGTTGCTGAAGCGCCTAATAGCGATACAGGTATGCAGCAAAGCAGGGGCTGAAACCAGGCAGCTTCCCAGTGCATAGGGATAACTACAGTGTGTGACTGAACGATATACCTGGGGGTTAAGTCTAGAGCCCACTTTCAGGATGGTTGTACTTAAAATGATTAATTAATAATGACCTTTTAAAAATGTGTGCAGAGAGAGGGAAAGTAGGTGAAGAGAGCAAGAGTCCATTCCATCCACTGGTTCACTCTTATCTGCCTGAAGCCGTCTCCTTCTGGGGTGAATCTTAGAGTCAGTCCAGGTTTCCAAAGAGGGGCGGCAGGAACTCAACCGCTTGAGCCATTGCTGATGCCTTTGAAAGTCTGCAGAGTTAGGAAACTGGAAGCAGCCACAGAGACAGATGAAGAGCTTGCAAGCTTTGACACCAAGTGTGAGCTTCGAACTGAATGTTGAACCACTAGGTGAAAGATTCACCCATCAGAGTGGAGCCCAGCACTATGACTCAATTGGTTAATCCTCCACTAAAATCACCTGGATCCCATATTGGGCATTTGTTCATATTCCAGCTGCTCCAATTCCCATCCAGCTCCCTGCTTGTGCCATAGGAAAGCAGCAGAGGATGGCCCAAAGTCTTGGGACACTGTATCCACTTCAGAGACTTGGAAGAACCTCCTGGCTCCTGGCTTTGGATTGACTCAGCTCCAGCTGTTGCGTCCATTTGGTGGTGGGTGGGGGGTGAGGGGTGGAATAAACCAACGGATGAAAGATCTTTCTGTCCCTCTTCTCTGTGAATCTGCCTTTCTGATGAAGATAAATAAATCTTTTTTCTTTTATTGCATTATGTGACACAGTTGTAGGTACTGGGATTCTCCAATCCCAATTCTCACCAATCCCTCCCCCATAGTGGATTCCTCCACCTCACTGTATTGCCACAGTTCAAATTCAGTTGGGGTTCCTTCATTGCAAGCATATACCAAGCATAGAGTCCAGCATCTCATTGTCCAGATAAGTTCAACGGCTTCTTGTGGAGACCATCTCTGGTCCACAGACAGAGCCGGCAGAGTGTCATCTGACTAAGAAAATAAATAAATCTTTTTTTTTAAGATTTATTTTTTTTATTTATTGGAAAGTCAGATATACAGAGAGGAGGAGAGACAGAGGGGAAGATCTTCCATCCGATGATTCACTCTCCAAGTGAGCGGAACAGCCCATGCTATGCCTATCCAAAGTCAGGAGCCAGGAACTTCTTCCAGGTCTCCCACACAGATACAGGGTCCCAAAGCTTTGGACCATCCTCGACTGCTTTCCCAGGCCACAAGCAGGGAGCCGGATGGGAAGTGGAGCTGCTGGGATTAGAACCGGTGCCCATATGGGATCCTGGGCGTTCAAGGCGAGGACTTAAGCCACTAGGCCACGCCACCAGGCCTGAAGATAAATAAATCTTAAAATTGAAAGGAAGAATGACCAAGAAGGAGGAGGAGAGGTCTTCCATCCACTGGTTCACTCCCCAAATGGTCACAATAACAGAGGCACGGCCACAGCGGGGAAGGGCTGGTACACAAGGCCAACCCAGCTCATGCTTGGCACATGTTCCTGGATGTTCAACTAGCCGGCTTGAGCTACGGACTGTATTTTCTGCCTGAACTGGTGAGAGGAAAAAATGAGGCTGACCAAGAATGAGCTGGGTTGGCCTTGTGCACCAGCGTTTCCCCACTGTGGGGTCTTTTTTCTTTCCTTGGTGTGTAAATTTGTGAATTTCTCTGCTGAAATGACATAAGTAAGTGGAGTTCACAAACTCTGAGAAGTACAATCTGATTCAACAGTGCTGTACCTATCCGTTTGCCTCCATCTCCATCCAGGCTCCAAATCTGAATCCCCTGACTTCCTAATTCCTGCATCCTTGCTTTCCAGATGCCTTTGCTGACAGAAGGGATCCGCATCCATGGAGAGAAGTTGACGGAGCAACTCAAACCACTGCATGACCGTTTGTCATCTTGTTTCCGGGAGCTCAAGGAAAAAGTGGAAAAGCTATATGGGGTTATAACACTGGTAGGTTTTAGTAACCTTCAAGATTTTTCTAGGCTCTGTGACATTTTAGGACACTAATCAGTTTTTCAAAGGCCAAATGAGTCTTAATAATTGCATGTAGCATGGAAACATTGGTAACAGGTGCAAGAGAGTATGTTTTGCTTTTTCATGGCCTTGAACTGCCCTTGTGCTAGATGAATAGATGTTCTCAAATCTGCATTAAGAATCAAAATACCCACAGGCCGGTGATAACTGCTGGCTGGACCATCTGCCTAGAATTTCTTAGTCCCTGGAGCTGGGGTGGGGCCCAGGAATTTTCTAGCAAATGATCAGATATTTCTGGTCATGAATACAACACTTTGATCATCTCTATTCTATAAATGAGGCTTTCCTAAAGCCAGTCACTGGCTGTTCCCAGCATACCTAGCCTTATTCTTACAGTTCTCTGCAGCTTTGTTTTCTGTTTTGATGAAAGTTGATGATATTCACACCTAAAGGAGAGAAGGAGAATCACAGGTTACAATGCAAGGAGGTGATTTCATTATTTTTGACAGTTGTAGCACGTTCCTCACAGCTCCCATTTTCTTGACACTCCTGAGAGATGAGAGGAGAGGTGCAGGTGCTAATGTCTTTGTTGCGACAGTTGATTACATAATTACATCTAGCTTCATTTGCATGTCCTTTTTTTCTTTAACACTTATTCTTGATTCACTGATTTTCAAATTTTTTCTTGAAATCAAAACTTTGAATTTCTTTTTATATTCTCTTCTCCTATATTCCCATATATCTACGTTCACTACAGTGTTTTCCAGAGTCTCCTTTTAAGTTTTGTTTTGTTTCCTTTTTGAAAAGCAAACAGAGTGCTTCGTTAACTGATTCACTCCCCACATGCCTGCAGTGACCAGGACTCCACCATCCCGAAGCTGGGAGCTGGCAATTCAGTGCAGGTCTACCGAAAGAGTGTCAGGGACCCAAGTGCTCAAGCCATCATTGCCACTTTCCTGGATGTGCAGTAGCAGAATCCGGATCAGGAACCACTGGCCCTGGGCACTTCAATGCCAGAGGTGGCATCTGATCAAATGCCTTCCCCACAACATCTTTTTGACTGTCATTTTTTTTTAAGATTTATTTTCTTATTGCAAAATCAGATATACAGAGAGAAGGAGAGACGGAGAGGAAGATCTTCCATCCGATGATTCACTCCCCAAGTAACCACAATGGCCAGTACTGTGCTGATCCGAAGCCAGGATCCAGAAACTTCCTCCAGGCCTCCCACGCAAGTGCAGGTTCCCAAGGCTTTGAGCCGTCCTCGACTGCTTTCCCAGGACATAAACAGGGAGCTGGATGGGAAGTGGAGCTGCCAGGGTAGAGCCGGCATGCATATGGGATTCTGGCGCGTTCAAGGTTACGACTTTAGCTGCTAGGCCACCACGCCAGGCCCTTGACTGACTTTTTAAATCATCTTAGGTTCACCCTAAGCATTTGTTTCTAGTTTTTGTTTTTTTTTTTTAGGAATGTTTGTCTTTGGCAAACAAATTCCTGGCCAGCAAAGACTGAATTAGGCCACCTGTGCTTCCTCACGATGAGACTCAGACTAATGCTAGCAAGTAAATGCAGTGTGGTGCCACAAAGGGGAGAAGCCTGGTGATGTCATGAGCACGTAGGGTACTGTCCTACACTTGTAAGCTGCAGCAGGATGAGCCTCAGGTCCAGAGCTTCAGGCTAATATACCTGCCAGTTTTCAAAAGGCTCAAAGCAGCTGAATTAGAAAACCCAACAGAAAATTTTGTTATTTTATTGCTGTATAAGACAACAATCTTTAGTTTTTGCTCTCTCATATCTCATAGAAAATTATGCTGTCTTCTCCCTAATCTTAGATGCAGGACTTAACTTGTGTCATATGATTAAAAATGTAAGTACAGTCACTCACTCATTGGCTGGTACTGTGCTGATCCGAAGCTAGGAACATCAATCAGTCAATATAACGTGTAGATGCAGTCAGGAGACATGATAAACACATGATGAGGTGAATATGTGTATGTGTTGGACTACCAGGTCTTCTGGCACAGTATGGCATACTGTGGTACAGCAAGCTTTTCCTTAATTATTGGGTACTCTACACAGTTTATGTGGCACACTTTCATATAACTGGTAGTGCAGTAGGTTTGTTTTACATCTATAGCAGCACAAATACTTGAGTAATGTGCTGCAGTAATGTACAGTGGCACATGTCTCAACAATAGGAATTTTTAGCTTTGTGATCCCAACAATTGAGGTTGCACAGGTACCAAACAATCAGAACAGGGTGCCAGCTAATCCACAGTAGACAGGAGTGAGCCACAGACAGGGTGGCTGCACTGGCTCCTGGAGTGTGAATTCTAGACCAGCTAACCTTGAGGTGGGGGATGGTGTCATGTGTTTCCAGCCACCCAACTTGACCGAACGGAAGCAGAGCCGCACGGGGTCCATTGTGCTCCCGTACATCATGTCCTCCACTCTGCGGAGGCTGTCCGTCACCTCAGTGACTTCTTCTGTGATTTCAACCTCTTCCAACTCGTCTGATACTGCTCCTTCCAGACCAGCATCTGATGGGTAAGATCTTAATTCCCCATGAAGGATAGAGTAACACCTTACTCATGCCTGCCTTTGATCACCAAAGTATAAGTGTGTCTCTCCTGCAACATTACAGTATGTGGATTACTAACCTTTGGGTCATATTTTTGTCCTCGTGAAGAATATCTTTATTAACATGATGAAAATAACCACTAACAATGAAAAATGAAAGAAATAAAAAGACAGTATTCCTTATCTCCTTACTACCAACTCTTACCTTGTTGTCACTGGCTAATTTATTTCATTGTTTTAAGTTTTGTGTTTACCTTATGAGTAAGTCATATTATTCCATGCTGGCAAATTCCTAAGACAGAAGCAGCTGTATCATGAAGAACCCCTCTTCAATCCCTGACTCCAGCTTCCTGTACACTCTGCAGTGTCATCCGGTATGACCATCCGGTTCTTGGATTCTTCTGGCAGCTCTTACAGGCACGCAAGATGATCCAAATGCATATTCTTTATCTTTTTATGTGAATGATACCAGCCTCTTAGCTTTTCTGTAACTTAATGATCTTTAAAGTCATTCTGATTTGGCACATAAACAGTCTCCTCTTAACACTTTCTTCAGCTACAGGCAGCTCAGCGTATGTCTGTGTCATCACATCGGTGCCAACTGAGGAACATTTAACTGGCTTCTGTCTTTGGTTGTCACTGCAGAATGGAAGTGAATGGCCTTCCATGAGTTTTGCACATACAGAGCTCTGTCAACATGAGGAAAATCCAGTGAGTGCCAGTGAGTGAGATTTCCCTGCCAGAGACGTGTTTGCAGTTTTCAGAAATTAGCCAAGGCCAGTGTCCATAGAGGAGACATTAAGTTACACTCCCTGTAGAAACACTACAGAATGCTCAGTTACCCGCACGCTGCCACCAAACCATTATCAGTTTTAATATTTGCAATTCTGATGATGGGAAAGCATTTTTTATAGTTTTGTCTTTGGTTTTGTTTTGTTTTCCTTTCTCTTGGTTTATGTGAAGTTGAGCATCTCTGTCCTTTGTCTTGAAGGTGTTCACATTTTAATTTCCATGAGCTATGGACAGATACTTTGGATATATTATCCTATAGAGCTGCTGGCTCTTTGTAAAGTGATATGGAGTATAATCCCCTGGTTTCTGGTCTTTAACTGTTGATGTTGAGCTTGTACTTTTATTGATTCAGTTGGGCCAATTTTTTATGTAATTGTATGAAGCAATATTTTATGACCTCTAAATTTGATGTCATACTTAGACACCTTTCTCACTCTAAAAGCATAAAAACAGATACTAATTTGTTTGTTTGATTTTTAGGATTTCACCGCTCATAATTTAAACTGTTATTGTTTGGAATTTAGCATACATATAGAGCCAACTTCTTTTTTTCTTTTCGCTAAGAGGCTACTGTGTTCTATCTATAGTATTTAGTGAGAAGATTATCTTGCCTGTATTGATACGAAGTATAAATTTTTGCCTTCAATTGGATTTCTGGGTTTTTTTTTTTATCTTTTTTCTGGACTCTCTCTCCTATTTCTTTGTGGTATCTACTCATGTTCAAATGCTAAGCAGTTTTAATGCCTGTGGCTTTAAAATGCTTTCAAGTACAGGTATTCAATTTCAGATTTCGTCTGCTCTCTTTTGACTTAACTAGTCCAAAACCTTATTGCTATTGCTTGTAGGATTATGCTAACTCATGGGCTAACTTTGGAAAGGTGAATGACTTTCTGGTGTTAATCCATCTTTGCCAAAAAATAGGACTTCCCAGTTGTTCATCTTTAACATATTTGAAAGTAATGACTTTATAGTTGTATTCTTTCTCCTTAAAGTTATTATTTTTAAACAATTCTTTTTTAAAGAAAGATTTATTTTTATTTGAAGTGCAGAGCCACCAAAGGGAGAGACAGACCCATCTTCCATCTGCTGGTTCATTGCCTGAACATTGGCTGTAATTGCCAGACCTGAACTCATCTGAAGCCAGGGGTCTGGAGCTTCTTTTGCATTTCCCACATGGGTACAGGGTCCTGAGGACTTGAACCATCTTCCACTGCTTTCCCAGGCTGTAAGCAAAGAGCTGTATCAGAAGTTGAGGAGCTGGGACATAAACCAGCACTCATATGGGATGCAGACTGTGCAGGCTGAGGCTTAGACTACTGCACCGCAACACCAGCCCCAACAGTTCTTTACTAATTATAAAATTAATATGCATATATATACATGTGCAAAACAAAGTAGTATTGTTTAACAAAATAAAAACACTATATTTTGCTACTCAGAAAAAATACAATAGTTTACTGATTATAATAAAAATACACATGCTTTTTACATAAGTAGAAAAGTTTGTGGCCTACTGATTAATTTAATAGATGATTAGTATTATGCATAATTAAGTATCTAAAACTACATTTTGATACATTTTTAATTCCTTATTTTAATAATTATATCATAGAAATTAGCTGCCCAAATTGCCTGTACCTTACCTGGATATCAAATATTTATTATTTCCTAAATTATTTATCTCCCATTGATACAGATATCTTTACAGAGTTCCAGTTATATCACATAATATCATACTTTTCTCATCTTTATTACAACATTTTCCATATTACCATGTAATCTTTATTATCATTTTTTTTACTGTTTTTAATGGCAATATAGTTTTTATCATACAAATGTGCTATGATTAACCCTCCTCTCACAGAAAAATATTTAAGCCAAGTCATTTCTAAACTATTAATCTAAAGATGAATTATTGGGGTCAGCGTTAGGGTACAGTAGGTTAGATCATAACCAGCCTTCCATTTGAGTTTCATTTCTGATCCAGCTCCCATGCCGGGCCTCATTGCAGCCATTGTGGCCATCTGGGCAGTAAAGCAATAGATGGAAGATCTCTTTGTCTCTCCTACTCTCTCTCTGTAAGTCTGCCTTTCAAATAAACAGATCTTCAAACTTTTTTTTAAATGAGAAAAACAGATTAAAAACTCAGTGTAAAATTTATTAAAAACAATTTTGAGAGACAAAGAACAGAAAGAGATTAGCTGAGAAAATGCTCATCTGCTGGTCCCCTTGCCAAATGCTTGCCACAACTAGTGCTGCCCCAGGCCAGAGCCAGGCTTAGGAACTCAGTCTAGGTCTTGTGCATTGGCTAAGAAGGACCCAGGCACTTGAACTATCACATGCTGTTTCCCAAGGTATGCACTGGTGGGAAGCTGGAATCAGACTCAGAGCTGCAGCTCCAATCTAGGCTGAGACGGAATGTGGCCTTTCCAGCCAGGATCTTAATTGCAATGCCAAAAGAAGGAGGCCAAATAATGGCACTTTAGGGCACCTCAAAAATATTTCCCAGAAAAAAATATGTGATATTGGTCACAAAGTACAACCTTTGAGCTACAAAACCAATCAATTCGGAAATTGATTGAGCAGCAAAATGACTATTATTTTTGTAAGATTTATTTATTTTATTGGAAAGTCAGATTTACAGAGTGAAAGATCTTCCATCTGCTGGTTCACTTCCCAAGTAGCCATAACAGCTGGAGCTGAGAAAATCCAAAGCCCGGAACTTCTTCCGGGTCTCCCACAAAGCAGGGTGCCAAGGCTTTGGGCTGTCCTCGACTGCTTTCCCGGGCCAGAAGCTGGGAGCTGGCCGGGAAGTGGAGAAGCCTGGGTTAGAACTGATACCCATATGGGATCTTGGTCCATGCGGGGCAAGCAGTTTAGCCAGGGCAGAATGACTATTGTTAATAATGCCTTAGAGTAAGGTCAAGCGTTTGGCATAGCAGTTGACTGCCTGGGTAGTTGCATCCCATGTCAGGTCCATGCTTGGGTGTTGACATCTCCATGTTTGATCCAGATTCTTGCTGATATGTACCCTGGGAATGATGAAGGCTCAAGTAATGGGTCCCTGCCACCTGGCTGGGAGACCCAGGTAGAGTCTCAGCCTGGCCCAGCCCTGGGAATTGCAGACATTTGGAAAGCCAACCTGTGGATTGAAGATTCCCTTTCTCTTTATTCCTCTCTCTCTTTCTCACTCACTATGACTCTGCCTCCACCCCATTTGAGGTAAAATGAAAATGATAGTTTATAAGTTACTGTAATGCATGCTTGAAATTTACTCAGTTATTATCCCCACGTATACACACAAAATGGTAATTATGTGAGTGATATGTAACAGAGAAAGCAGAAAGAACAAGATTGCCCATGAGTTGAAATTGTGATCGTCTGCTAAGTGATACATTTGTAGCCTATTATATTCTATTGTATAAACTCTAAAATTTCTGTAATAATTTTTAAAGTGTCTTCGCCTGCTTATTCCTTCGCAGATATCTTAATTTTCATGTACTTAATCATCAAAGTAGTAGACTTTTCTTCTTGAAATACCTATTTGTATCATTCACTAACATTTTTAAATTCAACAACTCACTATTCATTAGCAAAATTCCTTCCATATTTAAGATATTTGACCACCATCTAAAATACATACATCTAATGTTTTAAGTTTACTAGTGTTGCTTTCTGCCAAATAGAAAATTTTAATTTTAAATAGTAAGAATTGAATTGATAGTTACTTCATATTATTTTATTTTCAAGCAGTTTTAATTTTTTTAGACTTCATTTTTAGAGTGATTTTTGATTCAGAAAAAAATTGGGCTAAATGTTTAGAAAATTCCCATATGTCCCAAACTCTATCCCCACACCCAGCTTCCATCACTCCCAGCATCCCACAGCAGAATGGTTCTTTTGCTACAGGTAATCTATATCAACACATCATTATCACCTAAGGCCCTAGTTTACATTCATGTCCATTCAGGCTGCCTTCCTGTAATGCATCAGCGGGGAACCTAGTTAGAAGCAGAGTAACAAGACTAGAGCTGGCACTCTAGTGTGTAATGCCTGTGTCCTACCATGCTGCAGTGCCATTACCATCCCTCCAAGCTTCTGATTCTCATGGAGCCAAATCTAGCTTAATCAAACCTCGGCTTGTTAAACACTCATTTTACAGATAAAGAGCTGTTGCTTCCTCCCAGCCTGCTTTCCAGCTTCCCCCTGCTCCACCTTACTCTACCATTTGAGAGCAGTTACATGCATCACACTATAATACTAAGAAAATGCTATTTTGTACAAGTACAGTTAAAGCTGCAGGAAATGTTAGATTGAGTACTTTAAGCAAGAGTAACTATTCCAGTTTGATTTTTGAAGTTTTACCTTTGCTTATTAAAGCCTTTTCCTCTTAGCATCAGATAAATGCTAATACTTGCGATCATGTACATTTTTGAGATATTTCATTGTCAATCAGAAATTCAGATTTAAACTTTGAGAGTCACATTGGGATCACGATGAGGCTGAGAGGTCATAACCCTGAGTCCTTCGGGCGCGAATGTCAACTGCTGCTGGATCAATGTTGGGTTCTTTTTGTCTTTGTTTCTGGCTGATAGGTCAGTCCTAGAGCCACTTCTAGAGCGTAGGGCATCATCAGGTGCCAGAGTTGAAGATCTGTCCCTCAGAGAGGACAGTGAGAACCGGATCAGCAAGTTCAAGAGGAAAGACTGGAGTCTAAGCAAGTCCCAGGTCATTGCAGAGAAAACTCCAGAACCTGATCTGCTGGTAAGTAGAAACTGTTTGCCACAACCTGCCCCCAGTGTAGACAGGCACCATCCATGCCATAGTGGTGCATCAACAGGACAAGCCTGGATGTGACTTGTTCTGGGACACAGCAGCCTGTGCTCCTGTTGGGCCAGAAAAACACATCCTGAGAATACTGTGGCTCCGAGTCAGTATTGGCAGGAGCTCGTGTGACATGTGGGTTGACACTTGGAGTTGTGGTTCTCACCATCATACTCCATGAGTCAGTGCAAACACAGTCATTTCTTTTAACTTAAAAAATAAAGTTGCTTTTCTTCCTGAACCACGTGAAGCTGTTGTTACATATGGCAAGACCAGATTTCCTTGATAATCAGGGTACTTCTCTGCCAACAGAAAGGACAGTGTCCAACAGTGGTCAACAGGAAGGCACTGGCCAGCCAGAGGATAATCTGTGGTGCCAAGATTCCCAGTTAGTGTCTACCGTGGTGCCCAGTACATGGCAGTGGGTTGGGCTTGCCTGCCTCCTCTGGAATTAAGTCCTTTTTCATGTTTCTGCTCAGCACACAGGACTATTCAGAGCCCTTTTGAGGCCTGCCCTCCTCACCGTGAACTCATGTGTTATTTTTCCCGCCTGGTTCTAGAGCCCAACCAGAAAAACACAAAGGCCAAAGAGCCTGCAACTAATGGACAATCGGCTAACCCCATTCCAGGGGTCTTCCCCTCCTCAGTCAACACCCTTGAGCCCACCACCACTCACTCCTAAAGCTGCCAGGACTCAAAGTAAGTCCTCCTGTATCCCTTACGTTCTTTGGGCTAGGAAGTGGATTATGTTTTTGCAAGTGGGCAGTCTATTCAGACTTGCCAAGTAAATGAGACTAGAAGAGTGCTCCAATTCAGTAGTAGTGGATATAACACAACTAACCTGGAGTTGGCAAGGAACCTTAGATTGCTATTATTAAGACTTTGTAGGAACAGGCATTTAGCCTAGCTAAAATATTGGTTGAAATGACACATTGGAGTGCTTACATCTGAACCCCAGCTCTGGTTCCTGATTCCAACTTCCTGCCAACACAGACCCTAGGAGAGAGTAATGATGATTCAAGTAATGGGATTCCTGTCACCCATTTTTGAAACCTCAGACTCCCAAGTCCTGGCCTTGCCCTACGCTAGACCTGGCTGAGGCAGGCTTTTGGAGAATGACCCAGCAGATAGGACCTCACTTTCCCTCTGCCCCCAAATTATTTTGTAAAACTTCTGAATGCCTACCTATCCCTTTTCCAAAGGCAAAGATTTGAAGGAGGTACATATGGATTAGGCAGGATGTATGGGACTTATGAAGTAACCATCGGGTGTATAGACCCATAGAGGGACAAGGAGTAGCTCCATCCCCTTTATTCCTTACAGCCTGGCCTGGAAAATCAGAGATCTGGAACACTTGAAAAGAACGAATCCCCATAGTACAAAAGCCTAGAAAAGGTATAAACCCACCCAGGCCACAGAGGAGGCCGTAGCTCACCAAGAGCTAGATATATAAGATAGGGTTTCTTGGAGGAATTGGTATTTACCTCAGCACATGGATTGTATCAGAGAACAGGGCAATAACCTTGTTCTAAAAACTGTTCTCATCTTTAGCTTAATGGTTTAAAAAAAAATCCCTGAACAGAAAATCAGAACTTCTACGTCACAGCTGCTTGTGAAGCATGTTTAGCCTTGTTGAGAATGAAAGGTGTAACTTTGGTCAGGTGAAACCAGAGGTCTTAGCAACATAGCTGACCAGATTAGATTAGAGGTGATAATGGTTCACCCCTTGGAGAGCATTGTTTGAATGAGACTACTAAATTGCCCTCTCTGCCCTCATCTCCTTTGTATCCCAGGTTCCCCATCTTTGCAGACAGATGGACTGATGACTGTTTCTGTCCCGCCTCCGCCTCCCCCCAAAAGCAAGCCCTATGACAGCAGCCAGAGGAATTCTACAGAGGTAGGGAAATGATGGCTGATGCTTATGCTCAGGAAGCACCAGTCCTGGGAATGTAGCTGTTTTCCAGTCTGTCAGGCGGCAAGTTTTCCCATGGATTTATCCCTGCAGCTCATTTCTTGGTTCCTTCTTGAAACCTTTTCACATAAGAGTAAACATAGAGTCATTGGCTCTGCCTTTCCTGGGTAGAGGGAGGTTAAGTCCCTGTTCCCATTTGAAGAACTTCTTTCTTCTGAATGAGGAGCAGTCATTCTGGAAAGGCCTCGGGTAGATTTTCTTCATCATTCTACAGCTGTTGAGTGCCTTCTGTATATACATGCCAGGGGCAAGAGTGCCAGGGATATAGCAGTGATTTGGTGTGAGTGAGTGTGTGTGTGTGTGTGTGTGTGTGTGTGTGTGTGTGTGTGCCCTTATTAGTTCAAGAGGAACAAGCAATGACAAGCCAGTCTCCTTTCCCCTTGCACAAGCTGTATAGACAAACTCAGACCAATTAAAAACTGCCAACAATATGTGGCCAATGGGAAGAGGAGACAGGATTGACGGCAAAGCTAAACCTCATCTTTGATTTTGTGTGTCTTGTCCTCTAGGTTGCTCCCCCTCTGCCTGTCCGAAGAGAAGCCAAAGCCCCACCCCCGCCACCCCCCAAAGCTCGGAAGTCTGGGGTCCTTTCCTCGGAGCCTGGACCTCAGTGAGTGTCCAGCCCTCTCTGGGTGCCTTCGTCACCCGCTGCCTGGGAATCCGCCTCCAGGAAGCACTGTGCTCGTTTCCTGGGGCTCCATGCAGACTGCCTTTCCTGATGGTTCAGCGGGCTTTGTTCCTTCACAAGCTTCCCTCTGATGCATGCAGGAGGCCAGGCCACATCCCGTCCAGTACATTTGGGATTCCAGAGCTGGCTGTGTCCTGTGTGTTTCAAAGGAGAGTTCTCCTTCCCTGTGGGGCTGAGTCTCAGCCTGTACTGAGGAACCACCAGGTCTGTAGACGCCCAAACCCATTCTCCCGCAGCAGGGCAGCAGCCCAAGCCCCTACTCTGCAGAGGAATGTCTTGCTTCGCTTCTGAAGAGCTGTGCTGGAGACGTGGCTATTTTTTTCTCATCTGGACATACCTCTTCCATCTAGAATTTTGAAATAATTGGATATCAAATATATCTTAGTAGCCAAAATAATCTTGTCTTTCTAATGTCTACCATGTCCCTTGAGAGGAAGAAAACACACATGTTTAATGCAGATTGGCTGTTTTCAGGTGTGAGTGGCCACCCTCCTTGAGAAAACAGACTTACATGTGAGCCCTGAGCCCTGGGTCTCCCCACCCCTACTTACTGAGGCACAGGGAGGCCTTCCTGCCAACCCACTGCCCCCACTGGAATGCCACCATCCTCCCAGCCAATGGCATCGCTGCATGGCCGTCTCTCCTCAGCTCAGATCCTTGGAAGCTCTTCCTTTTGCACACGTCGTTTTTCTCCTGTTACGTCTCCCATGCTCTGATCATTGGCCATTGTGGACTAAGGAGCGTGGGTTCAACAGCTTCTCTTCCACACCCCCTCTGGATGACTCAGTGGCCCAGCCTGCTTCTTGACTTTACCCTTGAGAATACAGTGCAATATTTCTCTTTATTTATTCCTCTTGATGGTAGAGTTAATTTGATTCCTTGCAAATGGTACTAACATCAGTACTCCTTTCAGAAGAAAAAAATAGGGTGCTTGAGCCGGCCAACTATTCCTCACACAGCAAGCCACACGTACTCACAAGTGTCAGGAGCAGGAAAGGCCTTAAAGTTCATCCAGACAACCCCCTCCTTGTGTAGATAATGAAGCTGAAACTTCGCACAGTTGGACTGCAAATGTTTACTAATAATCCAGCTCGCTTTGGGCCACTCCCAGATCCACAAAACACCTTGGACAGACTCATCTTTGAAATATCCCAGAGATTTGTGAACTACTGAGGTATCTATGGCAAAGTCAGAAGCTTTGGACTGTGACTGCTGCAGGGAAGCTCACCTGTGCCTGCCTCACCGCCTTGCAGAGAGCAGGGAGACGGAGTTCACCTGCGATTGTGTGCCTTTCACCATCCCCCTTTCAGGAGGGACCTGCAGGTTCCCCACAGGGATCGAGGGAGCAGAACCTCTGAGACATGTGGCGCATGCTAGTCAAGAAAGCCAACCGCATATTCTAAAGGCACTGTGGAGAAGGACGTTCTTCACCTTGCCCTGGGGAAGCTTCATCATGGTGTCACAGGAAAGGCCTACGCCTTGGACCTGAACCCCTCTGGTTTCCTATTCCAGCCACGACACTCTGCATGCTACCAGAAACTATTTGAAATGGAAAGTTTTCATCTTCTCACCTTCCAGAAGTGGAGATGATAACTCCCACACAGATTGTTCTAAGGTGCAAATGAGATGGAATATATGAAGGAGTGGTTGTCCTTTGTTCTCTATGAGGCTTGAGCAAGATCTGGAATTCTGGACCAATTTTAGTGATCCTCTTTTCTGTGTTGATTTGCAATGTGAATGCAGGTACAGGTTAATTCTGCACACAAAATCTTTTTCTGAAAGACACCATCTTTTGTATCATTATCTATAATAGAGATGTAGTGTTAATAAGAACTGAAGAGGGTTTTAAGTGGAAAGAGTTCAGCCCTGCAGGCAGGGCTTTCAAAAGGTGGAGGCAACAGAATGGTTATGAGGAGCCTGGGGGAATTTCTGAGAATTTAACTGGCCCACTGGCAAGAGAGATTTGGATGCCTCACCCTATCTTTAAGATGCCATGAAAATAGAAAGAGTCAAACTGAGTCAGACACCCCAAACCTCAAGGCTGTCCTTCCAAAATAGAAGTGACTCTCTGAGCAGAGGCTGGGGCCCTGTGTCTCTCAGGTCACATGATCTGTTAGTGGCCGCATACCTTCTCTTTTTCCTTGGAACATGTTTTTCCTTCCACCTTACTGAACATACTGGCCTTCTACTGCCTGTACATGAAGGATCTCATGGAACATAGTGGATAACAAAAGTCATCAGAAAGTCCATTTCCTTGGGAAGCCATTGGATAGGAAAGAGTTACCTGGACAAAAATTCATAATATCTGGCTTGGAGTCAAAGAGGAAGACTGCAAAGAAATGCCTGATGATTACATACGTGCAGGGAGGAAAGAGAAAGAACTGATCTTTATTTTCATTGCTGAAAATCTACAATATAGGCAGACAGTGAAATTAGCCCCAAAGTAGCCACAACCTTTGTAAAGCTTGTGGGTTGGTGTGCTGTGGTTTAAAATTTTTGTTTTTCACCTGTTGTCTTGCTCTGGGTGTTTTTTGTTTGTTTAAGTTCTTACTGAATGGCAGACATGTTGTTAGCCCCTGAGGATGAGACAGCTTGATATGTTCAGTGCCAACACCTCCAATATACAAACACTGTTGACTCTGGTATGCAGTAGGGTTGGAAAGTGAATGGCATTCGGTAATAAAATCCTAAATAAGGCTGCTGGGCCTTCATCTCCTTAGTCCTGCATTGTAACCATGGTCTCCTGCCAGGGAAGCTCATTGAAAACTGCAACCACACTTCAAACCCCCAAAATAAAACAATATATATACCAGGATTTCCAATAACCCTCTGCTTGTTAACTCTTCCCCAGCTGGAAGAGTTCATTCCCTCTAGCACTCCCAGTTCATGGGGCTGATGTCTCACCTGAAACACAAGATGAAACTGACATAGATGCCATAAATCTTAGGTGTGCAGATGGGTGAATTTTCACATAGCTTTATACCTATGCCACTATCTCAGATACCAAAATGGGCTGTTTCCAGATCCCCCAAGAAGGGTGTTTGCAAGGCTGTTACGGTTTGTGCCTACTTTACTCACACTTCTCAGGTATCATGAAAGAGGAAAAAAGCCTCATCATGAGCTAAGACTATAAATATGTATCCTTTTTAGCAAGTCAATTTACAGTCACTCCACTCTGTTCCCTCTCCTGTTAAAATATATACATATGAGGCCTCAGTCTTTAAAATCCTTTCAGTCCCAACTTCTTTCATTTTAAGTGAAAAGTGTTAGAAGGAAACTAAATTTCCCTATGAAGGCTTCTAGATCCATTTCCCAGACTTCCCAGTTTTGGTGCTTTGATTTTGGCATATCAGGCTATTAAAGATCAAAAGATTTGGGTACATTCATGAGTCTGCCTACAATACCCCAGCACACCCTGAAACTTTAACATAAATCATTATAATTCTTCATAATTATGTGTAAGCCATGTCATTTTCACAGTAGTCTCTAGACTTAACCTTGTCTACACTAGACTTTATTTTAATAATCATGATTTCCTTCCCTGGTAGTATTTGGGAAATTGGCAAATATCACTTCATTGGGAACTCATTCAGCTGTAAGTCACTTCTTGAAATTAAATCGGAAAAGGTAATTTTCTCCTTGGATAGGTTGAGAATCGAACCATCCATTCTAATCTTACAAAAGAAAAAAAAATACGGCTTTATTCTCCAATTAATGATTCCAGGCAGATTCTTCAGATCCAACCTAAGTTTGTCTCTCGTACGCACTACCCAGATCCACTTTTTGGAGCTTGTGTGTTGTCCATCTAAAGTTTGTCAGAAGTTCCTTTGTCATGATTCTGTGACTAATACAGTTTCAGATATGGGTGATTAGGACGTGTGCATTGAAGTAGAAGAATTTTGTCAGATTTGCTGTTATTTATTTTTTAAATTAAAAGTGAAAATGTCTTGAAGTTTATTGTGTGTTTTGTTTGTTATTACCTTGATAATTACAAAATCAAAGCATTCCTGAATTTTGTAATTTTTTTCCTTATTGACACTTCTTTAAAGACATATCATCCCCAAAGCCCCCTCTGGGTTGTTTCATTTTAGAGCGCGTTAGTTGAAACATGTGCTTGTGGGAACCTGTTATCTTTGCTCTAAAGTAATTAAAAATGCAAACCATTTGATTTTTTTCGCCCTTCCATCCATCCCTTTGGTATCTGAACTTACAACTTTCTGACAGAAGTTCACTTAATGTATCAGTAGCACTTCTATTTCTTTACTGATTCACTACACACAGTTAAGCAAAGGTGATTAGAGAATATTAATAAAGAATATCAAGTAAGATGGTATGCAATTTTGCAATTCTTAAACTAGTTGAACCTGTTGTTACCTGAAAAGAAACCACACCCAAGTCTAATTACATAAGAATTTCTGAACATGGGATATCTATCAATCAATAAATCTCTCCATATATATGCATACATGCATACATATGTAGTAAGATTTATTTTTATTGGAAAAGAGGCAGATCAGATTTACAGAGAGAAGGAAAGCCAGAAAGATCTTCCATCTGTTAGTTCACTCCCCAAATAGCTGCAACAACCAGAACAGGGTTGATCTGAAGCTAAAAGCCAAGAACTGCTTTGGGTTTTCCACATGGGTACAGGTTCCCAAGGTTTTGGGCTGTTATCTACTGCTTTCTGTGGCCATGGTGGAGGGCTGGATGGTAAGTAGAGCTACCAGGACACGAACCTGCCCATATGGATTCCCAGCACTTACAAGGTAAGGATTGAACCAATGTGCCAGACCCCACATCTGTATATATTTTTTTACATCTCCCCATGCTTCACTTGTATTCCAGTTAGTTTTCACTTGAAGGAAGGATCTTTCTGTGGAAGAGGAAACTTTAGTCATGTGCCCACCTTGGCTTCTGTAGAGTATCATCAAAGTAAAATTACAAGTCCATGGAAACTTGCTGGTTTAGTGTTTACAGGCCTAGGTTAATCGGTGGCCGTTTTTCACCTGCATGGATGAAAGGCAGGGGTGGATGAGAGTTATGAGATTCCTTTAGTCAACAATAGACAAGTGATATCATTCCCCTTCTCATGGAGCCTGAGCCCCCATCCCTAACACCTTTAGTGTAGACTTATTTAAGTACTATTCTTCTCCTTAGTTTGTAGTTCCTGTCTTCACAGTGGTGATTACAAGTCAGCTGCTTTCTAGGATTAACTCTTAACTCAGTGTTACAAGAGGTCAGGCATACCCTGCAGGATTCTGGGTTGTAAGACCTAGCATTCAGTTAGCTCTGTGCCTGACATCCTACCACTAGACTCTAGTTCAAGATACTTTGCAAGAACATCAAGCCCCAAGTAAACAAAGGAATAACCAGCCCACCCATAGATAGGCTGGGGTCACAGCATCTTCAGAAGAGTATACTGCCCTCTTATCATTGGCCACTCCAAGGGAGCCCACAAGCATAAGAGGTCTTTCCACGAGCTGATCATACATTTCCAACCTCTACTTTAATTCGTAAAATTTCATTCTCTCATCTCTCCAGAAGTCTGAGGATTGAGCAATAGCTGCCCAGCTCCTTGTTCTAGCCACTGAAAATAAGCTATTGCCTTCTTCCACCACACTACTATCATTAGTGGCTTGCTATATATGCCAAGCAAGCAGATTTGATCTGTGGATTCTATTGTACTTCCTCCAACCTGATTGGCAGTTATTTTCTAACATCTGCCACCTGTAACCACACCATGTAGGATGCTCCTTGACAGGTTTATTGCAATGTTTTTTCTCCTGGAGTTCTGAGTTAAAGATGTAATATTTACACCATACTGTTCGTAACATGGTTCTTTATTGTGAAATGTGTACAACTTAATTTCTGAATCTCACACGATTTTGTCAGGGGTTACAATTGTCATTGTCAGGATTATACTTAAGTGTTGTCAGTCCTTTTGGCCAGATGAACTTAAATCTTCCTCTGTCCAGATTCCTCTTCAATCAGACTTTCCTAAAAAACATGTGAGTAAAACTATATGAACGTCTACTAGTAGAATTCCATTGCATTTTTGCTAAAATGTTATTTGACAAGAAACACTCATTTTCTTGTATTAGAAAATGCTAGAGAGATTGCAGGGATTGGCTCTTTTTAAGCTTCTTAATAAAATCAACATGAATAATTTGAAATGAAAAAGATGAGAGAAAAATCTGATCTGTCAGTTTACTGTTAGACCAGACTCTGCTCCAGTCCCCTCATAAGTTTCCCTGGAAAATATCATTGCCTGTTGTTATCTTTGTCATATAGTAAGCAAAATTAGAAAATGAAAATAAAAATGTCTGTTCATTTTTCCTTTGTCATACCTTTGGGTATGAAAGAGAAAGTCACTAGAGAAAATTTAAATTATAGTTTATCTTTATATATGACTTATTCAGGCTTTCCCTGCTCCTGGGTATAATGGATAATTAACCTTGGATGTCATGACTGCAGCACGTTAAGTGGACTATAAAGCTCAGAAAAAAATCCACTGAATTCAACAGTCGACTTCTGTGCTCAGCTCTCTTCATACTTCCGTCATCAATCCTGAAATTAGATTTCCATTCTTAGTGGGAATTAGAGAATCCTAGTCTTATTATAAAACTGGACATCAAGCCTTTGGCTCTGGATTATAAATTTATCAGTTTGAAATTTTTTTATATATATTTTGAAGAGAAAAGGTCTGAAATAGAACACAATATCCCAGGTTTCAGGAAAAGCATGTGACAATGGCAAGAACAATTACAGCATCAGGTGGAGGGCTATGACAGCCTGGAGCAGAGTCCCCAAGAGGGATTGATGGTTATTCTTGAAGGCTTCAAATATTACAGTGTGAAGAAACTTGGTTCATTGCCCCCAAGACTGGAGCCAGGATTAGAGGATGAAGACGGTTCCAGCCCTTGGGGTAACTATGGAAGGAAAAGGTAGGTACCAGCAAGTGCCTTGTCACAGGAGGTACCCAGCTGTTGGGAAGCAGCAGTCAGCCCATGGTGACTTGCAGGTGTTCATCAAAGGGCCTTTGCACTGCTACAGCTTCCCACATTGCAGTCACCTTACTCACCAGAGCTTCCTTCAGGCCTCTGAGGGCAGAGTGTGGCTGGTGGATGGTGCATTCAAAGCGCTGGGGTTCTATCAGCTGATCAAGCTCTTTGGTTCTCTGGAGAAAAAGAATGTACTTGTTGGAGATGCAAAAATAGAAAGAGTTTTTATTTCCACCAAAAATTGTTCCTGTATCACAAAGTCAAGGGGGTCGTGGAACGGAGTGGGGGATGTGAGGAGACAAATTTGTCATCAGGAAGAGAGGACCTTGGGGATGAAAGAGAAGTGCCTCAACTTTATAAGGAGAGGTGCATACACCCACAATACAAGAATCAGGATAGGGGACTGACGTTACAACAGAGCAAGTTGAGCTACCAGCAGTTGAAATCCTGGCTTCTCCATTTCTGATGCAACTCTCTGCCAACATGCCAAATAAGCAGCAAAAGATGACCCAAGTTCTTGGTGCCCCCACCACCCGGGAGGGTGAGCTGGATGGAGTTCTTTGCTCCCAGCTTCCACTGCACTTATCCCTGGCTATTAGAGTTGTTTCAGGGAATAATCCACTGATGAAAAAATCTCTCACTCTCTCACTGCCTTTCCAATTAAAAAGTCCTAACAAAAACAAGAGGGGTGGTATGCATCTTGTAGCTTTTACTGAATATTCTGGAGTTCATTGAGATTAATTTCACATATAATCTGTGGAGAAGAGACTTCAAATTCTGGAACTTCTGTGTTTCATAGTAAATTAACTATTTCTCTTTAAAAAGATTCATTTACAGTCAAAATTAAACGTGTTTATGTTTTTCTAGCTAAATCTCCCAGTTTTGGTCCTATTTTTGTTTCAACTAATCAGTCAACAATACTGGCACCTCCTGTGTACGTTTTACCCAATTCTGTGAAATCACATTTTGTAGTGTAAGGGAAAAAAAAAAGCCGAAGTGTTAATGTTGGTGGTGTTAGTCCTTAAGTGCTAAGTAGTCTATCAGAAATTAAATCTAAGATGTTTCCCACTAAAAGGGTACTTCAAGACACTTGCAGCAAAGTGGAATTAAAAGTTAAGTTTATTCGGTTGAAACAATTTATACATGAAACAATTTAACAATATGCATGTTATGTAAAAACCCTTATCATATATGGTTTTCAAAAATTTTTTGCATCAAAATTAAAATCATCTCCTAATTTCATGTATGTTTTGAGGAATCCTAATTATCTTGTTTTGTGTTTGCTAACTCCTGAAGTCTCTCAGTGTCCTGCTTTTTAATTAAGTATCCCTTTCAGAAGAAATGGCAGGGCTTGCAGCCTTGATAAGGATACACACAAATTACAGACATGCTCTACTGGCCTACTCTCACACATATGTTAATGGTTACTTATTTTTATACTTGAAACGTGGAGACTCAGGCAGATAATCTGTTGCTGGTTCACTTCCCAAACAACCATGATGGTCAGGGCTGGACCAGACTGAAGACAAAAGCTAGAAACTCTAAATACTTGAGCTATCACTTGCTTTCAGAATATGCACTAACAGGAAGCTGGGCTTGGCGCTGGAGCCAGGAGTTGAGTTCAGGCCCTTTGCATGGGATGTAGGCAACCCAAGCAGTATCAACTATACATCCCATAGATATTTTTAAAGATGAGTTGGAAAACAATATGCCGGAGTCCTAGGCTTTTCTTTCCAAATCTCAAAGAATCATTTTCTGCCACATATCTTGGTTCTATCCCCTTCCACTTATTTTTTGGTAGTATCTTTGGCATTCCATTTACTGAGTGTGCAACACACCATCATGCACTTGATGCTGTATTAATTTGGACCCTGTTCTGCTCTTAGATTCCTTAGTCCCTGACTGAACTGAAAGTAGGAATGGGCTGCTGCTTTGCAAGTATCTTACCTTGACTATCTAGGGTGGAGCATGCATAGAGCTGTTAGGGCCCATGCTGAAGGCTTTATAAAGTTAAACAGAATCAATATACTGAATCTTATTTTTGAAGTCAAGAGGAACTTACCTCTTGGAAAGAATCAATCAAATTTTCAGCATTTCTCTTTCCTCCAGGGCGCAGCCCATAGGACCAGTGTTGGCTGGAACAGCCCTCCACACACACAATCAATAGCAGCAGTCCAGTGAGCAGTTTGGGAATTGGCTCCATTCTAAGGAACATCCGTGCACAATCAAAACATACTCAGACTGGGGTGAGTAAAGCATAAAAGCCTCTTTAGTTAAAAAAAAAAAAGTCAGTATTTTGATCATTAACCTTAAAGATGAAATTTGGAATCACACAGTTTTCACACAGATACTAAACTACAGAGATGTCTATACATTTGCTTCCAGAGTTTTCTAGCCACTGTGGATAAAATTAGTATAGCTTGAGCATTCCTAGTTTGAAAATCCAAAATCCAAAATGCTCTAAAATCTGAAATTCTTACTGTTGATGTGACAACACAAATGGAAAATCATACTCCATGAAACTTTGTTTCATGCACATTTAACATACTATATATAATCTTCAGGCTGTATTGTAAGGTATGTATGAAACAGAAATGAACTTTGTTTTCATTCACTTCCACAAGCTATTTTGTATAGAAAATCTTCCAAAATAAAAATGATCAGATAAAACACAAAATCTGAAACATTTCTGGTCCCAGTTATTTTGGATTTGGGGTATTCAGTCTGTTTTAAACTCACATTTCAGGAATTTTAAGAACTAAAGTTTTGTTCTATTTATCCAAGCACCATGATTCATTCCTTATCACAGTCCCTTTTATGCTCACCATGTCCCACTGTGTGAACCGGCCCTCAACCCATTGAGACTGGATAAGAGAGAGCTGGTCCATCTGCTTCTACTGAGAAGTAGCTTCTAGAGGTACCTCTGGCTAATCCAAAGTTGGTTGACATTAAATGGCTATGCGATGGTTCTAGTGACATTTTGCTGACTACTGTTCCTCTTGTTTTCCAATCAGTGCTGCTGGCTGAACCATCTGTGAAAATGAGAGAGGACTTGAGTCTCAAAGCAGGGAGTCCCAGACCAGCTGCCTCCTTGGCCAAGGGGGCCTCTAGTGATCTAATCAAATGGTTCTCCATAGGACTTTTCATTTGATGGGAAGAGGCTAAAGATAAGGTGAAATACTGGTTAGCCAACTATAGGGTTTCCCAAAAGTTGAATCTCTTTTGTTTGGCAGCATCAAGAGCAGTAAAGGCCAAGGCTCCTTTACACATCATTACACAGGAACTTAGCCTTTGAGATACAAAATGCTCCCTAGATATGTAGTAGCAAGTGATCTAAACAGAAATAAAGTGGTTTTTTGGGGGGTGGGACGTGGTTTACCTGTTTAGTTGCAAACAGTCAGAAGATCCCACGTCTCCTTTGGGCTGTGTTGAGTGCTGGGAGTTCTAGAATTCCAGCTTCCTTTTTATATGAAAATTTTCTAGGACACTGAAATCTTTCCTGCTGGTAAATTATACTACATATGCACTGTGTAGTTTTTTCATAGTAATTTTCCTAATCCTCACATAAAACCCTTTAATGGTGTATGTAATCGGAATCCCCACTGGTGTTATCTGTTAAATTTACTAAAGCCCAGCCATTAAAATCTCAGCTAAAACTTTTATAGCTGAAGCAATTATTTAAAAAGATTAAGCTCCAGCTTCTTTGGATTCCCTTGAGGAAACTTGCAGACCTATCAAGAGTTCAAGGAAAATAGATATCGTAGATAAAAGAAAGTTAAAAACATACATAAAAACTTGGGAGACTGCAATAAAATTACTAATAGAAAATAGAGTCAGGATGCCTGGGAGTCAGGTTCAGCTTTTAGTTCCTCATTTATAAAAGCAGAAATTTAAACCAGATTTTCATAAAGTTGTTCCTGGTTTAAACACTTCAATTTATAAGTGATTTTTTGATACTATGCAACATCCATCTAGGATCCCAAATTAGGTGTTATGAAGTTTGAAAATCCCCCTACCCTCCTATCTACTGGATTCCCTCCTTATTTTCTTGAAAGCTTTTGGTAGCATTAAAAATGTTAGAAAGAAACATAGACATTAGAATGTACTAAAGGGGTGGGGGGGGGGTGCTGACGCCATAGTTAACGGGCTAATCTTCCCATATGGGCATTTGTTCATGTCCTGGCTGCTCCACTTCCTATCCAGCTCCCTGGTTGTAGCCTGAGAAAGCAGTGAAGGATGGCCCAAAGCCTTGGGACCCATGTGGGAGGTCTAGAAGTGGCTCCTGGTTCCTGACTCTGGATCAGTTCAGCTTCTGCCATTGTGGCCATTTGGGTTGTGACCTAGAACCCGGAAGATCTTTCTGTCTCTCCTTCTCTCTCTGAATATCTGCCTTTCCAATAAAAATACATAAATTAAAAAAGTGCACTAAAGGCAATATCATGCTGAGCAAACTAGATTGCAGTTCAATTCATTTCCATAGATAGTTATTGGGTTAACATATGCAAACCAGTGTGCTAACACAGCAAACACAAAGATGTGAAATGATAGTTGCATGTTGTGTAAGAACAACCTCATTCACTGATGTTCTACCCTAGTGGCATGACCTTGGACATGCTAGTTACACAAGCATTTACTGAAGACACAAAACCATTACTCTTTATTACATTCATTTGGATGCAAGATCGTCTTCCCCTAATTTACCTTTGGGCTATAATCCATAATAGTCAAGATGACATCCTAATTTGATTTGTCTGTTAATAACTCCCTGGTATCTAGCCTGCATAGGTTCGAATGAATGAAATGACTCAATGACTGGATAGAGAAAGCAAGTATGTTTTAACCAGATTAGGCCTAATGCTTCCTTTTTTTCTGCATCAAGGATGTTTTAACTGATGCAGAATTAAATCTTCATGTTCAGTGGACTAGATGGCCCGCTACATTAGCTAAGCCAGAAAATGGTTTAAATATAACTAGATCTTGTTCATTTTAGAGATCATTGGCAGTTTCCCTTCAGGTAGGAAGGAAACCAATCAGGCATTGCACAGTGTCCTCTGGAATAGTTACATCTGTGAGGATTGCAGAGGAAAGAAAAATGGTGTCTTGCCAGTAGACTCCCAGCCATCTCTTGTGGAGGCTGGTCGGTCCTTATGATAGTGTCAACAAAAGGTTAAATGTTAAAGCACGGCTGGCTACAAAAAGAAAAAAATATGAAATTAAAACATCTGATTCACTTTATTTCATTCAAACACAAGTATTAAATGCCATTTTACTGTGAGCAAGTATTATCTCACTATTTAGGTGATGACTGTTTTCAAACAAGAGTTCATTGTGTTTGCACAGTTGTCCAATTCGTTTCTGCTTTGGTGAGACCTGCTATTAGTGTTGCTGACACCAAAAAATATGGTTTTGTTAGGAATCACTCAAAGCAGGTTAGTAATGTCTGGTCTCTATTGTTAAGTGGACATGTATTTCTGAGTAAAAACCGCTGGATTTCCTATAGTTATTGGTGTTAAATTTTTGACATTTTCAGTTTTAAGACGAACACAACAAAATGGCCTATGAGTTCATTCAGTATGGTGTGCATTTTTTAAGGCTTAGGTCACAGCTCTCTAGTGTAGAAGCCAAATTTGTCTTATTTTCTATAGCACAACTATAATTATTATAAAATTAATGACTTTTTGATGCTTAGTGACAAATTGTGAACCCTTTCAATTTACCAAGAGCCGAATAAATAAAGCGGGTTTTAAATAATCACATTTTGTATTGCCATGTTTTGCTTTTCCCTAGATTTCAAAGAATGACTTTAGATGGAACACTGCTTCATTTTTCAGTATTAATTCAGAAGTATTACAGTAATGATTTTTGTGATCTTGCAGAATGACAAATGGGAGACTTTTTTTTCCCCTAATGTAAAATCTCAGCAGGTGGAATAAGGTTAACTCCTGCTGATATATCTAATCGGGTTGTGAAAAGGTTTCAGAGAATTAGTTCTTAAGTAAGTACTTTATATTGAAGTAATGTGAGCACTTTTCTTTGTAGTAGTAAATCTTTTAATTTCAAATACAATACTTCCTTGGGGAGTTAATAAAACCTGGCTATTCTATTAAAGGTAATTTAAAGTTGACTCAGGGTTGGATTTATAGTATAAACAGACTTATAAAATAGACTGGAGAAAATATTCCAAGTCTTGATTTATAATAGAAACCTTTGCAGGATAATGAATTCCAACATTTCCTATAATTTGCTTGGAAATGTATTTGAAGGAACTAAATTTGTATTAAAAAAATCTGTATCGCTTTAGATAATTATTTGAGTACTGAATTTTATTCGTGTAAATAGTCTCATTTAGGTTGAAACTGTTTTGTCTGGCCCTCCTTTCAACCACTATTGTATGGACACCTTTTATCATTATGGTTAAGAGAAGTTTTACTACTTTGAGACATTTTTCTCTAAAATACTCTGTCCTGTCAGGTGAAACATCTTGAGGTAATACTTTAAAAAGATTGATTGATCTGTTTATCTATTTATTTAGTTGAGAAGCAGAATTAGAGGGAGAGGATGACAGAGGTCTTTTGTCTGCTGGTTATTTCTGCAAAAGGCTGGGCCAGGTTGAGGCCAGGAACTTCATTAGGGGTTCCCAAGTGGGGGCAGGGGCTCAAGTCCTGGGGCCATCTTCAGCTGGAACCTGGATGGTAGGTGGAGCAGCAGGGACTCAAACCGCATTGATATAGCATGATGGTGGTGTGAGTGAAGGCTTAACTCACTAAGCCATGGCACTGACCATGGTGGATATTATTTATCCACCTTAATAATTCTTACTGGTAACCGTTCATTGGCTTAAGAGTAACAAACTGAAATACTGGAAGGCAAGTCTCTCCTTTTAGGAGAATGAGTCAAGTTACCTCATTTATTTAGAATAGCAGATAAATGCTGTTTAAAAGACATAAATTGATTTTTATGGCACTTCCCAAGAGGCTAATCTGTAACACATGTTATGCTATATTTCCTTGTCCATTCAGTCTGTCACTCCTAGTCACCAACACATATTTTAGAAATGAATTCAAAGACACATAATGTGCTGATTTTCAAAAGGAAGAGAAGAAACTTTTTTCAACATTTCATATTGTTTATTAATGTAGTATACATTAACTCCAACGTCTGCAGTTTCTAAGCACACTGTGTGTAGATCTTTCAGCTCCTTGTGCACTTGTGCAGTTTTACGTTTGTCTACAGAGGTACCCTTAAATGAATGAACAACACATTCTATAATTATTGAAAATATAGTACTGAGTAAAATGATTTAAATATAATTTAGGCACATACTGATTATGAAAATAGATATCTCTCAATACAATACTTCTCTGTCTTGGTAAAAATAATAAAGCAAAGAAAATATTTCATTTCTAAAGTTGCTTTCCTTCCCTGGTAAAGGTCTGATTTCCTCCCACTATGCATATGTACCCTTTACTGTTCAGGAAAGCTTTGCATATGTAGATATAGAAGAATAAGCTACTCAAATACTAAAGATATGTCATTCTCCCAAAGGAGACAAAAGTGGTTTTTAATGATCCATTGCCTCCAGGTGATAAGTCTGTAGATTTCAGAGCCCATTTGGATCCAGCTGTATTCCTACTCTTGGGGCAGACCTAAGGATATAACGTTATTGGTGGGCAGGTACAGTCCCCATTTCTGTTGTTGCAGAGAATGATTAAAAAACAGGTCTAAAATTTATTTTAAAAAAAACCATAAAACTTAAGTAAAACAACCACAGGTGCTCACTGGAGTCACTAGTATTACATTATGGGCCAGCGAAACACCTTTACTTTCAACGATTAAATTTGGAGCAGCAGCTGTAATGCAGCTCATAGTTTAGAAAACTGCATTCCCTACCGCTGACTTCAGGCTTCTGCCTGCTCAAAGGTGACTTTGCAATATCCGTTCACATCTTATAGCTTTGATTGTAGTATATTTAGAATTACCACCTAGTACTAAGCTGATTCTGTTTAAACTATTTTCTATTTGAATTAAATGAATATTAATGATGCATCTTGGCTTTTTAGCTTTGAAGTATCTTCCTCTGTGTTGACTGTGAAACTAGCAGACCAGTTGTGTAACTGGGGCTGCACGGCGTAGTGTTGAATGGAACCTGCCTGGGATGAAATCCCGAGGAATGCTTATTTCAAAGCTGAGGCCAACAATACTTTCTTCATCTGGGGAATCCCAGTATACCTTCAGAATGCTAACGATGCACAATGGCATCTTTCCTTTCATTGTCTCAACCAGTAAGAATGGGATATACCTTTAATTTAGCTAATATTTTGTTCCAGAAAGTAAACATCATAAAAATGAACCTGAAAAGAGAAAGCCTTAGGCAATCTGATCTCACCATATTCATATGCTGTGACAAGTATTTAAAAGAGGGAGGCATCACTAAAGCTATTTATAAACCTGAACAACCTTTTCAAAGTTTTCATAAAGTTTAACAATTTAAATATCCATACTGCATCTACGTATTCAATAAATATAATTGCATATGTTGTGCTTTTCATAAATTAAAATCCTCAAATGCATCTCAAATCAAGATGGCATTTCCACACCATGCCTGTTTAAAAGCAAATATAATAGACACTATTCCTGGTCATACAGCCAGGCAGCTTTCCCATCGCACTCAAAAGGCAGCAATGCAATCTAATTTTCCTACTTCTATTAAAGGAGTGCTTTTCTGTTCAATCAGAATGTGGCAAAAGAGTCCATTTTTTCCCTTTATGCACCGCTGAGAACAAGCACAACCATTAAAATGGTTTTAACATTCCTTTACAGTGCTATTTCTTCTAGACAGCTGAGTGGGTGGAGAAATAAAAATGATAAGAAAAACATTTTCCATCTAGGACATCTTCCCGCATTCCCTCAGATTTCTCATCTAACACTCTGTGACATGTGTAGTGGTGTCAGCATCTCCTCGAATATGGCTCCCTTCACGTTGGAGCCTCGCAGGTTGGCTTCTTGAAGGTCGCACCCAGACAGGTCACAATTCTGCAAGACAGATTAAGAACAATGTTATGTAATTCTGAGAAAGACCACCAGCCTCCCCCCCCAAAAAAAAACATAGAAATTAAATCAAATTCAGGATTGGTATCTGTGATTTGGGCACCCGAATCCTGCTCTAGAATGCCAATCAGTTTAAATAAGCAACTGAAAGGAGAATAGCCCTGTAGCTGCTGGCATGTTACCTGGCAGTTTTATCATCCAACTTCATTATGATTCCCATAGTTTTTGCATTAGATACTCAGGACTTTTCACCGAACCAGAAGCTTTCATTGTTGGGAACTCACCTCTAAGTCAGTTCCTGCCAGAGTTGCTCCTCGGAGGTTGCAGTTCTTCAACTTGGCATTTTTTAAAGTGGCAACTCTCAGGTTAATTCCTGTCATTTGACTTCCTTCCATGTCCACACCTTTCAGGTTAGCACCTATAGCAAACACATTTTGGGAATAGTTTAACTGAAAAATATTATCTGCTTTCAACAAATTGAAAGATGACTTAATGCAGGTCTTCTTTAACTTTTGGAAATCTAAGTCTCTCAACCAACTTACAGATAAAGAACTCAATATTAGGAAATGGTTTGATTATGCAATCATTAGAATGTTTTCATCAATACTTTTGAGTGGAGGAATCAATTACCTTATGAGTCAGTACTTCTAAAGCCCATTTAAGTTTATAGCAATGAAGATAAGCACTATGTCTCAAAAAACATACAACAAAGTGACCAATTCATAGGTATAACAATGTAATGAGTTAATAAAATGTTAAAATATGACACAAAGAACTCCTTTCTGGTTTTGTGCAAACTGAAATTTTTCCTTTTAATCAATATGAGAATATCTGCTCTCCAAAGTTTAAGATATAGACATTCAATTCTTCAACTCAAGCTCCATCAAATTTTCAAAGTTTGATTTCTTGAATTCTTAGTTCTGATTACTATTTGAATGAGGCAAGTGGAAGCATCTTACTCTATGTTCTTACAGCTGCCCTGTTTTACTCTTCACAGTCACATTGCTGAGATTTTAACATTATGATCTGGTTTTACCAAAGGACATGTATTCACAGAGGGGGATCTCACCTTCTAAATTAGCTTTAAGACCAGACGGATCCTCAAAATTACACAGTTTCAGGGATGCTCCTTCTGCATTAGAACAGAGCATCTTAACTCCCTGGAGATTTGCACACTGCAAAGAGAGAAGTTTTGGCTTTAGGGGTCACAATTTTCTCAAGAATTGGCTGAAACAGTTAAAGATTGAGAGGGAGGATAACCTCAATTAAAAATACTTGCAGTCAATGATTTTTTTTTAAAAAGACTAATAATTGACTCTAATAAGAACTGTGAATATTTTACAGAAAGAGCTCTTTTATAGAACTATGTTAAAACACACACACACCAAAAAAACAACAACAAAAAACAAATGCCAAAGTAATAGCATGCCCAGTTCACATGGAACATAAAATGTTTAGATTGAAACCTAGGAGAAGGTATTTTTTTTTAATATATTCTTTGTTTATATGGTTAGTTGCACCTTGCAATTTCTCATATTTTATGCTAGTCGGTATTCTTCTTCCCCATTTTTCAAAACTACGTTAAGATAGGTTATTTCTTCCTAGAAATGAGTGTTAATTTATGACATTAATATACTTATTTTGCCTTATTAAAATACTGTCTAGCCTGTCAATTGCTTGCCTCTATTTTACTGTAACATTTTAAGGTTTTTGAATGGTGTTGCCCTCATGAAATTACACCGACCTGTTCATAAAAAGATTATACTTTTTAAGCGGCCCTCACCTTTATGACACAAATAAAAAAATATTTACAGATAAAATAATCAATTGCTTTAACAACCTGTGACAAGATATGGACCAAACAAACTATGTGTTGTCAGAGCTTAGTAATGAGGTATGAGAGGGCTTCATGACTATTTTATTTCTATGTATGTTTGACATTTTGAGTGGAAAAATCATTAAAAATAAAATACAGATTTTTGGGTCTAGTTTCAACTCTGCATAAAAAGCAGCCTTTTGGTATTGCAGAAGCCTCTAGGTTTAATATTTTCAAAATGTGGAACAACAGGTTATACTAAATAACCATTCCAGTTTTCAACAATTTCTAGGAAAATTGTTCCATAGCTCTTGGACTTGCAATTCAGTTAAGAAGCAAAAGCTGAATCACTGTATCAGCTTCCACATGCTAGGCAAAGTCAGTAAAGGAAGGCATACTTGTAAAGAGAAACACTTTACAGGCTGGGGCTGCTCAACAGTTTCAGCAGCTGACATCGTTTCAGTCATAGCCGACTGGAGGCTTCCAATGGCGATGTTTCAGAGCTCCTAAGGGAGAGCAGCAACTCCACAAACTGGATGAGGAGCTCAAGACCAGCATGCTTTGTGTGTCCTAGTGGGTGCAGAAGGCACCACACACCTCGTAGACTACAGCACAAATTACTACTCATCAGCAGCTGCCTTCAAGTGCAAATGACAATTAGAAATTAGTTTTTCCTCAATATACCTTATACACTCTGGACAATGGCTTTCAACATAAGCCATTTTATCAGTATGATAAAACACCACTTCAGTTGATCAAATACTTATGTACATACATACACATATATATTTGGCCTTCTCATTGGTTTATCATACAGACAGGAGAAGTACTAAGAGTCCCATATTACAGAGAAGAAAATGATGACTTACATTCACAGTAATATTGTACCTAAACACAACTCAAGATTGATTGCATTAAATGATCCAGGCTTTTTGTCTTTAACAAACCTGAGTTGCCTCTCAGTATTTAACTATTTTAAGAAAAATCTAAGTCCTTCAAAACTTTTTTTTTGTGTTTTTAGTCTTCTATTTTGTGTTGACAGTTCATCATAGTATGAAAGTTATTCAAATGTATACTAGACCAGCTTTCTATAAAATAAAATTTTACAGAAAGATAGATTTTTAAGGAATATAACCAAAATTATATTTAAATAGATGACTATCAAAAGCAGGATGTTCTATTAAGTATTCTTAATTCAAAAGGTAGACACATGGGTGCCAGCTCAGATCCTGGCTGATGGAGATCTCTCTCTCACCACCTCCCTGTAATTTTGCCTTTCAAATAAAACAATTCTTAAAAAAATGTGAAAAGACATACACATATGGATTTAGGGATTAAGAAACAAAATTTTTAGGTTTCACTATTGTATCTACATTTATCTGCCAACTCCAAATTCACACAGGTAATTATTGTATAAATATCCACACATATACAAAAAAAAGTTTGTATTTGCATACACAGCCATTTTGACAAACATGTAGAAAAAGGAAAAGCATCACTGAGATGCATCCATGTTTATTTCAAAATATCTCTCCCAGGTATCTCTACGCCATTACATTTTCCCACGTTCAAAATGAGGCTGAATAGAAAATTTTAAAGGTCCTTTTCAGCTGTATTGTTATAATTCACAGAAAATCCGAGTCCTGGATTTCATGATTAAATCTCTTATTAGTTTAAACCTGGCAGGTCTATGCTTAATGAAAGATATCAAAGTTGTAAAACCAACTCATTTCATTTTCAGAGCCCCTCATTTTATTACCAACAGAGCAAATGATCTATTTTCAATTAAAAGCTGTATGAGACTGATATCATTCCTGCTCTAAGACTACTTAATGCCTTCAAAATTTTATTTTTCTTACGTCAAGCACTGATCCAGAAAGATCAGCTCGCTCAAGATTTGCACAGCAAAGATTTGCATGTGCAAGGTTGCAGCGGCTTAAGTTGGCCATTTTGAAGTTAATATATCGAAGGTCCAAACGTGAAAGATCAGCACCACTGAAGTTTAAACCCTGAAATAAAAAACACAAATGACCACATGTTGAAACCATCTGCTTCTACTGAATTCAACTGCTATAGTTACCCACCAAGTTTTTGGAAGCAACTGGCAGTTCAGACTCTGGAGGTTTATTACAGAATATGATCAAATGGAAATTAGATACATGAAGTTTCTCTCATGGATTCCTCTTTAAAAAAACTGTATATTACACTACAGTAGGGCTATTCTAAGTTTCTAAAGAGAGATCTCTTTCATATACCTGCTGATATGTATTTACTGTTTTAGTAAATTTAGTAAATTTTATTAAGAAATGGTACTTTTTTCAAATTTACAAGGCTTTAATGCACAAAAATACAAAAGTGGCTGCTATTGACTAACCATGCCTGGCGACTGTGCAGACACTTTACTAACCTTTCTTTATAGCTGCAATTTCCGTGCATTACTCAGAACCTGCTACAGAAAGCACAGCTGAGCAGTAAGAAAGGCAGCTGCATCTCTTCGGTTAATCATTTCAGGACTAAACCGAAGCTTCGACCCACAGTTAAACTGTACCTTGTATGAAACAGGTAAAGCAAGTTCAGCCCCTAGAAGAATATAAAGCTTTGTTTATACATCTGCTGGCACAAACAACTGAGTAACAATGTGCTGTAATTACCTGGCAACGCAGTTCTGATTTGGTAGGAGTTGCTAGCAGGAACCGGACAAATTCTTTTCGGGATATTGGTGAATGATCCTCTGGTGGTTGAGAATTCTTAAAAAAAACAAAAAAAAGATAGTAAGAAATTATTAGTGGGTCATTTTGAGAAATAAAGTACAAAAAGTATCATACTGGTTCAAAACAACCTTACCTTTATTGCTACTTCCAGGTGCTCAATCAGTGAATCAATTCCAAAAAACCTGGCTTCTTCCAACACACCTATCAGAATAAAAGTGATTTGGCTTTCACAGAGAATTATGCATTGTGATACTTGTACAAATGTTTATGTTAAATTCTCATGATGGAATGTGGGCAGTCAATATGGAAGAAAGCAACTAATGTTCAGATTTACACATAGGATACTGATAAAATGTTTGTTACAGGTTTTCCTGTACAAGAAAAACCAGAAAAGTAATAAATGAGACTACCTTCCATATCACAAAATTATTACTGGTAATTATCTTACACAAAGCATTGAAAAATCTTAACCCACATATTTCTAAGACAACCAATTCAGTGTTATTTTGTGAACTAATAAAATGATTAGATTTCTCAATTAACATTTACTTTTTAATGGAGCAAATCTGATTAGGTTTGCTACAAGTATCTTTTACTTAATCAGAAAATGATAGAAATGAACCAAAATTTAAGCTGGCCTTACAAAAAAAGCCAAAATGTAATTTAGAAACTTTTCCACTCAAAAATAAATATTTTAAAAATGTTTTTAAGTTATAAAAGGAATTTCATGTACAGTTTCCTTGACTGAATTTTTTTAAAGCTTGGTAAAAAACAACTACCATGCATTCTTCACGTTAATTGATATGTTTATATTTTCTATCTGTGAATAAACATCATAAGAGTATGCAGAAATTGATTTGGCACCCATTACTCTTCAAATGAAAACTTCAGTTACTCAATTTGCTGAGTTTATTAGGCAAGGAACCATTCTGGATTTAAGAATTACAAAAATGGAAAAGACTTCCCTTTAAACAGTTTTAAGCTAGTGTCACCAGATATACAGAAAGCCACAGCAGTTATTTGGGAAAGATATGATCCTTGCTGCAAAAATCAAACTGTACTTGCAATAATCCTCTTGTGAAACAACATTCTCTTAAGGGAGCTCCTCTGGCACACCTGCCAGTGCAGATGGTACCAGCTCATCCCCGGGCTCCTCCTGGCCTTCTGGCCTCCGCCTTTTCCTTTCACAGCAGCTTGTTTTGGTCCTGGGGACTTTGCTCTGGTCCTAGATTCCTGATAATGCTCACTGTGGGAAGTATCAGGTGAGGCTTCAAATACCTGGGTCCTTGTCATCCCCAGGAGAGACAGAACTGCAAACTCAAGGAAAACGGTTCCCCTCCCTGTGTGGGAGACCTGGTGTAAGCTGCTGGCACTTGGCTTTGGATAAGCTCAGCTCCAGCTGTTGTGGCCATTTAGGGAGTAAGCCAGTGGATGGAAGACCTTTCTGTAAAATTCAACTTTCAAATAAAAATTATTCTTAAAAAAAAAAAAAAAAAAAAAAGCAGCAGCAGCTCCGAGGATCCAGGGGACTAAACTTGGTCTGATGTTAGCATGTGCAGAGGTGTAAAGAGTGGCAGTCTTTGGCTCATCTACCGTTTTCCACTGCTTTCAAAGGCCATGAGCAGGGAGGTAGGCAGAAGTGGAGCAGCTGAGACATCAACAGGTGTCTATATGGGATGACAGCACTGCAGACTGAGGTTTAACTTGCTGTACAACTGCACCAGTCTGCCCCTCCCCCGCCATAGCTTTTTAATATTTAACTACTGCTTTATGAAGGCTTTAGCTTACATTTTCCCGAAAACCCTCACAAAATCTTGTGAAACAGGTAGTGATGAAAGCATTTTTACTTTTTATTATTTTTGATGGTTCATTACTTGAAAAGCAGAGCGAGAGACAGATCTTCATCTCATCCACTCCCCAAAGGCTCATAACAACCAGGGCTGGGCTGGACAGAATTCTAGAATCCAGAATGACAACCCAATCTCCCAAAGAGGCCCCAGTGTATCTTCTGTTGCCTCCTAAAATACTTTAACAGAGAGCTGGATTAGAAGCTGAATAGCCAGGACTTAAACTGGAAATGTAGCAAAGGATGCTGGAGTTGCAAACAGTAGTTTACCTGACTCCACCACAACACTGGCCCAACGGAGAATTTTTTACACTTCATTTTTCAAAGGGGCCTCAGAAACACTTTCTAGTCAACTGTAGAACTGAAACTCTAATATGATTCTATAAATCCAAAGCATGGCTTTCCCTCTTGACCACCCTCCTTCTCAATATAACCATTAGGTCTGTAACTGCAAGTTAAGTCAGAGTCACAATTCAACATTTAACAAATTCCTTAAAGCCTTCCTATCTCTGTGATAGAATCTAAAATTAAAATTAGTGAGTTAGGCACATAAATACTACACAGAAAGACAGAAAAATGTTGTACACACATTCATATCTCTAAAAGATAATAGATACCTGTACCAATATCTATTTCTGAACCTACATAAGTATATATATATATACACACACACTTATATATATATACATATATATAAGCAGTTCCTTTTTAAAAATGGAAGATACACTTTTACTCCCTGAGAATATTCACTGCTAAGTTAAACAAAAACCTTAAACTTAAAAAAAATGTGAAGAATTATGTTGAAAACTCACCCAGCAAATTAATACCATCATTTACAATGAGCTGCCCATGACGCAAGTAGTTCAAAATAGGTTCAAAGTACTCAGGACTTCGGTCAATTAAGAAAGCCCCTCTATGATCCTGCTTATTTCCCCAAACACCTGTATGTTCAGGATAAGGGAGAAATTGGTGGAAGATAAATTACATGTCAGCAAATTTTACTCTAGGAAAAATTATTGGCATCACTGAAAAGTACAAAAGATCATGAATTACAAAGTCAACATAGGTACAAATATACCACACAAAATGTGAAGACAATGACTTAGGCTCACCTTTGTCCTTGAACATGTGGGCCAGCATACTGTCAGGTTCTTTATTCACTAAAGTGCTCCTAAGAATTCAGGGAAAAAATTTGATTTCTCCATTTGTCTTTATAAACAAACATATTTAACTCAAGAGTATATTCATTCAATCTCAGGTGCTCTCTCAAAAAGCTGCATGCTACAACCGGGTAGGAGATGCTGGGAAACAGACGTGCAGTAAGTTGCCATTTAAGAAGATCCCTTCCAATCTGGTACTACCTTTGATTTAAAAATTATTTTAGTTTCTTCTACTGTAAATATTAGTTTCTTTCACTGTAACTACCGACCTATCGTTCTGGTAAGCTATTAGAGTTTACCAGTTACCATCTGAACTTATACTTTCTGATTTCTTTAGTGTAAACTATAATTTCTAAAAATTTCAGGATGTTAGTTTTTACTTGTATTATGTATATTATTCAATTTCTGAAAAGCGTGTTCTAAAACATTGAATTCACACTTTTAAGCCTTTATAGATAACTTAAAAATTTTTTCTCAAAATGGTTCAGATTATATATTACATTTAAGCAGCATCTGAATATCTTAAGGAAATCAGCAAATTGAAATGTAACAAATGGATATGCACAGTACCGCTTTTACATGCACGCACACATACACACAAACACACCTACCGTGTAGTTGTAAAGTACCGCCCTCCGACATTTAACGTTAGCCAGTCTGTGTGGGATCCTAACAGCCCTTCAGCTGGTCTAGAATCGGTCTGAGGATCTAGAGGCAACATGTAGGAAAAGAAAAACTAAGATGTGGAATTCTGTAAATTTGGTAATAGTATAATTCTTGAAACATAATTTGTGTCAGGCCGGGAAAGGATTTTCAAGTACTGAGCCACACAACTGCTAAAATGTGCAAGATGCCAGAGAATACTTTCCTGACAGGTTCTTTGTAAGTAATGCATCAGAGAAAATGTTTTAGATGAAAACTGGACACAACAAAAGGTAAGCATTCAATATAACACTTCAAAAAGTTTGTGGAACATTAAGAGACACACATTTTCTACGAACCTTTTAAAGATTCTTTGTATCCTTGAGAAAAAGTAAAAACATATGAGGATCTTTTAGGGGGAAAGTACAGTACTTTGATGCTTACATATTCTTATGATAAATAATACAATTATATTGTCAAAAGAAATGAGTATGGGCAAAAGAATCTAATTGCTTTCATTAACGATACTAGGACTGAAAATATTAGGATTATCACTCTCACACTTTTATGCATTATTTTGTGTGAGTTGAAGTAAATGAGCAATTATTTGGTATAGTTCTATCATTCTCTCTGTCCAAAAATCAAGATTATTGATATAAAAGGAAGAAGAAATAAGGCAGATGAGGTTAAATAAAAACACTATAATTGTGAATATAGTTCATGAGTTATTATATCTACCTAAATCATATATAGCCTACACTATCAAGCAGGAATATTATAAATCAATTTTATCTCTAGTTAGATACAGATTTCCAATTTTACCCCTAGAAGGACCCAGTAAGAATTATGAATCCAGTAGCAAAGAACCTGCCTAGCACCCATATCATGTCTTGAAGTGATGCTGACCACACTGAACACTGATGTAGATCTGATACAGGGATAAATACCTTTTTTCCCCCCCAAAGCTGGCAGTCTTGTCAATCTAAGTCTCCACCTGCAGTGCCAGCATTCCTTATGGACGTCAGTTTGACCTGGCTGCTCCAGTTCCTATCCAGCTCACTACACATGACCTGGGAAATCAGTGGAGCATGGCTCAGGTCCTTTGGTTCCTGTACTCACATGAGAGACCTGGAACAAACTCCTGGCTTCAGATCAGCTCAACTCTGGCTGTTGCGGCTATTTGGGGAGCGAATCAGTGGATGGCAGATCTCTCTTTCACTTTAACTTTTTCTGTAAATCTGCCTCTCAAAATGAATACATTTTTTAAAAAAAAAAGTAACTGTAAAACACTAAGGTGATAGTTTTAAAAGGACTTGAAGTGGTCTATTGCTATTGGCTAAAACAATCTGAGTGTCAGTAAATGCACAATTTATAATAATAAGCAAATAAAAAACCGATATTGACTTATCATTTTAATAATCTTTATTTTGTAGTTTGCAATGAGCCAACTGCATGACCACTCTATGAGGGAGATGCATGAAAAAGACAAAGAATAGATTTTTCTCAGTTTTCAACACAAATGATAAACATGCACTTTGTCTATGTTGGCAAGTGCCTGAACAAAGGTTCTGACAATCACCTCTATTCACCAAGCTCAGTCACTGGAATGCCTTTTAAAAATGCCTAAGCAAATATTTGGGGTGTGATTGCATAAACCTTAAATAAACCAAACCCTAATTTAAAAAATACTTGCCTTAAGTATTTTTTGCCTTAAGACTCGGGTTTTTATTTTTGAGTTATACAACTGTTAAAGATATTTTCCAAATCAAGGAGGAGTATGTGTGTTTTCCTATTGGTGTGGATGACACCAAGTCTTTTCATGAGTGATTTGATGTGTTTTGATCTCTGTAGAAGATTTTCAAACACTTCTCAGGCAAATAATAGACATTTATAAATATGTGATATAACACTCAGAAATTTTGAAAATTGCTATCAAAGAGAAAACTTCAAAACAGCTGTAGTCTCTAAAATAAAAATTACCCTATCATGTCATAGTTAACATCAGAGCTTCTTAAAAGCATGTAGAAGAGAGGTATCTATATTGAAATATGATTATATAAATTTACAGTAGACTCTAACACACACTCAGTTCAGAATCAGAGAGTACGAAGACCTGAATATAATCACAATAGCATTTTAAGTGTTAAGCTTCACAAGTCCCTATAAAATCTCTGCCATTTCATCTTTTTTATTTTGGAAGACAAAATTGACTTTTTTAGGACGTCACTTACCAATAAATGGCTCTCCTTCACATACAAACAAAACATCATCATCCCTGGGGAAATCAAGATTTAAAAAAAGCCAAAATCAAAATCTAGAAATCACATTCATAATCTGCTGATTATAGGAACTATTCCTCAAATTATAGAGACTACAGACTTTGCCACACGGAAGCTAAGTTTCCAGTGCTTTGCTTAACCTGTGACTTTACTGTCTGCAGACTTAAATTCAAGTAAGAGCTTACATATGAAAATGTTTTTGATGTAAAAAAACCAACAAACCAAAAACCCATTATATGAATCATGGTAATTTGTCCTTTTATTTGTTGAACGATGAGTCGTATTAATATGATCAAAGGACAGAATGAAAAGCCAGAATCAATTTTCCTGTTTTCATCAAAGTTCATATTTTAATTTTCTTCCCTTAAATAAATGATTAAGGCTCTTTCCCAAATCATTAGCTTCTCTGTGCCCTAAAAGAATAAAATTTCATATTAAATGCAGGATGCAAAGAATCTGAAGTAACTCTGTTACAGATAGGCTAATTCACCAAACACCCACCAGTTACCACATCTAAATAACTGTGCATAATTGACAATTCTGGGTTATCAGTGTATCCTCCTCCCCTACCCCACCTCTTCCCACCATGACAGTAAATAATGAAGCTACTATGAACCAGAAACTATCAAGCAGGAAGACATCTTAGAACTCAGAAGGCTTCAGTTATGACTTTGCATACTGTAGGTGTTATTTCCTATGACTTTGCAGGAACACACTGAATTCTTCTTAGAAGGGAGATCTGTGTTTTCTAAGTGGAAAACTAAGCTGATGTAGATCATTCAGTAATACTACTCAATTACAGGAACTGAAAGAAGCTGGGAGATGGATATTGGTGAATTATGAAATTCTCATTTATTTGGATTTGAAATGCAACTTATAATATCTTCTACTTGTTTACCATGTCAGTTAACTGTTTTAGACTACTACTAAAAACTTTTCTTTTTATTACCAAAAATCAACTACTAATCTATATGACTGGGGCAAATCACTTCTCAGCTACTCAGTGTCCTTGTTTGTATGTGGGAAGCTCATTCTGACCTAGAATCAAATAGAGGTGAAAGTTTGTACACAGGTGTAATTCAGAGCATCATTATCTTCATCAATTAAAAAAAATCCCATTCTTTGTTAATTAAATGACTCAGGCAAAGCAATGACAACATAGATGATGCAGTTAGTACTTAATTTGTGCTCCCTTCACTATCTTCTTTAAGTCACTTCCTAATCCAAAACTCTCTAACCTTGTGAGGCTAAAGTAAGGAAAACAAAAACACTTATTTTATGGAGACTAATATACCTAAAATAATTAAAAACAACAAAAAAGATTACTGGTGACTCATTGGTGGTATACCACACTAGCAAGCTTTCACGAGCACAGATCTCTGTAATGTTTATAACATTCAAAGTATTCTTAGAAAATGCATTTAACATTAAACAGTTGAAAATAAGAGGCCAATTAGAATTTAATGTTAAAAAATTGCAGATCCACCTTCTAGGGCTAAAAAGAATTTTTCTTAGCCACGTATGAACTAAGCAGAGAAACTATTAATATACCAGAGTGCAATAAAGCTTTTCTACTTCATTGTTATAGCCAAACTCAAAAGGATTTAAATCTCAAAGACAAAAATTTAAGTGCTCACTTGCCAAAATCGATTTTTCTTAATCATGATGAGACCACTGCTAAAGGGAAACAACACAGCACAGGGAGTCGAGGGTACAGTGTGGACAGCTTATACAAAGGTGAATGTTACCTGATCAAAGCAATATCATCAATCAGTCCACCTTTCCCATTATACACACTGGTGGCTTTTATGCCGAGTTTACTGCTGGCCACAGAAAGCAAGTCAGACAAAGTTCCATATACAGCAACCACCTGCAAACACACCAGATTAATTTGAATAACTTATATAATATATATTGAATTTTATTATCCATAAATTACAAATCTTCATACTACAGAGGGCTTAAAAAATAACTTCTAAGAAAAAAAAAACTTTATTGTAGAAAAGCCATTCTTTTCTACAATGATTCCAAGTCATTCCTAATGGGACTTACGTGTTTACTTAGGCACTAATACTGAAAAAATAAAAAAACTAGAGGCTAAGCAAAAATATACAATCTTTGCTTATACAAAAATATACAATCTCTGACGGCAAAAATATACAACTTTTTTTGGTTATTTATTTTTAAAATTTTAGTTTTGCTGATGTTTACATAGTTGATAAGGGATAGGAGGGCCAAGGATTAGGAAAACATGGGTGAGACCATTGTTTCCAAATTTTCTTTTTCTACCTCCTGGATCTAGGGGAAGGGTGGAGAGAAGGGGAGAAGCTGCACCCAGCCTCCACACTACCTCAGTACCCTGGGATTGAGAATGACCACCCGATGTCATCCCACGGTCCCCAGTGTGGAGCATGCTCCAAGGGTTCTGTTTAAGTGGATTAGATAGTTCTGAAATGCAGTTCATCTCACTGACAACAAATATCTGGGTGAATGGAGATTCTGACTATGTCAGCCAATGAACCTTGGAGCAATATACACTCTTAAGACAGGTGAAACAGTGTTCCCATTCTGAAGTAAGATAGACCTTCACTGAAATCTAGATTCTGAGCAAGCAACTCTTTATGCTCCTGTTGCTTTAAACAAACAGTAGCACCTACCCCGGGTCATTATGAGGATGAAGTGAGTTAAAGCATGATGACAACTCAGCAAAGTACCTAAGAACTTAACATGTCAGCCTTATATTTCTGTGTCATAAAAAGCATTTGCCTCTAGAATAGGATTAATTTAGTGCTGTGTATTGTATCATTTACTACATCAACTACCATAAGTTTCAACTTTCCATCTCATTAATTCTTCAACAACTACTTGTTTTCTAAAAGCCAGACTTTAGTATCTAACATTGTGAATATGCCATGGAGCTGGAAGCAATGTCCTGATCTGCCCTGGCCTGAGTAAAGCGCAATCTAGAATATATAAAGGTATATATAGCTGCTTAAGTTGGAGGTTGAGAATCCATATGTACATGAATTTCTACTCATCATTAACTATGGGTTCCCAGTGGCTGAGGTGCACTCTTGTACCACCATCAGTTATGACCTCGCAGTCATGAACAAAACACAGGTAAGGAGTTGCATATGATGCACCAACTGCTGACTTCCCAAGGACATTATATACAGATGCCATGTAAATGAGAAGAGGGGTTGGAGCCCTGCTCACCAGTGACAGAATGCCTTAGCTTGTCATCACTATCATGGAATACTTGAGCTCACCAACTTTGCAAGGAAATGGGTTTAGAAGATGCAAGATCCGGAGGTCCCACCTGGTGATAGCTTTCTGGGTGGCAGAGCATTGTGAAACACAAACCTGTCCACGGACTCTTAAAAAGCCAGGATTTGATGATGGGGGTTCCGACCCCCATGATCCAATCAAATCATGAGATGTGTTCTGCTTCTTGATTTATTAATTTTATCTTATTTTGTTTTCCAAATTTGCTATAATAAAGATGTATTATTATACAAAAACAAGATGCAGATTTAATCTCTATTGCTCTACTGATGAAATGTGTTCAAATCTGGTACCTCATAACCGAAACATATTTGTGATCTAATTATCAAAGCCAGAAGAAAACATTATTTCATGGATCAGGAGGATAAACATTAGTGCAGAATGAAAATGTTTCCCATTCCTCCTTTGTCTGTGATGTTTGGCATAGTGCCTCACACTCAGAAGGCACTTGGTAAACATTAGTAGAACCAGTTAATACGATATATAAAAGACCGTATTTGCATAGCTCATGATTACTCTGAAGTTTTAAGAAAGACTTGTGTATGGGAAATTTACATTGACATCAGGGAGCTCAGAAGCTGCCTCGACGTTCAGATGTCTGAGGACTTATTTAGATTTCTGTAATGCCAACCCTTATGGGGGAATATAAAAAAAAAGAGCAACAACAGGAATTGTGAGGCAAAGAGAAGGGATGAAAAGTCCATGCAAAACTGTGTCATTTGGGGGAAATGGACACATACAAACAAATGAAGTTATTCTAATTTACAATTATAGTCCTCAAATATTTTTGACTACCTATCCCATCTGTAAAGCATTTTTAGGCACGCGTTCAAATATTCCTATATTTACTTATAAAGTATATGCCACTTTTGGAAAGAGTCAACTTTTCGCAGGAAATTGTGAGGGCTTTCACAAACTTGACTTGAGTTGGCCATTAAAGACCCCTAAATATTTATCATTAAAATGTGAAGTACTGCTATAACATTCTGAAATGTCTTATCAACTAGCATGCTTCACCCTCATTGGGTTAAAGCATCAAAGAACAATATACACTTTAGGACAGTTAATGTTAATAGAAGGTACTCTGTACAATTTCAAATCATCTTCTTTACAACGTGGTACTTTCACACTTCTGAGATCCAAGATTTCTTTTTTAATCTTATCATTGTAGTAGCAGCTGTAGCTCTGCCAATTTATTGTTGTTTGCTTGGGATGGGGGAATTGTCTGCGATCAGCACTTTCTTGGAAGGAATCCTTTCCTGTCACTCAGCATTTATGTGAGTGTTAATTTGTTTAAAGCTGGATGGTAAGAATCTTAATGTGGTCCTTGCATGCTTCCAAATATAGTATGTTAAAAGGAACCAATCAGTGAGACAGACACTCCTAGGAACATGTTCACAGGGATGACCCTCCCTTCTCGCACAGACCAGTTGAGTGCTTCGTGGATGAAGGCACCTGTGTCTTTCCAGATTAGAAAACTACATTTTCTTATCACTTTATATATTTCTTACATAAATAACATAAATAAAGGTATAATGTTTCTTTCTCAATCCCAATGGATCATCTCCCACAACCTGTGGATGCTATCTGTTAAAATGCATAGTCCTCTCTTTGACGTTAAAAACAGTCACGAGGTACATTTACGCTATGTACAAAAAAAATGCACTGTGAGCACATGATGTAAAGACCCAGCTTGCAGAGTCTGGCCACTACTAAGTCAACTAGAACAGAGTGTTTCAAAGAGCAGAGACGATTCTTAGGACCAAGAAGCAAAAAACAGAACCGAGGGTGAACAAGGAGGCACTGCAGGTGCTTTATGCAGCAAATCAAATCTTTTTGGAGTAGCATTCCATTTCAGCATGTTCTCAACATGAGCAATGTTGTCTGTGATCAGGTGAACCTGGACTAAATATGGTCAGTTTATATATATATATAACTGTGGGTTGCTATATATTACTTGCACTCTGCGTGTGTCAAGGGTAATTATGCCTGTCCTTTTTAATCAACTCAGAGAAAACATAACTCGGCAGCGTTTGTCCCCAGCTAGGCAGCAAGATTTGTGGCAGGGTTTCTCTTAAATGTAGATGCATACTACTGTTCTCCAGTTGGATCTGTGTGATCTTTGCACCCAAACATTTCTTTTTCATTACTTCAAGTATATTTTTTTCCAACTTTCTGAGATTCTGTAGCAAAATATTTCAAAAAGAAATAATATTTAAACCCCCAACTCTATCCTATTTAAAGTTAGTGCAGCTGGAAAAACAAAACCAAACAAAATAATAAAATTGCTTTTAAAAGCATGGCTTTAAAAGACAGGTTTTTAAAAATCATATTAAAGGTAATATGGAAAAGACCACTGTAGTAGGTCCCAAATTGATGACATTTGGTATATTCTAAAGACATTTTAGAACATAGCTAAATATTTACAACTTGTTCTAACTATTTAGTCTTTGTTAGAATGCTCCAGCAAAGATGTTGGATAAAAAGGTCAACTGAGGTTTTAGAGGACATTGTATAGTTTTAACCTTGAACTCTCTTCTAGTAACAATGTAAGTTGTAGAGTATGAAGAGTTGATAACTATAAAAGGATTAACTAATAATAGAAATAATATTAACTTTGTGAGGCATGCTTTTAAGGCAGTACTCACAAAAAATGCAACAGCGTGAAATACTGCCACTCCTGCTTTTGTCTGAGTACTAAATCCCCGAGACCCGAACACACAATCCCCGTCAGCAATCCACACTTGTGGCTCACATTTTCAGGGTATGTTTACACAAAACTGCAGAGTAGTTGGAAAACCAACTTTATGCCATTGGGTAAGAGTGGTACTTAAAAACGTCCAACTTTTCCAGAAGGTGCAGGAAGCAAGAGTACTGTGACAGATCTGAGCAAGAGGCCAATCCACCTTTTAGTTTACGATTGTAAAGGCTGAGGTATTTCTGGGGATCATTTAGTCATACAGTGCACGCCTGTCTTAACACAGACAGAATTTTCCAGAGAAGCCCAACAACTTTCATGGGTGGGGCAAAAGGCCGAGAAGGAACAGGATTCATTTTGGCTTGCTCCAGCCATGCAGAAATATTTTTGCACCACACCCTCAACCAAGGCCTAACCCAGACAGGGCTACTGTCAAGTCAATCCAGTTTGCTCTGTGGTCACAGTCCCCGAAAGAACCAATATAAGCCGACATTATAAAAGGAGCACAGAAGTTTGGCAGCGGCGGGGTTTGGGGGGGATTGGGACACCTAAAAAAGAGGGAGGAAAAATCATCAAGAAAATGGTCCAAGCTGGCAAATTATCTATTCGACCTGGTGTTCGACTATTTTAGGTCTCCACTGGGAGTTTTACGCTGTTTAACTGATCAAGGGGACCACGTCCCCCTTTCTCCTGCAAACCATCACTCTGCCCCAAAGGGGCCGCTGGCGGGTGGCCCCCCGCAGCTCGGGCAGGGGCCGGGTCTTGGTGTGAAGTGGACCCTCGGCCGGGGCGCTCTCCGAGCCCTCCGTCCCTCCCGACCCACACCCTGGATTGGAGAACCTACGCCAGCGCCCAGGGCAAGCCGAGGAGTTGAAGTGCAGGTTGGGGCACAGCACCCCGCGGAGGGCGAGGACTCAGCACTGTCCTGCCGGGCGCCCCCTCAGCTCCGGCGCACGCCCACCTCTTACCTCCCAGCCCCTCTGCCCAACTTGCGCCCCAGTGCCCTGCCCCCGGTCGGGGATCGGCCGCTCTCGCCCCCACAGCGGGCCCGCCGCGCCTCCTCCAGACCCCCTTACCTTTCCATTCTTGGGGCTGCCGTTCAAGAACAGGGTCACCCTCCTCATCGCGCAGTCCCCGCCGGGTCCTGAGGGAGCCGCCACCCTCCCACTCCCTCCCGGTCCTCCTCCCACCTTCTTCTCCTCCCGCCCGACCCCTCCCTCCACCCACTCGGGCTCTCCTCCCTTCGCCACCTTCCTTCTTTTGCGGACACACCACACACACACACACACACACACACACCCGCGCGCGCGCGCTCACACACACACGCACGCCCCGTCCCACACCCCGGGCTTGGCCGGTCCTCCTTCCCACCCCGCCCCTAGGCGCCTCAGCCTGCCTGGGGCCCTTCCCCCACCGCTCCGAGACTGACCGGGAACTACACCAATCAAGCCCCGTCTCCGGCCAGAGCTCCACCAATGAGCAGCCCTCGATGGGTGGGTTCTGACCAACCCAACTCGGATGGAGGGAGGGAAGAGAAGCCGAAAGCAAGTAGACGGGAAGCGGCCTCAGCCAATCAGAGAAGAAGCTAGAGTCGAGCGGCGGCTCTAAGCATTAGTGAGCAGGCGCACTACCTAGACTAGGTAGTTCTCATCTGCATAAGAAGGCGGAGTTTGAGGAAAAGAGGTGGAGCACTGGGAGGAACCCAAACATCGGTCAGTACCTCCTCCTCCCATTAATCCGCCCATATTTCCAGGTTACGTAGGAAACGGCTGTTCTCGGGATTGGCTAATTGAGTCAGAGCCGGCCCGTCGTTCTATCGGGATTGGTCAATGATTCTTTTTAAAGTTTGCGTTCTCCAATCGCAGGGAAGGGGGCGGAGTTCAAGGCTAACTGAAGCTTCATCCGCAGGACTGTCACATAAAGTAGTCCCGGGAGACCCTGGTTCCCCCGCGGTGTCCCTGGAGTGCGTGGCCCGAGGCGGTCAGTGGCTCCTAACGGAGTCCGGCGGGCTCTTCCGCGGGGAACGGCGAGAGAGCCGTAAGAACTCGGGGGGCAGGCGGACACGGATGACGGGGAGGGACGCGGCGTAGAGATTCTCAGTAACGCCGGCCTCGAGAGGCGGGGCCGACAATTTGAATCGGGTGGCGGGGTCGGCCGGGCACCGGCGTGGAGGCGCGGGCCGCGGGTCCTTTCCTCCCGGCCAGGCTGGAGTAGCCACTCGGCCGCCGGGCAGACAGCTCCGGATCGAGGCCCCGCGGGTCGGAAGGTCACAGCCTCGGCGCCGCTCGTCTTCTCCGGAGCCGGGTGGCAGGAGGACGCCGAGGTCATGGACTCCCGGTTCCGGTGTCCCTGACGGAATCACAAAGCTGTTGTTCCCGAAGCTTCTGGACTTGTGTCCCGCTTGAGGTAGTGCTGGGTCACCTGGGGTGTACTTTAAAATGTAGGTTCCGGGTGAGAGTAGGGCGTGCAGACCCGAGTTAGAATTTCTGGCCGGGTCCTGGGCAGCATCTGGCTTGTGGTTCTGCCCAGGTGATTCTGATGTTCCTGAAGGTTGAAAAGCCGCGGCTTCTGTAATGCGGGAGCAGCTTTGTTTCTCCCTCAGCCGTTTCTCACACTTGTTAATTGATCCTCTCTGGAGCACTCTCTTGATAATAGATGATTAAGCCGGCGTAAATCAAGATCGAAATTCTCCATCGATTCACGTTGATATCCTGACGGAGTTCGTTTTTATTTCTCCTCTTTCCTTAGATGGATACTGATTCGAAAGACAGGGAGCCCCTTGCAGCCATGGAGTCTGCCCCCGCTCCAGCTGGTATGTGGAAACCTGTTGCTTTTTGTTGAAACTCGAGAATTAACTATTTCCCTTAGCAAAGATACTCAGCTCCCGCTACATACTGTTCCTTTCAGAAAATGCCTCTTTTCCTTGGGAAACTGGCAAGTTGATGACGCCTCCGAAGCATGTCGCAGAAGTGGTTCCTTCTCTTTGCACACCTGAGGCTTCTAAGACACCTTTGAACTTCTCCACGGTCACGATAGAGCAGCTGGGCATTACACCTGAGAGCTTCGTGCAGCGCTCTGCGGGTGAGGAACCCTACGCTGTGGCGGTTTATTAGAACTCGGTTTTATTTGTCTACCCTGCCTTGCGGTGTTAGGTGTGTAAACTGGGCACATTTGTTTGGGCAGGGCACCTCTCCACATGCACGCCATGTTCACCTGGCAGGGCTGGCAGGGTTCTGGGATACCCAACACGGTGCTGGAAAAGGGTGTGTGTCTGAGTCCCTAGCTCACCTGACCCAAAGTATCCCAGAGGGTGTATCGTGTACCTTTCAAGGCTTTATGTTACATATTGAGGAATCTTTGAGACTAAGTAATAACATCGAAAGATTGTGCCCCCTTCATGAGCCACAGTTAACACAGCAGCCCAGGGACAGGGTTCCTCAAGCTGTAGAAATGAATTGGAATCCAGCTGTGAAATCTGGCTTAGGTGAAGAGGGAAGAAACATGGGGGTGGACCTGCGTTAAGGAGCAGCATTGAGTGGGCCTGTCCCCAGATAGCGTATGAAAAAATTTGTTTTTATTTGAAAGGTGAGGTTACAGAAACCAAATGCCCCCCCACCTATTCCCCAAATGCGATGTGAGAGTCCTCGACTTTGCACACCTGATGCTTCTAAGACTTTGGTTCCTGGGCCATTCCAAAGCCAGGAACCAGGAGCTTCCCCTGGGACTCCCACATCGAGGCAGGGACCCAAGCACTTGGGCCAGGCTTTACTGTCTTCCCCAGGCACATTAGCAAGGAGCTAGACTGAAAGTAGAGCAGGCACTGATGGGATGGCAGCACAGCGGGGAGAGGCTCAATCCATTGCGCCACAGCATCAGCTCCAACTCGCAGAACTTCAGAAAGCTGAATTCGCTTGTTAATGCTTGTGGTCAAATTTCAGGGTAGTGAAGTAAAGGGCAGAAAGATATCTAAAGGAAGCAAAATTGTCTTGAAGAGTTAATATGACATGTATGTGCCTAGGTGAACATCTTCAGGCTTTGGGGGTGAAATGTATTCAAATCAAGATATTTTTGGTCAAGTAAGGAAAGCTTAGAACAGACAGGAAACAGTCAGCTTGGACTCCCATATACCTTACCAGGTAGGACACAAAGATTAGTTACTCCTCACTAAGGTATTGAAGATTTCTCTCCACATCCCTCATAAAACTGTTCTCCTCAATTGTTAATATTTGGCATGTTTGACTTAAAAGCCTATTTGGACTAGCCTAAAATTTGCAAAGTTCAGTAGGAATCATGCCTAAATACTATAAGCTACGAAATATAAAAATGAAAATAGACACGAGACAGCTGAATAGTACCCTATAACCATTTTAAGGTGTATAGCAGCTGGCTGTGTATAAATTAAAATTGAAATGTCAGTGAAGTATTCGCAGGATGTAGTTAAGAACTGCATTTTCTAACATGTTGGTTGCTCAATAACATGTCAACTTCATGATGTTGTAAGTTGTTGCTGAAGTTGTGTAGTGGCTTTCCACTGGAGGGAATGATATTCTGCCAGCTCTGCTTTCAGACCAGGGATGAAAACTTGGAATTTATCTGGACAATAAGATGCCAGACTTTATACATGGTCCGTGCCCGCAATGAAGGAATTGGGACTGGATATGAACTGTACTACTGAAACAATATGGAGGAATTCAATATGAGGGGAGGGCAAGAGGAGGGGTTGGGGAAATCCCAGAGCCTATGAAACTGTGTCATACAATGAAATTTTTTTTAAAAAAAGAGATTTTTGGTCAGCAGCTAACCATCAGCCACTTCTATGTGCGGGAGAACAAAAATGATAACTATTCCATTAGGATGTATTTGTGCATGCAACTGCTATTGGATAAATGCTTTGTTGTATGGGATGCTGTTCTAGAAGCATGAGATCTAGAATCAGTGAACAGCCTGGGAGTGTGTTTATCAGTTTCTGCTCAGGCTCATTCGTCATGGGCGTTGGACATGATGACTGAGGGTTGTCTTGCTTTGTTGTGATTGACAAGAGTTTTCTCACAGGGAAGTCGGCATCATCATTCCTGAAGAAATGCAGGCGGCGTTCTGCAGTCGGTACTCGCGGGTCCCCTGAAACAAACCACCTGATTCGTTTCATTGCACAGCAGCGGAGTTTAAAGAGTGCTGGGAAATCTCCCTTGGCACAGGATACCCCTTTCCAGGTTGGATTTTCCTTCTGATTTCTGTTATGAATTCTTGTGGAAAAAGGGTGTTGCTCAGTGGTGGGGCTTTTAACACAAGGCTCTCAGCAGACAGCGTGTTTTCTCTGTGCCTTGCAAGGACTAGGCATTTAGCCCGCATGAGGATGTTCAGAATTGTGACCCTAGATAGCAAGGGGTTTCTGCAGGAGCTGTCTTACTGCACTGAGCAGTGTTACATGGAGTCTTAGGAAAGACGCATTCCTCAGCTTCTTTATTGAAAGAGAATCACTTTTGACTGTTGATGTTGGCCTTCCTGTTTTAACATAATTATATTGCTACTTCATTTTTGTGTGTTCAAGTGAGAAGCATTTTGAAACAGCTGTTCTCAAAGTTTGCTAGGCAACCAGGTGATCCCTGGGGCTTTCTGAGTCCCCTGGCAGGAGGTTAATGAAGTCAGAACAGTATTTATAATAGTACTAAGCTGACTTTTGCCCTTTTTTATCTTTTGGTCTGTGCAAGACAAATGGTGAGTAAAATTATTAATGCCTCAGCATGAGTTAAGGTAGGGATCCCTGTTGTTTATGTCACTGTAGACATTTATGGGAGAAAATAATGCAAATTTCCCCATATGTTGTGGAAGTACTAAAAATGATCAGTTTTATTAAATCTTTTCCCTTAAGTGTTATATGGTATGAAATGGGAGGGACACATTAGGCTTTCCAAAGGTCCCTATAAAAGTGTGGTAGGTGTTTTTAGAAAACTCAATTGCATGATTGAGCTTTGGGTCAAATGGGCATTTTTTTTTATAACATATTGTTTTTACTTAAAAGCACAACTAATCAGTAAAATTTGGTTAGTTAGACTTGGAAATGTGGCCATTTGCTCAAAAATGAATGATCAGTCTGGCTACTGAAACTCAAAATATTTATCAGTGGGAAGAGTTTATTCATTTTTTTTTTTTGAGAGAAAAATGAGATTTTGGAAGTATATGCTAGACAACTGCTCCATAGTTATACTTGCTGATTGATAAGTATATTAATGTGACCTGTTGATATTGCTTATTAATATGTTTGGAAGATAGGTATGGATCTTTGAACCAGTATTTTCCAAATGACAAGTGCAGAGTGTTATAAAATCATGCATGGGTACTTGATGCTCTCACATTACAGAGCAGATTGATGGATTTTAAATTCATTTACAGGCTCCTGTTTGACATTGCAGTTAACCTCTGCGAAAACAAATTTTTAATATTTGTTTATTTAAAAGGCAGAGTGTCATATACATCTTCCATCTACTGGTTTGGTGCCCAGATGATTGCAAAAGCTGAGGTGGGCCAGGCCCAGTGTAGGAGGCAGGAACTGCTCTCAGGTCTCTCCTGCGTGGCTGGCAGAAACTCAGCCGTTGGCTGCTTCTGAGGCACCTCAGCAAGGAGCTGGATTGGAAGTGCAGTAGCTGAGCTCAGCATGGCCCAGTATGGGATGCGGGTGTCTCGAGCAGTGGCTTTGTTGGCTGTGCCGCAGTGCTTTGAGTTTTGCTGTTAACAAATGTCCACAATTCTTGCAAGGCTGTTGAGGAACTTCTGATCTATGTAACTATCATAAGCAAAGATCCTGGGTCCTCAATAATTGTTAGGAGCAGAAAGAGGGTAGACAAGAGGCTGTTAAGACTGTTGAGTTCCCGATCTGAATGTGAATGTCTTGAGATCCAACTTCCTGCTGATGTGTAGCCTGGCAGTGAACATGTGACAGCTTGGCTGGTTGGGCCCCTGCTACTGTTTTGGGAGGCTTAGATGAGGTTTTTGGCTCCTGGTTGGGGCCTGGCGCAGGCCCAGCTACTGTGGGCATTCAGGGGAGAGCTGGTGTTTTTGTTGTTGTTGTTTTTTATAAAACAAAGTAGTAAATATAATGGTAAAAAGCCTGAGAATTACTGTTGTAGAAGGTAAGAGCATAGAAATTGGAGTAATATCGCTTAGGTGTGATTCTTTATTGTGAGTTCGTTAAAAACTTTGTCAGATTAATTAAATTCTCTTAGTATCCTCAGTTATAGCAAGGGTCTCATGAGAATGACTAAGATAACTGCTTGGAACATGTATGCTTCAGATTTTTTATGGTCATCATTTCTATCAAAAATGGGGAGTTCGTTCTCATACCTGTCCCTGCCTACCCATACCTGTCCCAACACTGCCCTTTTCCCTGTCCTTGTGATAGTTAGAATTTTGTTTTTAATTAGAGTTTGCATTATTAAGCCATATAGATACTTTTACAAGGTGCCATCTGCTCTGCTATGACATCCTCTGTGGTAACAACTTTAGTTTTCCTACAGATAATGAATACAATCTGTTTGTTATTATATAATCTCTTCCCTAAATTTTGACATGAGACTAAACCTTAAGAGTCCATCACATCTTTTATTCTGGGGGGGGGGTTAGTCTTCTGCCTAGCTTCTTTCCAACAAGGCTTGCTGGACATGTTTTTGGTGCATTTTTTTAACCATGCTTGCCTCTCTCATTTGGATTCCTTGTTTTGTTCTCATATCCTTTTCTTCTTAATCTATTTATTCATTTCTCTGGAGACTTGGCATTTTTTTTTTTAAGATTTAAAGTTTGATATGCCAGCATATCTATTCATCTATAGAAATATAGATTGAATTTTTTTCTATCAAAATCTTGAATACATTTCTCCATTGTAGTTTAGCTTGCAAAATGTAGGAGTCTTCATCATTCAAGCAGCAAATGTTTTTATTTCTGATTCCTTGTGTTACCTGCTTTTTCATTCTGAAAGTTCTGTTGGTGGCATTAGAACACTGAGTGATGAAATTTGTTTTTTTGTCATGAATTATTGAGTGTATTATAGTTTCAAGATTTTTCTCTCTTGATCTCTATTCACTTTTGTTGCTTGTTTTATTTTAGAACTTTTGTCATGCTCAAATGCCTGCTGATTCTTGACTGTAAGAAACTGCTTGGGAGCTCCATGGACACAGCCGGGGCTGTTGAGCTGTACATTTCTGTGTAGGGCAACCGAGCCACGTTTTCAGTGACAGCACTTCCAAATGCCAGCATCTAAGGTTGTGTTCCACTTGGCTGATCTGTCCTTAAGAGAGTTTCTTGGGGAAACACAGCTGAGTCCTAGGACTCTGAAAGTTATTGTGTAGAAAATGATGGGAACAACATGGTTCATTGCAAAGGTGTGGACAGCTCCGTCCCTGGTCCTTCTGGCAGCCACCAGCTGTCTCCATGTTCTCCCAAGGCTACTTGGGGAGAATTCTGGAGGGGTCAAGATCTCCTAGTGCAGTTTTAGCCTTCTCCCAAGTCCTGCACTTGACCCTTGTTTCACAAGGGCCTGATGCCTGGGGTCTGCAGCAGTCACTCTGTTTCCTGTTAGTTCCAACTTTTTCGCTAAAGTTGAATTTTGTTGGCATTTCATGTCAGCTGCAGTTTTTTTCTGTTTTCCTCGATGTATATGTACATATGCTCTGAACTTACATATACAGTCATAAGCGTGCATCATATGACTATACACTCATTAAAAATTCACTCAGATATGTACTTCTAGCACTGTTAAAAAATGAGAGCCTTTTTGATGAATGTGTCTTGTAGATAAATGTAATTCTGAAAGAGATGTAGCCTTTACATTTTTAATTATGATAATTTTCCTAATTTTATATTTCATTGGATTTAAAATGAAGACTTACGTATGAGAAAACATTTTTTTGTTAAATTACGGTAAATTTTATGAGTGCGTCCATGATGACTTTTGACATTCTGGGATGTGCCTCTGTTGTAAATAACTAGGGGTGCTCCACTCTTCCTTCCTGTTTCTTGTGGTTCTCTCCTTCCATTGATCTTACTGCGTGTTTGTCTTCTGTACACACTTTGTGTCCTCTTATGCTGTATCCAATCTTGTTCCCGTGGGCTAACTGTATCAGATTGTCTTACTTTTAGAAATTTGTGTAATTGAATGTATTGTATATTCATATTCTTTAAAGAAGCAATTAGTATTGTAGGATTCTTTTTTGAAAAGGCAGCATGCCTGCTATCTGCTTCTGGTTCTCCTTTGTCAAGGCTTTTACTTTCATCTGGCTATTTTGATGGCATTTAGTTCCCAATTACTTAATAATGTGGGTTTTTTTTTTTTTAAGGATTTATTTGTTTATTGGAAAGTCAGATATACAGAGAGGAGGAGAGACAGAGAGGAAGGTCTTCCGTCCGATGATTCACTCCCCAAGTGAGCGCAACAGCCAATGCTATGCCGATCTGAAGTCAGGATCCAGGAACTTCTCCCGGGCATCCCACACAGGTGCAGTGTCCCAAAGCTTTGGGCCGTTCTCTATTGCTTTCCCAGGCCACAAGCAGGGAGCTGGATGGGAAGTGGAGCTGTTGGGATTAGAACCGGAGCCCATATGGGATCCTGGCACTTCAAGGCGAGGATTTTAACCACTGGGCCCGGGTTTTTTTTTTAAAAAGATTTGTTTTTTTTGAAAGAGTTACTTGCAGTAGGGTAAGTTGTCCAGTGAATCCCGTTTTGAGCTTTGCTGCTTCACTTGCAGTCCTTCTGCTAACGGGCTTAGGGAAGGAAAATGACTCAGGTGTTTGGTTTTCTGACACTCCTGTGAGAGATGAGGCTGGAGTTCCTGGCTCAAGGTTCCAGGCTTGCTAGACCTGGGTCTTGAAGCTGTGTGAGGAATGAACGAATGGGTGGAAGGTTTATCTAGCTCCAGCTCTCTATTCTTCCTTTCAAATAATACGTAAATAAATCTTAAATCTTAACAAAAAAATCTAAATTCTTGTCTTTAAAGGAAATTTCTTTGCTGTCCACACCCTACCCCACCCCACCCCACCCCACCCCACTCCTGACTTCTTTCCCATTTTGATGTCTTGCCCCAGTAGCAGAACTTCTCAGGAGCCCTTGCCTGCCCTGGCTGGCTCCGCCGCTCCGCCGCTCCTCCGTGTTACTGCTAAGTGCTCCAGTTGGCTTTTGTTTCCACCACTTTTCTGAGAAGACTAGTCACCATCACATTTCACCTGTCCCTTGACAACTGTAAGCACAAATTCTCAGCTTTAGCTGTACTTAATCTTTCCGCAGCTTTTTATAGTTCAACCTCCTTGAGGCATTTTCCTGATTTGGTTTATGGGATTCCACAAAGACCTGATTTTTGTTTTTTCTGTACCACACTGGTTATCACTTCTAAACTTCGTTTGCTAATTCTTCTCCTTCAGGGCTGTGCTTTACCTCTGTCATCGTTGTAGACCAGGGATTCCGGCATGTCTGAGTGAACCCAGAGGCCCTGAGAGCTCCGGCTCTGGGCACCACTTCTCCGTTTCAGTCCAGGCATCGTCGGCCAGCCCTCCGGCTGTATCCCTGTCGGTCCTCCTCGCTTCTCTTCTTTGTTTTCCTCATACAGCTCACACAAACAACTTTAGACTACATTTCAAAAATGTGTCAGCCATTTCTCCACTGCTACAACATTCATGGGCTTTTTGCCAAGACCCCTCAACCACTTGTTCCTGATTGGCCTCCTTCCTTTTTACCCGACTCCCTCTACAGTATCACAGAGAAGTCAGAGAGATGGGCTTTGAGTGTACAGCTTGGCAGCATCTCCTGCTCTCCTTCCATGCATTGGGCAACTTGGCCTCTTGATGCCCCTACCCTGCTTCTTACCAAAGCTTGGCTCTTGTTATACCTCCCTCCCCTGATGACTTCCCTTTAACCACCTTTCAGCTCAGATGTCGCTTCTAATGGACTTTTGTTCTGACTATAAAGTCATACTCCTAGTGACTCATTCACGTCGGTGCTTGATCTCTGTAGTGCCTCTTGCACCTGGAGCTGCGTTCTCTGGATTCACTACAGAATGTAGTTGCCTCCTTAGATCCCCAGCTGCTAGAACAGTTCTCTAGTGTGTGGAAGCAGTGTTGGCGACTGTCCGGTACTGTTTATTAGACAACAGCATCCAGAAAGCAGGATGGTTGGACTCTTTGATCTACTTAGCATGTCAGCATTGATCTTTTTCTTCAGTAGAAATTAGAGAAAAGAGAGCTTGACAGGGCAGATTTTAAATTTGTTTTAAAAGGCTTTCAAAGGATTCTGAGTTCCCAGGATATTAAACCTAGCACTGCTGTGGTCTAATGTGTTCAAATATGAGTTTAAAAAAATTTTTCAAATTATTTAACCCTAGGTAACCTTGTCCTAGTCTCCCATCCAGATAAGCTGGGCATAAGCCTTTTATGCCTCATAGGTGCTGTTTATGCCATAAAAGTCTACATCATCAGCACATTTGAATGTAAGGCATTCTAGTCTATGTCACAGAGGGTTTGCTTTATGAATGTGTTTTGCTGTGTGAGCAGTTCACCATCAAACATGGCTTCAGGATGTTAACTGCGTTTTCTCCATGCAATATCTTTAAAGAAGGTAACTGTTGCTTTACTTTTGCCCACTGCATTGTTTTGCCACTAGTTCTTTATCACTGGAAATAGGCTAATCACTAATAAAGGAAGGAGAACACAGAATAATTTAGACACTCATTCTGCGTATCAACAGTTCTGTCCTGCTACCCAAAATTTTATTTTCTCCATCATTGGACCCGATAGCAGGATTACTAGAAAACTCGTGAGCGAGTACTTTGTAACTTGGTATACAGGTGAAGGGCTGTATTCAGTCCACAGGAGCTGGGTCTCCTCCAGGTCCCATGAAATCAGGATGGTTTTGGCTAGGAAGAGTAGTACATGAGTTGGGTGAGCACTGGTGTGGAGCCTGCGTGTCCCCTTCTGGCCTCCTGGACAGGAGGACTAGTGTGGGCTGGAGGTGAGGATGCCAGCCTGGGTAGAAGGAGCTTTGATGAGGTTGACTCCCAATGGATGTTGTCAGGACAACTTATGGGAAACTATCCAGATAAGTACGTTCGTCCTCTCCCTTCTTCTGGCCCCAGCTCTAGGATTTGGACTTTCCGTGTGTCTTCAAATAGTCTCGTAGATTGTTCTCTTTAAAACATCTTTGAGCTGAATTTCTTTGTGTTTCAGATTTGTGTTGCTGAGAGTGATCTTAGGTAATGAATGCTTAATTATCAATGAAAGCCTTTTTCCCCGAGAGTCTGTCTAAAAGCTGCATATGTTCCACGTTAAATTGTTTATGTGCCCATGTAATCGGGATACGTTTTGTCTGGGTGCCTTTTCAAAACACTTATTCCTGGTGCCAGACTTGTGTGTGTGATGCATGGACCCAGAAGTGTCCATGTTCACCAGCATGTCACCAGCCAGCTCTGCTGCACTCTTCACCTCCTCTTGGCTTAGGTTTCCCTAAACACTGGGGGAGTAACAGAAGGGAGACGGCAGTGATTCCAGCATGTCTGCTGTTCACAAATTCACACTGGTTCCAGGGACAAGAACCTTGGCTGCCCTGTTCAGTGCCTCTAATCTTCAAAAGCTCTTGTGTGCATAGTTTTTGATTCAGTGGCTTTAGATCTAGACTATCAAAACCCATTCGTGTCATGCTTTGGTTTTGTACTTTAATAGGGCAGCCCTGGACTGTATGGAAATGGTATTTCATTGCGAGAGCGAATATCTGCCTTCCAGTCAGTTTTTCACTCCATAAAGGAACACGAGCAAGTGCCTGGCCAACCAGACTTCTCAGACGTGCCGAGAAAGATGGAGGCAGCAAATCCGAGTGAGTAGAAATCATTCAATTTTGACTTCTGTGCTTATGGAGATACGCTTCTCCCATGTCAGGAAGATCGAGTTCCGTGGTTTTAAAAGAATCTTTCTAGGACACTGTTGTATATTTTTATAGACCCTGACATGTAAATTTTGGAATACTTCATACAAAAAATATTTTGTTTTCTGGTTTTTGGTTTTTTAAAAAAACCTGGTACTAAATATTGACAATACTTTGTTTTCACATGCTCATATTCAGTTTTTGGTTTTGATATGGTCAACTAATTGTTGATTTCAGCTTATGAATAGAGTATGTGGCAAGTTTTAGTTGACAAACTTCAAGTTTTATGGCATCACTGAATTTGATGAGCATTTATATGAATTCCAAATACCTAACCCTCATGTTAATTAATATACCCAGCCTGGTATCTTTTATTAGCTTGCCATGTTTTTACTGTAGATTGGTTATTTTTTTCAATTATAAAGCATTTAGTCAGTAGAATTCTGCAAACTCCTGGCCTTACTGTAATCATAACCATTTTTCTAGTATTTTACACTTCTGGGTTCCAAATGATTTTTTAAAATTTTAAATTGTTTGTACAAAGAAAACCAAATTTATGCATTTCCTAATACAGATTTAGGAGTACAGTGATACCTCCACCCTGTCCTCCTTCCTTCCTGCGTTACCCACCCTCCTTGCTTCTTTTTCTTTTATTTTTATAATAGCCTGCCTTAGGTTCTCTTCACAATTGCAGGCTTAACATTCCATTAGGCAAAGAATTGAAATAGCAACTGGGAAAAAAATTTTGTTCCACAACAGTATAGACAAAAGGTGTAAACAATAAATTTCAAAATAAAAATTGTGCTCCTATAGATTACATTTTTGTGTATGTGTTTCTGTGTGTTAGTTACCACAGATCAGGGAAAACATAATCTTTGTCTTACTGGGACTGGCTTATTTCACTAAGCATAATGATTTCTGATTGGCCCATTTTGTTTCAAAAGACAGAATTTCATTCTTTTATGCCTGAATAGTATTCCATAATTATGTATATACCATATTTTCTTTATCCAGTCATTTGTTGATGAACACCTGGGTGGATTTCACATCTTGGTTATTGTGACTTGAAGAGAATGGTGCACAAAGCTCTTCTCATGCTAATTTCATTTTGTGTGGCTATATTCTCGGCACAAGGTGGCTGGCTCCTAACAGTAGATCTGTCTTTAAATCTGAAGTGCCCCACTGCTCCATGGAAAATGGATGTACTGGTTTATATTCCTACTAATAGTGGATTCGAGTAGCTCTTTCCTCGCATCCTTGCCAGCATATATAGTTTTTGATTTTTGAACAATAGCCATTCTAACCAGGGTGAAATTAAACCTCATTGTAATTTTTATTTGCATTTCCCTGTGATAGTAAATTCGAGAATTTTTTTTCTGCATTTGTTAGCGATTTGTATTTCATCCTTTGAAAATTGCCTTATATGTCTTTTGCCTGTTTCTTAACTGTATTATTTATTTTGTTGATTTTCTTGAGCTCATTGACCTTTGTTAATTACATGAATTGCAGATATTTCCTCCCAGTTTGTTGGCTGTCTCTCCACTGTGTTCAGTGTTTCGTTTGTAGTGCAGAGCTTTATAACTTGTAATCAGATTTGGTTATTTTTGTTTTCATTGTGCTTTTGGGGTCTTTTCCAAGAAATCTTTGCCTACGCTTGTGTATTGCAGGATTTCCCTCAATGTTTTGTAGTAGTTTAATGTTATCAGGTTATAGATGTAGATCCTTGATCCGTTTTGAGTTGATTTTTTTAAAATGAGGTGTTGAATATTTCTGCACATGCAGATCCCATTTTTTAAGTACCATTTGTTGAGACTGTCCTTTGTGCCTGGATTGATTTCAGTTTGACTGTTAAAAATCAGTTGGATGTAGATGTGTGGGTTAATATATGGGATTTCTGTTCTGTCCTATTGATCTACTTGTTGATTTTAATGCCACTACCAGGCTGTTTTGATTACAGGTCCACTATATCCTGTCTTGAAGTCTAGTGTTGTATTGCCTCCAGCTTTGTTTTTGTTATTTAAGGTTGCTGTAACTATTTGGGATTTCTTGTTTCCATATGAATTTTAGCATCATAAAGACCTGTGAAATGCTAGCTCTGAGAAGAATGCTGTACGTATTTAGATTGGGATCACATTAAAATCCGTTTTGAGTTGATTTTTTTAAAATGAGGTGTTGAATATTTCTGCACATGCAGATCCCATTTTTTAAGTACCATTTGTTGAGACTGTCCTTTGTGCCTGGATTGATTTCAGTTTGACTGTTAAAAATCAGTTGGATGTAGATGTGTGGGTTAATATATGGGATTTCTGTTCTGTCCTATTGATCTACTTGTTGATTTTAATGCCACTACCAGGCTGTTTTGATTACAGGTCCACTATATCCTGTCTTGAAGTCTAGTGTTGTATTGCCTCCAGCTTTGTTTTTGTTATTTAAGGTTGCTGTAACTATTTGGGATTTCTTGTTTCCATATGAATTTTAGCATCATAAAGACCTGTGAAATGCTAGCTCTGAGAAGAATGCTGTACGTATTTAGATTGGGATCACATTAAATCTGTGAACTGCCTTTGGAAGTATGGGCATATTGATGATACCACTTCTACCAATCTACAAACATGAAAGCTTTTTCTGTATTTTAGTGTTTTCTTATATTTCATTAATGTTTTGTAATTTTTATTGTAGAGATCCCTCACATCCTAGGCAAATTAATTCCAAGATATTTTAATGTTTTTGTAGCTACTGTGAATGAGACTGATCTTACAAGTTTTTTCTTAGCCATGGAATTTTTTATACATACATAGGCTGTTGATTTTTGTGTTAGCTTTATATTCTGCAACTTTATCAAACTCTTATGAATTCCAGTAGTGTCTTAGAGTCTTTTGTTTCCTGTATATAGCTAACTGACTTCCTTCTTTTCAATTTGCATCACTTTGATTTTTTTTTTCTTGCCTGATGACTCTAGCTGAAACTTCCAGGACTATATTGAATATGAATAGTAAATGGTAAGAGTGAACATCCTTGTCTGATTCCAGATCCTAGTGGTAATGTCGTAACTTTTTCCTATTCCATATGATGCTGTTAGGGGTTTGACATATATTGCCTTACTTGTGTTGAGATGTTCCTTTTATTCCCAAATTGCATAGGGTATGTATCATGATAAGATACTGTATTTTATTAAATGTTTTCTCTACAGTTATTGAAATAATCATATATTTTTTTTAATTTCTTAGATTGTTAATGTGCTGTGTCACATTTATTGATTTGTGAATATTGAACCATCCCTGCTATACCAGGGATAAATCCTACTTGGTCCGGGTGAATGATCTTTCTGATGTATTTTGGCTTTTATAAGCTACTATTGGTTTGGGATTTTTGCATCTATTTGTTCATCAGGTACATTGGTCTATAAGAATTTTCTTATGTATCTTTTGCTAGTTTGGCCTCAAAGAGTTTGGGAGGATTCCTTCTGTTCAAGTGTTTTGAATAGTTTGAGAAGAATTAGAATTAGTTCTTGAAAGTTTGATAGAATTCAGCAATGAAGCCATCTGGTCTTGGGCTTTGCTGGTAGTCTTTAATTTTCATCTTAGTTATTTCTCTGTTTAGGTTGTCTTTTGTCATCCTAACTCAATCTAGGTAGGTTGTATGTGTCCTTTCCCCTATTTCCCTTAGATTTTCTAATTTGTTTGTGTGTGTCTGTTTGTAGTAATTACCAGTCATCCTTTGAATAACTGTTACATTCATTGTTTTATCTCCTTTTTCATCTGTGATTATATTGATTTGAGTCTTTTTTTTTTTCTTGGTCAGGGTGGTCGGTTAATTGGGCTAGTGGTATACTTTTGTGATTTTATTATTTTTTTTCCCAGAAAATCAGCTCTTAAATTCACTGGTCTTGTGTGTCTTTTACTTTTTGTGTGTTTTCAATTTTCTTTTTCCTGTAAGTTTGATTATTTCTTTCTTTCTACTAACTTTGGGTTTGGTTTGTTGTTTTTGTAGGTCCTTGAGATATGTCTGTAGATCATTTGTTTAATCCTTTCTGTTTTCCTAATATAGGCACTAATCACTGTGATCTTGCATCTTAACATTATTTTTGTGGTAAGCCCTTAGTTTTGATATATGTGCTGTCATCTCATTTGTTTCCAGGAATTTTGTCTTTTTGATTTCTTCTATGACCTGCTTTTTAGGCAATAATGTGTTATTCAGTCTCCACATGTTTGCTTATTTTATAGTATTTCTTGAGTTGCTGATTTCCAACTTCATAATTTTTTTCTTTTCTTCTTTTTTTTTTAGTCTACTGAGGTTTAGTTTATGGCCTAGCGTGTAGTCTATCCTGGAGTAGGTTCCATGAACTGATGAAAAGAATGCTTATTCTGCAACTATTGGATAAAATATTCTGTAGATATAAGTAAGGTCCATAATCCTTTGTATAGATTAGCTTTGTGTTTTGTTTTGTTTTGTTTTAATTGGTTTTCCTTCTAGTAGTCTGTCCATTGATGAAAGTGGGGTTTTGAAGTCCCCATTATTATTGTATTGGAGTCTATGTCCCACTTTAGCTCCCTTAGCAATTGTTTTAAGTAACAAGGTGCCCTGGTATTGAGTTCATATATGTTTACTACACTCATTTGTTCTTGTTGAATTGATCCCCTAATCATTGTATAATGCCCTTCATCATTTCTTAGTAGTTTTTGTATTAAAGTCTCTTTTGTCATATTAGGATAGCTACACCTGCTGATGTTTTTAGTTGGCTTGGGATACCTTCTTTCATTTACAGTTTGTGTATATCTTTGCTGGTGACATATACTTCTTTTAGGAAGCCATTAGGTGGGCTGCTTTTTAATCCATTCAGCCAGCCTGTATCTTTTTGAAGAATTTGGGCTATTTGCATTCACTTGTTACTAAAATGTAATGACTTGGCAAGCTGAACCAGTTCACATCACCTGCTGGCAAAACCAAGCACCAAAACACAGTGTGGGTCAGGCCAGGTTCAGTTGCAACACATACCAGTGCACATTACGGCTGGGATTGGATGCCTGCTGGGCTGGGTTAGGCTCTAACCCTCACCAGCATTAGCTGGAATTGGGGGTGGGCCGTGCCAGGTCAGGCTGCAGCACCCACAGGCAAATGCCAAGGTGACGTGGGCCATACCAGATTGAGCTGCAGTGCCCAACCAGCTCATGTGAGAAACGGGGATGGAGGGAGCAAAGCTGGCAGGGGGAATGTGGAAGACTCTCCTGCTGGACAGGAGAGCGGGAGCTGGAATGGTGGCAGACCAGACCAAGCAGGGCTACAACACCTGTGGGCCTCATGTGAGCTAGATCATGGAAAAACCAGTCTAGGCTGACTGTTCCTACTGGTGCAAGCATAAATTAGAGTGGGTGAGGGTTGGTTGAGCTTTGCTGCAGCATCAGCTGGCAGAGGCTGGCACTGGAAGCTAATTCTGTCAAGTCAAATGCCAGAACCACCTGGAGAGTGCATAATCTGGGAGTGACTGGCCTAGTAGGGAAATAGTGGGCGCCTCCCTCTTGGGTTACCACTCCCACTGGAGAGCATGAAAACCAGGACTGGGGCAGGGGTGGCTAGACAGAACAGCACCCGCCAGTATGTGTGTGGGTTGGATAGTTGGGCAGGTTGGGTTGAACTAGGCTTCAATGCCCATTGACATGTATGGGAGCTGAATGGGATGTGGGACAAACTGAACAAGTCTGTGGTACATAGTGGCAAGCATGAGAATCAGGGTAGGGGCAGGCCTGGTGGGGGTCGCCCTGACTAGGCTGCAGCTCCCACTGGTTTGCGGGAGGGCCGAGTATGAAGTGGGCAGGATCAGGCTGGACTGCAACAACCATCGGTTCGTGTGGAAGACAAGGCTGGAAACAGAACTGATCCAGCAATTGAAACGACCAGCATGTGCATAAACTGATTGGGGTGACGAACTGTGCCAGACCCTGTACTGGCAAGCACACAGAAGAATCAGGTCTGGGATCACCTCAGATGACGTTTTCTCTGGGGATCCCTCCAACCGAACTGCTGATCTCAGAACTCCAGCCACGAAGAGACCATGTCATCCAGTGGATTCTGAAGAGATTTCATCAGCTTGGAGTGGCAAGAATGGCATCAATTCAGAATTGTTGAACTATCAAAACTGCATGAGCAGGACCCTGAGAGCGTGCCTCACATTGGGGACCTGGGATGGGTGGGAGGCTGGGTGGGGCTCTTCGCTTTATCTTTTCCCTTACCCTGGATACAGAAAAAAAAAGTATTAATGTGGAAACAATGGTCTTACCCACTTTCCTGTAGCCCTTGACCCTTTGTGTTTTAATCAACTATGTAAAGAATGCAAACGTCAAAGAATTAAAAAAAATGTAATGACTTGGTCCTACTATCTTTTTCCATGAAAGTTCTCATTGTTTTGAATTTCCTTTGCACCTTTCTGATGAAATTTTCTCCTTTCATATTCTTTCATTATGGTGATTATCACCCTCTCTTTCTATGTATCCTGAAGCATCAGTTGCAGGGCTCTGTGGGTGGTGCCTAATTCTTTCAGTTTCCAATTGTTTTCAAAGGTCTTTATTTCATCTTCAGGTAGAGCGCTCTGTTGTGTATAGTGTTCTGGGTTGAAATCAGCTGTTAGTCTAATGTTTATTAAGGAGTCCTTATTAACCAAGCTTGGTGATAATAGAGCACAATAGCAAATCACAAGTCCATATCAAAACCCGAAGGGGAACAAATGGTCTTTACCCTGAAGTCCATCCATTAAGCTGAAGACCTAAGTCCCAGCTTCTCCAACAATATAAGTTATCCAAAGAGACATGCAACGAATAACCTGGATATACAGAGCTGTAGACATTCACCCCTCCCTGGCCCCCTGCTCACATTCCACTATTATTAGGCCTCACCTCTCCTGGAACTCCTGACAGCGCACAAACCAGGAATATAAAGCATCTTAACATTGCTCTCTTCGTTGTCTCAGCCAAGCAGTAAACAGAGGATGAGTAATACAAACAAAGGGGCCATGCTCAGGGGACACCTGTCCTCAGAGGTACCAGGGAGGCCAGGAGTCGGAGTGCCAGAGCAGTGAGAGAGAGAGAGAGAGAGAGACCGACCGACCGACCCACCCTCATCAGCAGCTTTTATAGGGGCATGTGAGGGAATTGGGTACACAACATTACAATACCGTACCCTCTCAGATGGTCAGTGAGAGTCAACACCTAGATGGTGTGGGGAATGGCTTCCAAACTAAACCCTGATCTGGCTGATTATCTCACTACGAATGTAATGTGTAGATTATTCCTGATCAGACCTTTAGTAGTTCTTTGTCCTCCTCGTACTTAATTTTTTTTCTTTTTTTTTTAGTTTTCCCCATTTTTTCTTGTTTTTGGTCAGACCTACTATTTCTGAGGATTTATCTTCTGGAGCAAATATTGTTTCTTTGTGCTTCCCTGGTCTTGGTGCTGAAGATTTCCACTGTACTTTGTTTGGCTCGTTGAATTCTTTATTGCTACTATTTCAGTTTGATTTCTTTTCAGTATTTGAATCTGTTTGCAGAATTCCTCATCCATAGCATGTATAGTTTATCTCAATAATTTGTTTTTGTGTTAATGCCATTAAAGCAAAGAACAAGGACTTGAGCCATCCTCTGCAACTTTCTGCAAAGGCCATAAACAGGGAGCTGGAGCAGAAGTGGGGCAGCCAGGGCACAAAGCAGCATCCATACAGGATGTTGGCATTGCAGACAAAGGATTAGTGTCTTATGCTACTGTTTTTTTTTTAAACAAAATCATTTACACCCAAAGCAAAACAGTGTTAGAAAAAAACATTCCTCAGGCCAGCTCTGTAGCATGTTTGTAACACTTGTGATGCATGTGGGCATTCTGTCCTGGTTGCTCTACTTTCTGACTGAGCTTTCTGCAAATGCTGCTAATGCCTTGGGAAAAGCAGCAAGAAGTCTTGGGTTTTTTTTTTTTTTTAAGATTTTATTTATTTTTATTGGAAGTGAGATCTGCAGAGAGGAGGAGAGACAGAGAGGATCTTCCATCCAGTGGTTCACTCCCCAAACAGCTGCCATGGCTGGAGCTGAGCCAATCTGAAGCCAGGAGCCAGGAGCTTCTTCCAGGTCTCCCACACGGGTGCAAGGTCCCAAGGCTTTGGGCTGTCCTCGACTGCTCTCCCAGACCATAGGCAGGAAGCTGGATGGGAAGTGGAGCTGCCGGGATTAGAACTGGTGCCCACATGGGATACCTGCATCTTCAAGGTGAGGATTTTAAGTGCTATGCTATTGCACTGGGCCCAGCAGGAAATTTCCTAAATAATTGGGACTCTGCCAACCCTGTGGAAAACCCAGAAGATGCTCCTGGTTTCAGGCTGGCCCATTGCAACCATCTGTGGAATGAGCCAGCAGACAGGTTATCACTTCTCATAACTCTGACTCAGGAAAAGCTACTTAAGCAGTAGGTTTCTTCAGGTATTTTAAAAGAGATATTGTATCCAAAATGCAAATTTGTTTCATTTTGAATTTACTGTTTAATTATCATGGTCTCTCGCCTTACACCTTTTTTTAAACAAAAATATATGCTAGGCTTCCACTGAGTAGACAACAATTTTTTTTACTAAAATCATTTTATGAACAAAATTTTAAAATAATACAGCAAAAGAAAACATTTTCCCTTGTGTTTGCCATTTTTATTATGTGTTGTATGTACTGCCACAGAAGAAAACCTTGAAAGTCAGCGGCCGGAGAATCCTGCAGAGATGCCATCCAAACGTCGAAGAGTATCCTCTCAGAATGTCTCTGATGAAGAACTAACTGAGGCCGAAGACCGAGTCATGGCTCTCCATATTTTCAACGTCGACACAGGCAGAGTATGTACACTTGAAACTTCTGCAGGTTTCTCCAAAGTAATTTGCATGTAGAAACATGAAGCTTGGGTTTTCTGTGTAGGCAATTTTATGATTTTCAGGGCCTTTCTTCTGTAGTAACTGGTACTATAAATTGCACATACTTGTATTTGCATACATGGGTTGGTTTATTGCTTATTAGAGTTTTCATAAATAAGTTGCTTTTGACTACTAAGTCAATAAAAAGGTTAAGTTGTGGTATCTTGCCTGTTACTGTTGGCTTTAGAAGATAATGGTTTAATTGAGGGTAAGTTGCAGTCTTAACCCTCAAGCAACTTCTGACCTATTGGGCAAGATGGACTTGTGATCATGTGATTTCATCGCAGTGGTAACTAGGATGGAGGTTCTAAATGCCACATGCTCCTCAGGTCTGGAAGGCTTTGCTTGCCGCTTGCTGCCTCTGGCTGGTGGAGCAACTGCCTGGGCCGCGGGGTGCTTTTAGTAGTTCTTTTGCTTTTGTCACTTCTTTCACATAGCTTTTCAGATTTTGTGACTTAAAATACCTATATTGTCAAAATTACCTAAGATAAGAACCAATATGAATTTTGGTTCATGTTCGGAGACAAATATCTTAAAGATCTGTTTTTTTCTTGCCCTGTGAGAGGGGAAGAGGGGAATTGGTGTCCTGACTGGCTTTTCTTGCTTCTTGTTCTATTTCTGGTTGGATATGGAGGTTCTCCTTGCCTTCCTGAGAGTAGGTACCTGTCACCATTAGAGTTAGAGCTTTTCTCAGGGCCCAGTGGGCTCCTGTGTACCTGTGCCATCTAAGTCTTTTTTTATTTTTGAGATTTTCTTTTTTTGAAAAGGCAGATTTAGAAAAGGAAAAACAGAGAATGAAGATCTTCCAACTGCTGGTTCACTCTCAAAATGGCCACAACGGCCAGAGCTGAGCCAATCCAAAGCCAGGAGCTTTTTCTGGGTCTCTCACATGGGTGCAGGGTCCCAAGGACCTGGGCCATCCTCCACTGCTTTCCCAGGCTTTAAGCAGGGAGCTGGATGGGAAGTGAGCAGCTGGAACACAAATCGTTGCCCAGAGGATCCTGGCACATGCAAGGTGAGGACTAACAATTGAGCCAAAACACTAGGCTTGTCATCTCTAATCTTATAAAGAACTTAATTGTTTGTACCTGCATCACTATTGAGAAATGATTTCTCAAATTATTTTCTCTCTTACATTTTTTGTCACCCTTAGCCATTGTTAGATACTTCCTTAACACTTTTGAGAATTCTTTAATATATATATAAAGATAAAAAATAAATTTAAAAATATATAGCAGATGATACAGTTTACAGGTTTCAATAAGAGAATAAAAATGTGCCCTTTAAACTCTGTCTAGGATATTGAAAGTTATTTTGTGAAAAATAATGAGAATGAGTACTTTTGTTGAATTCCTGTATAATTTTGAATTTGACAAAGGGTGACTAAATCCCAAATTTATAAGTGATCCATAAAGCTTACTTGACTCTTCATAAAAGTATCAGTAATACTGTAAAAACTAAGATGTAATACTTCTTTAAATGTTTCCCCAGAAGTCATCTGAAGTTGACCCAGCACATCCTGGATGTTTAGAACTCACAAAGGCCTCACAAGGCAAGTGTTTAATTTTTTCCTGGTATCTGTGTCTGTTATCCAGTTTGGTAGATATTTGTGATTAGTGTACCTGAACTGTATGCTGCATTTGCGGGAAACCAAAATAGTTCTGCCTTTCAGAACCTTGTAACCTTATAGAGGTATTTTAGAGTTCTTGTTACGTAAGATATATTAACTTTTCAAAACTACTATCAATATAAGTTAGTGACGTTTCAAAATAGATAGAATCTAGTCTAAACTATAGCTCTCTAAATATGTTAAGCAGAGTGTCTTTCCAGATATCACACATAATTTCCATATTTTTAAATGTGTAGAAAGGAGTAAAAAGGACAAAAAACATTTCAAAGCTTTTTACCCTTCCTACAAATTAGTGTGCTTGTGTTGAGTGAAAGTGACTAGCGGGATGTTTTAAATTTATGTTAATTCTACTTCTGTCTTTATTTGTGAAGTGAAACTCTTACAGCCGTGTAGTTAGAGCTTTTCATGCATTCGGGTGACTTCTGCCTTCTAGTTGGCACGTTAAAGCATTGATGGGTCAAGTACTCCTGTGGTACCGGTCACTTAGGTCATCCGAGCAGATGCGCTCATCTTGCTTTTGTATGCCTGTTGCTCTGTTCTTGCTTTCTTTGTGTTAACATGTATTTTTATTTTTAGAATTCCACTCAATTGCATTTTGCATTTTGAAACCATACCTCTACACTCTTTTTAAATTGCTCCTCTAGGGATAATAGGATATGTTCTTTTCAGAGTCTACTTTGAGTTAATATTGTATAACTTTATAGTAAATACAGAAACTTTACAAACTATTTGTCACTTTCTAAGTGGCTTTTGTGACTTTCAAATTATATGTATAGTTCATGTAATTCATATTACCTTTTTATTTCATTATAAACCCCAAAAGATGTTACTGTTTTTACTTTAGACAGTTATGTGAGGGGAATTAAAAACCATTTATGGGGCAAAGTGGAATTAAAAGTTTCTTTTGGCCCAAAACAAACAAAAATGAAATCCATGCATAGTGTTTTTTGATCATATGCATTTCCATGAACCTTTTAAGACTTTGTATGTGCATGAATTTCCAAATTTTGCATTAGGATGAAATCTAGCGCCATTTTCCACAAACTTTTTAAAGTGCCTCATATATGCTTGAAGGAGGGAGAAATCATCTGTTACATTTACCGAGGCACAGGCCATCTCTAATGTTCTTTATTTCTTTCTGAAGATCTCAGTTTGATTCTGGTATTTTCCTTCAGAATATTACAAAACCTGCTGTTGGCGGAAAGGCTGCAGTGAGATAAGACGGACTGGCAGATGATTGTAACAATGGGCTGGGCTCCTCCTGCTGGCTGCTTGGTTGCCCCTCAGGGTTGTGGTGTATCTCAGTGCACCTTTAGGAAACATAAGATCTTGTAAAAGGGCATAGATATTAAGGTTAAATTAAGTATGGGGCTGGGCTTAATTTAACCTTAATAGCTTTTGATTAAAAGAGAGCTGCATTATTCTTTTTTTAAAAAAAACTCCTATTGAAATGCATAATTCTTCTTAAAGATTTTTATTTATTTATTTTTATTTTATTTATTTTTATTGAAAGTTGGGTATACAGAAAGGAGGAGAGACAGAGAGGAAGATCTTCCATCCAGTGGTTCACTCCCCAAGCGGCTGCAACGGCTGGAGCTGAGCCAATCTGAAGCCAGGAGCTCTTCCAGGTCTCCCACACGGGTGCAGGGTCCCAAGGCTTTGGGCCATCCTTGGCTGCTTTCCCAGACCACAGGCAGGGAGCCAGATGGGAAGTGGGGCTGCTAGGATTAGAACTGACATCCATATGGGATTCAGGTGCATGCAAGGCGAGGACCTTAACCACTATGGTATCGCACTGGGCCCGAAAGCCAAATGTTACTCCATGAGCAAAATTTACAAGAATAGGGCCCGATGCGGTGGCGCAAGTGGTTAAAGGTCCTCGCCTTGCACGCCCGGGATCCCATATGGGCGCCGGTTCTAATCCCGGCAGCCCCGCTTCCCTTCCAGCTCCCTGCCTGTGGCCTGGGAAAGCAGTCGAGGATGGCCCAAAGCATTGGGACCCTGCACCCGCGTGGGAGACCCAGAAGAGGCTCCTGGCTTCGGATTGGTTCAGTTGCAGCCGTTGCAGCCACTTGGGGAGTGAACCATCGGACGGAAGATCTTCCTCTCTGTCTCCTCTCTGTATATCCGCCTTTCCAATGAAAAAATAATAAAAATAAATCTTTAAAAAAAAAATTTACAAGAATAAAATGTGGGTATTTTTTTGAGGTTATTTATTTGTGTAGGTAGTTGAAAGGCAGGCTGATTAAGAGAGCTGTTTCATCTGCAGTTTCTCTTCCCAAATTCTTTCAACAACCAGGAATGAGCCAGGCCAAAGCATATAAGCCAGGAACTTGATTCCAGTCTCAGATATGGGTGACAGCAACTCAAATCCCATGAACAGGAAACTGCATTGGAAGCAGAAAAACTGAAACTTGCACTGGCACTCTAGTATGGGATGCCAGGTCCCAAGGGGCATCTTAACCAGCTATATCACAGTGCACACTCTTAAATTTCTTAAGAGTCTGTTATCGTCTGCAAATACATAAACTATGGATATGTTTGATCTAGAGCCTAAAGAAGTGTAGACATCATCTGCCTCTCACATTTACTTATTTACGTTGAAGGACTCAAGGTTGCTGATTGTGTGGAGGGCGAACGGTGGGAGGATACTGTTTCATTTGGCACACTGACGACAGAAATGAACTTGCCAACAGTCCCGAACATCAGATCACCAGCCTGTCCTGCATACAAGAGGGACTTCCCGTCCACTGAGACCTTTGTCCTTCGTTCTGTCCTGAAGAAACCCTCTGTTAAGCCGTATCTAGAGAGCTTACAGGTAAGCAGAGTTGGATTTCCTAAAGCAAATGATTTAATTCTAGTCCTGACTCTGTTTTGCTGGACAAAGTATTTATCCTTCTTATGTCCATCTTTTCCTATTTTATAAAATGATAGTGCTGACTACCTTAGAGAATAACTTCAACTATTTAACATTTTTATTTGAAAGGCAGTGACAGAGATCTTCCATCCATTTATATAATCCACAAAAGGCCACAGCAGCCAGGGCTGAGCTAGGCTGAAGCCAGGAGCTTGGAACGCCATCCGAGTTTTCCAAGTAGGTGTCAAGGGCCCGAGTACTTGGGCCGTCTTCTGCAGCCTTTCCAGGCATGTTGACAAGGGGCTGAATTGGAGGTGTGAAGCATTTGGGGCTTGAAACAGCACTCCAACATGAGATGCCACCATCACAGGTAACAGGTTAACCTGCTGCACCTAGTCATTCCCCAGTCTCCGCATTAAGTGGGATATGTGCAGGTCTTTTTTTTCAAACTATAAACTTTTGAATATATTGTCTGTACATTTGTTTTGAAAACTTAAATTAACCAAATTACCATGTATTTATATAGATAATTAATCAGCTGCTGTCATATCTTTAAAAAATTTATTTCTTTGTTTGAAAGGCTGCTTGTTCACTTCCCTAATAGCTGTAATAGTGGGGGCTTGGCAAGCCAAAGCCATAACACTAGAACCCCAACCAAGTCTCCCATGTGGGTGTGGCAGAGACCCCAGGGGCAAATTTGCAAGAAGCTGAATTTGAAACAGAACAACTAGACTTCATTTCAGGTATGCCAGCATGGGATATAGGCGTATTGGATGGTAGCTTAACCCACTGTGCTGCATCATGTATCACTCAATTGCCATTTTAAATGCTTCAATGACTTTTTCAGTTAAAGAGCTGATTTTGGGGTCAGTGCTATAGTGCATTGAGTAAAATTCAGCATCCCGTATGGACAGCTGTTCGAGTCTTGACTGCTCCATTTCCAGTTCAGCTCTCTGCTTATAGCTTGGGAAAACATCCAAGGATGACACAAGTTCTCAGGCCCATGCACCCATGTAGGAAACATGGAAGAAGCTCCAGTCTGTTGCAGTCATTTTGGGAGTGAACCGTTGGATGGAAAGTGTCTCTCCCTTTGTCACTGCCTGTCTATTACTGCTACACATATATAGTACTGCTTATTCATGTCTTGTGTTTATCTTCTGAAAGAACTTAATATCTTATTAACAATTTGACACAGCAACCATTAAGTACTAACACTAGCAGCCTAAGATGTTTACATCCAGTGATCTTTTTACTAAGCTGGCCAGTTGATAGGCAAATGAAATTTGAGTTGTTTGCTTATTTTTGTGATTTTAATTAAAAATCCAAGCTTAGTATACCTTAATTCAAGCTAGTAGTATATGCATTTTCCTAGTCAGGAAAATAAACTGGCTTGGAAAAGAGTAAGAAGGGCTGTTTAGGGTAAGCCTGTTACTTAGAGCAGATGCTGTTGTTGGAGTGGATATATAGGGGAAAAGGAGGGACCAGTGTTGATGTGGCATGTTCAGCTGCCTCTTGCTCTGCTGGCATCCCTTGTGGGCATCGGTTCACATCCCGGCTACTCTACTACTTATCTGGCTCCTTGTTAATGTGGCTGGGAAAGGCTTCTCTCTCCTGTTTTTTTTCCTGGCTTGACCTTGACATTTGCAGCTGAGAAATGGACCACTTGATGGAAGATCTCTGTCTCTTCCCTCTCTGTAACTTTGATTTTCAAATAAATAAATAAGCCATTATTTTTTAAAAAGAACAGCTCCCAGAAACAAGGATTATCCAGGGGTGTAGGTTGAGGCTGGAAAAGCAGGTGATGATTAAGGTGAGACTTGGAACAACTCCTAGACCTGACTATCCTGCCGAAGTGCTGTCTCCTGTCCTGCTCTGCTGAGCTGTGCCCTTGTCACAGGGTTACAGTATCCCTTTGCAACTAAGTTGCATGCCTGTAATCTTTATTTGGGTAAACAGAGGAATAAATGCTTGTTGCCTTCTCAAGAATGTAATAATGTGGACAGGAGTTTTAAACATTTATAAAATATATAGTTTCCATATTTAAAAGACAAAACACCCTATTATACTTTCATGTTTGCATTTTTCTTTTTTAAGAATTCTTACACCTCAGACTGTATGGTCTGTCTCATCAAATATCACATACAGACATATAGTTTGCTGTAATTCTAGTCACTGGCATGTTTCATGCCTTCATTTGCTAGATCAAAGATGGGATGAAGATAACCCACTATTAAAAATTTCTGTTCCTTTAATTTTTGCTGAAATGCCATGTGCTAAAGTAATATCTAGGGATCCTGGTTTATGAAAATAATGGTAGTCTTCATTTCTAGAGTATTTGTCACTAGCAGAAAAGAAAGTCGAAATTGCCATTCTTAATGAATATGTGTGTCATTATGTACATAGAATTATTGATTAACACTTATTTTGCTTAGGAACACCATGACAACGTCTGTGATGATGGGACACCAAGTATAATTCCACATCTTGCCAACTGTTGCAAAGAACAAAAAGCAGGTAAGAAATTTATTTGCTCTTATGCTTGGGATATATCTCTTGCTAATAAAATTTGCCATGTATGTGGAATTTTCAGTGGATTTTTGATGCCTTGATCCTTCTGAGTTGGCATTAGCACAGGTAAGAGGAATGGAATCCCATTGGAGAGCATCAGATATGTCCTATCCATTCTTACTTGTGCAACTTACAAAAGACATTTCTATTCTGATTTGATAAACTTTAAATAGTCATGTGAAATTCTACTTTTTAATCTATTACCTGCTTTTAGCTACAAATTTTCTTTTCTATTTTGTATTTGCTCTACAGACTGTGCCTTTTACAGCTAAATACAATAGTTAAAAACAAGTCTAGTGTATGCCGTTTAGGCAAATAATCGAGCTTAATTTTTAAAACATATTTCCATTTATTCTATGTATTTCCATTTATTTCCATTTATTTAAAACGTATTTCCATTTATTCTATGTAGAAGATCAAAATTACAAAGCATCAGCCTTTCTAAATATGAGGAAGAGGAAAAGAGTCACTTTTGGAGAGGAGCTAAGCCCTGAGGTGTTTGATGAATCTTTGCCTGCAAATACTCCATTGCGGAAAGGAGGAACACCTGTTCGTAAAACGGACTTGAGCGGCGGTAGTCCCTTGCCACTGGAGCAGTCACCTATTCTGCAGCAGTTATCACAGCCAAACTTTGATGAGAAGGGGGAGAATCTTGTAAGTGGAAATGCAATAAACATGTATATTATTCTCAGGTCTTACTTGTGTTGTGATGAGCAATAAATGCTGTAAGGCCGACTAAATGATATATAATGGTTTAATCTGTTTTCCATGTAGGTGCTAACTAATTCTTCACTTTTTTTTTAATATTTTATTTATTTTTTTATTGGAAAGTCAGGTATACAGAGGAGGAGAGACAGAGAGGAAGATCTTCCATCCAGCTTCAGATTGGTTCAGATTCAGCTGTCACTGCCACTTGGGAAGTGAAGCAGTGTATGGAAGATTTTTCAGTCTGTTTCTCCTTCTCTGTAATTTGGACTTTCCAATAAAAAAAAAATACTTCTTAAATAAGAAATTATAACCTGTAGATCTTAAATGAATTCCAAGAACAAGAAATTTGAAAATACCACCACTGCATGCCACTGCTTATATAATCAGTTTTTTAAACTTCTTTCTATTATTATTATTATTTTATGATACAGTTTCATAGACCCTGGGATTTTCTTTTTCCGCTCCCCAATACCCTCCCTCCTGAGTTTCCCTGTATCATTACTATAGTATAGTTGTTTATACCCAGTGATATGTTCATCATTGAGGGCATGGACAGTGACAGTCGTATATGAAAAGATAATACATCATAACCATCTTAGAGTTATCCCAGCAATGCAAAGCCAGTTTCAGAACAAGAATCAGAATAACTCATCGATAGTCTGAAAATAAAAACAAAGTGGTCATCTAGAAAGTATTTATTTGACAAAATGCAGCATTCGTCTCTGGTTTTAATAAAACATCTGTTTTGCAAACTGGTGATAAAAGGAATTTTTTTCAATATCACAAGTTTTGTTTATGAAAAATCAAGTTACTGACTTACTGGTGATAATGTGAGGACATTTGATATGTATATTTGTTTATAAGTGCCATTGTACCCTGGGATTCCCTTAATATCACAACATTAGCTTGTGATTATTAATAAATTATCTTTTAAAAGTTATGTAAGATTTTAAGTAAACCAAAATGCAACTTAACCATTATGGCTACTTTCACTTAATATTTACATTTATTTCATGGATTATTATTTTAGTGCACATGTTTTCATTATAAATATGATTAGTAAATATTGTTGCATATTTTCATATGTAAGGGATTTTTTTCATTGACATTAAAGTTTATTTCTCTTTATGACTATTACAATTCTTTCTATCAGTAGATTTCAGTTCTTTTTCTCTTGGGCACATTATGTTTTAAAATGCCTGATTTCTATCTTTGTTTAGGAAAACATAGAACCATTGCACATCACATTTACAAGCGGAACTCCTACTAAGTCTCCAATCCCTGAGATTCTTTCAGGTAATAACTTTTGTTATTTATAGTCATAAATGTAATTTTCAGTATGTGAAACCTAATCACTTTATTTTCTGTTTTGAAATTTTGTATTTGTTAGAGCAGTTTAAACTTGAGTTTTAAAAACCAAGTAATAGAGAAAATGTAGTGGGGAGTCACCTACCGATTGCTTTCCCTTCCAGATTCTTTGCTTCATAAGCACCCATGTGTGACTTCTTGAGATCAGTACTCCATTTTCAAGTTGCTGTAAGCAGTAGAACCAGCCTGTTGATGCTTACAGTGTCAGAAACAAACTGTTCATGGCTTGCACAATTGAAATGATCTGGATTAAAAAGATCATTCTCATATATCCAAAAATGTTTAGTCAATGCTAATATGACGTTTTTGTGACATCTATCCATACTTTTTAAGTGGCCCACACTACGCCATTATGCTGGCCCTGGTCAAAATTATTCTAATGACTTTTCACTGATACAATCCAAGCTTACTAGCATGTAGTCCACGCCATGTGTTTAAAGTAGATCAATGTTTGAACTAGACTGTCACATCCCAAAGTCTGTGCTCTTAAACATGTAATTGCTGCCTTTACACTTATTCTATTAAAAGCAACACATTAAATTTTTCCTGAACTTTGTGAAATTAAATAAAATGTTTTAATGATTATATTAATGCCCTTACTGCAGTTTTGTCATATATAATATATCTTGGAATAAATGAGCATAAGTGAAAATATTTGCTTTTGTTGTAATATGATTTGGTCCATTATCTTTGCATGATAATACATTAAGCAGAGTCCTGGGAGAGTGGTGAAAGTTTCTGAGAGTTCAGTAAAAGTAACATGCTTTCTTAAAAAAAAAGTCTGCATCATAAATTTATTCCTATTGGTAATTATTTAATGTTTAGATATAGTATTAAAAGAAAATTGATCATCCAAGACTGTCCAGTTCTGCCAGAAGGTGATGCATGTTCTAGTTTTTTGTTAGCCTCCCTGAATTTGCTTGTGTCTTGCTTGTCAGGCACTGATACCTTTAGCTCTTCAAATAACCACGAGAAACTGTCCTGTAATGTTAGACTAACACGGACTTCTAACAGAAAGAAGGTGAGTGTATTTAACACAGTGCTTTTGATCAAATTATAGTGGGTTAAATTTGAGCAGAATCATTAAAAACTAATACCATATCCTACCTCATATGTAATTCAGAATAATGATGCTTTGCTGATTTGGTTTTAATTAATCTTGTTAGAGAGTAAAAATCCAGTAAAATAAGCTATTTTCACATGGAAGATAACCTATTTGAAAACTTGTTTTGAATATGTATAATCTTATTAAGTTCATTGAAGTATACCAACGTATAACAAGGTCAGAATGTAAATAATAGCTGGTGCATTTATATATATTCCATAATTTCATTATAATTGACAGTATGTGTGTATTTCTGTATCTTTGTTTGATAGGTCAGAAATTGATGACTTTCTTTCCCATTTGAATTGTGATTAAAATGATTTCAGTGAAAGTAATAAATTAAGAAGGAATAGGATGTAAAATAGTGGAAGCATTGTGGGAGGAAAAACAAAAGTGAAAGTGATTATTAAGATGTTACTGCTTGTACCCTATCATGTCCTTCCTTTTATTTTTATTTGTAGCAATTGACCAGTTTTGTAGAAGAGAATGTTTGCCACTTGCTTAATACAGAAACTCAGCCTTGTAAAGAAAAAAAAATTAATCAGAGAAAGCCGCAGGAAAGCAAGCATGCGAGCAGAGCACTCCCTAAAAAGAGCCAGGTGAGTGTGCTTCAAGGTGAAACAAGGAGTAAAACGGCTGTACTTCGTTGTCATATGATTTGAAAATTATAGGACTGAAACTTTTTCTAATTACATTGGATCAAGATTGTTAAAATTATATTTTCCTGAAGTGCATTTGGCCATAAAAGTTTATATGCTCAACTATTTCTACCTGAAGGACATCTTTGCTTCTGTGTTAATCCTTGTATTATGTATGGCCAGTACAATAAATAATAATCATCCATATGAAACTGATGGACATTTTAAAAAATTTAACATCTTACCATATGAAGATTACTGTTTTTTCTTCTTCCTTAAAAAAAAGTTTAAGGAGCAGGAAATGAAACAGTAACTACCAAATCACATAAATTAACTTTTTGACTATAAGTTTGTGACCCTGGTTTTTGTATAACACCACAGTTAAGCAAAGTTGTGCATAGGTGCTTTCATCAGCCACTGGGGACATGCCTGAGTGTGACCATCTTTACATTGTCCGGAAAGAAAGACAGCTATCATACTGGGCAGGCTTCGTTCTTGGATCTCAAGATTGGGCTTCAGTCCTTGTCAGGAGTTAAAGGACTACAGTGGTAAAGTTGACCTGCTTTCACTTAGGTGGCCTTTGACACTTTTCTCAGGTTAGGCTCACCCAGCCAGTTTGTCTCTTAACACATTGGTCAAGTTTTTCTGGTCTTAGCAGCATTGACAAAATATGAGTGACTGCAGGTTAGAATATTATATATTCTGTTCAAGGCTCTGCACAGTGGGGCCTTATTCTGCTTCCTGCACTTTTCGTTCCTCCAAGGTGTTCAGCTTTACCATCCTAGGCTGGTGATGGAAGCCCTGAGCAGTCGTCCTCAGTTAGGTCACCCACATCTTCTTGAACTCTTCCGTCACCACTCGTCAGGGTTGCACATGGCCTGCACTGCACTGGCTTGTTAGAGATGAGTGTAGCATCCGTTCATCTGTTACTTGTTGGACTTCTCTTCCAATCACAGAATCACTCCACATATTTAAAAATGTTAACTAGCACTTAGTCTTCAACACTTGTACGCATCTACAACCTTTGGCAGCCATCCAGTCTAGCTAGCATCTTCACCCAGTTTTTGGTTTTCTGCCTTTACATCATTTAGATTCCATTTTCTGCAGTTACACCAATCTCTTCTGCCAAGCCTAGCAAATTATGGCCACCCACTTCTAAGAATATACATTTCTGGTCCCGGAGTGGTGGCCTAGCGGCTAAAGTCCTCGTCTTGAACGTGCCGGGATCCTGTATGAGCACCAGTTCTAATCCAGGCAGCTCCACTTCCCATCCAGCTCCCCGCTTGTGGCCTGGGAAAGCAGTCGAGGATGGCCCAAAGCCTTGGGACGCTGCACCTGTGTGGGAGACCCGGAAGAGACAGAGAAAAAGATCCTCCATCCGATGATTCACTCCCCAAGTGAGTGCAACGGCAGGTGCTATGCCCATCTGGAGCCAGGAGCCAGGAACTTCTTCCAGATCTCCTACACGGGTGCAGGGTCCCAAGGCTTTGGGCTGTCCTCGACTGCTTTCCCAGGCCACAAGCGGGGAGCTGGATGGGAAGTGGAGCTGCCGGGATTAGAACCAGTGCCAGTATGGGATCCTGGCACGTTCAAGGTGAGAACTTTAGCCACTAGGCCATACCGCCAGGCCTCAGAATTAACATTTTAAAAACTCATGAATTTCACTCCCTCATGCATAGACACACATGGTAAGCATCTAAAAATTAAGTTTCCACTAGATCTCAAAACAACTACTTTGCTTATTTGAATGGCTCAGGTTTTCTTCAGTCATTTGTCTATACCTATTTTTTGCGTTTGAGTCACCAGCTTTTGAAAAAATTACAAAACCCATTGTTTTCAATTGATTGAGATTCCAAAGTATGCATTCAAATGACTCATTAAAGATCCATATATGTGTATGTGTTTGTGTGTACACACATACCCCCTTTTGAGAAATAACTTATGAGACCAGCATTACAGTGCAGCAGGTTAAGCTTCCGATTCATCTCCCTGCTCATTTGCCTGAGAAAACTACCACACATGGGGATGACTCCCTGCTGGAGTTTTGGGTTCCTGACTTCAGCCTGGCTCAGCCCTGGCCCTGGGACCGTTGGAAGAGTGAAGAAGAAGATGGGACATCAGTATATATTCTGTGTGCCCTGCATTTCTACCTTTCAGCAAAATAGAATTGAACATTAAGTTACTCCAACCCCTTGGTAAAATGGCTGCTTTCAGGTTTATAATAGCAAATGTATAAATTAAGCCTAGTTCTGTACTAGAGAGCTAGAAAGGAACCACTGGACCCAAAGCTATTGTGGTGGGGCTCCCAAGGACCAAAGATGAAACAGTTTCACTATGGGGAAAAGTGGTTGCAATGCACTGAAACACTAGCATGAAATAGGAAGTAACACCTAATTCCTATAGTGTTTAAAAGTAAGAATGCCTGGAGCATGTGTTTAGCCTTGAGTTACCTGAGTTCACTCCTCAACTCTGGCTGCATGCAGGTCCAGCTTCCTGCAAAGGCTATGTTGTGATCGACTTCCTGCCACCCACATGGGAAACCTGGATTAAGTTCCCAACTTTGTCCCAGCCCAGCCCCGACTGTTGCAGTCCTTTGGGGAGTGAATCACTGGATGGGAGGGAGTGCTCTTTTTGTCTCTCTCTACCTCTCAACATTTTTGAATGAATAATTGCCACTTTAGAAACTTTTTAAGAGTGGTTCATTTTTCTGAAAACTGTCAAGTATGAGCTCTATTTCAGGTAAACAGTTGGTGAGGAAAGGCTCTTTTAAGAGGAGGTATCTATAGATAAACAGATAAAGGGTTAATATTCAAAGTATTTAAGGAACTCAGACAAATCACTAGCACAAAACAGCCCATGTTTTTTTTTTTAAAAAAAAAAAGGACTTGAAAAGAGTTTTCAAAAGAAGACATGCAAATGAATAGTATGTATAAAAAAATGCCCAGCAAACCACCATGACATATTGCAACTGTCAGAATGACTGTTTTCCGATAGACAAAAGGCAGCTACTGGTGAGGATGGGGGGTGGGAAAGAAACTTTTGCAAAAATAAATTAAATCAGGGAAGTTTGAAGGTTCTTAAAAAAAAAACCAAAAACAGAACTACTGTGTGATTCTCTAGTCCTACCTCTGGGTATTTATATCCAGACAAAGTAAAGTCAGTATGTGTGCTGTGTTGCTTTTGTAGCAGCACTCACAATGCTCAAAGTGAATCAACTTAGGTTTTCCACTAATGGATGAAGTGGTAATGAAAATGTGTGTATATTCCATGGAATCCTATCCACCCATAAAGAAAGAAAAACCCTAGGGGGGATCGACAGAGTAGATGAATCTGGATATTATACTAATTGAAACTTTAAGTGTTTGAATAAAACTAAGATGGACGTTTCTTTCTTTTTCATGACTGATTTCACTATTGAGCAGTATTTGTGATTCTGGAGTAAACAGAGTCACTTTGGGACAGTACCTTCAGGTGTCCTTTGCTCTTATTCATAAAGCTGCTAACCATTTCTGGATTATGTGGCTTCTTTCATTAGTCTTTAAGCAAGACGTCCATGCTGTTCTGCGTTCAGTTCAGATTCTTTGAGAAGTGTTAGCCTCTGTTGATGGAATCACCTCATAGATAGAACTGCTAGATGCAACATAAGGTGCTTTATTTACTTATCGGGAGGAGGCAGAGATGTATACTTACAACAGAACAAAACAGAATTTTTAGTCTCAAACATGTTTACCAAACTTTGTTAACTTTATCATACTTATTGCTTGTCACTCAATAAATGAATTTCTCTTTCTGTAGAAGCTACTATAAGCAAACACTCCTGTAGCTCCTGGGGGCATCTTATATAGACACAAATTTCTGATGTCATGCTAGAAAGGGATTTTTTAAAAAATCTTATGTAAAAACCAAAAACTTCTAGGAGCTATAACCATAGTATGTTAGTGCCCCCTAAAGGACTTGGATCCTACCCCATTTATCCATTTTCTATCATCAGAGTATTTGAGAGCTAAATACTTTACAAGAGCTTTATTTAGCTTATGGTTTTAGAGGTTGAGTGTCAGAAATTGAGCGGCCCTGCCCTTTGGTTCAGCCTCTGGTGAGGACACTCTTAGCTATGTTACCTCACAGTGGATGATGGCACAGCAGGAAGACCTGTGAGAAGGAGAAATCTCACGATGACTCGAAGTCAGACAGTGGGCAGGGACCAGTCTTATTCTATTTTTGTACTTCCATTTTTGCTTATTTTTGCTTTATTGGTATGACAGAGATTCTCATACAACAAACAGATATAGCTGGAACAGGTCAAAATCAGGAAACCAAAACTCAATCTGTAAATCCCATGTGAGTAGCATGCACCCAAGTGCTTGAGCCATCCTTTGCTACCTCCCAAGGTGTTTGTTATCAGGAAGCTGGAATTAAAAATGGAGTCAAGCACTCCAGTATGGGATGTGGTCCTCCCACGTGGCAACCTAACCTTTTACTGCAAAAGCCTACCTCTTGTTCTTTTTATAACAACCTGTTCTTTCAGGAACTCAAAGACTCCTGGAAATCAGCATTGATCTGTCCCAGGAGTAGTGGCTCGAGTACCCAATCTACTTGTACTAAGTTCCACTTGAACAGTTCACTAGGAACCAAGACTCTACCACATGAATCTTTGAAGGAAAAATCTCATTCAAACCACAGCATTCAATATAATAGTAGTAGTAGTTGATATTAAAAATTAGATGTTGATTAGCTTGGTTTAACCATTTCATATTTTATGCATGTATCACAACCTCATGTTGAACATTATTATCTATTAAAATGTTTCCTTTTCCCCTACCAATTCTCAGTAGAACTAACATACTGTTTTAGTGTCAGTTGTTAACTCATTTTGTACCTATCCCAGCTTTGTGTGGAATGTGATGTTTTCGTTTTGTAAGCAGGAAAATGAGGTTCAGAGAGTCGGGGTGGCTTGGCTTATGACTATAAGTGAAATGGAATAGTCTAGATCTGCTTAGCACAAGAGCTCTTTTGGCGCTCATCTATGAATCCCAAGTGAATTTTTTTTCTTTGCACTTGGCTTCTGCATTCATTCACAAGCCGATGTTTCTCCAGCTTTTCCATGGAATTCAGTAGGTGTTCGATGAAAAAATAGGTATATATTTTTCTTTAACCCAGCATGCTCCTAATGTGTAGAGATTATTTATACAGAGTACTTCTCAGAGGATTTAATGTTAAATGTGTATTATAAATCACCAAGATGAACATTCCTCTTGTGTAGTTCTAAAATTATTTTTTTCCATGGAATGTTGTGTTTTTAGAGGGTTTCTATAGATATCTCAAAGAACAAACAGTTCACTGCCATTTCTGTACTCTTGGATCTTATCCCTCTTTCACACCATTAGTCACATCAGATTTTTGTATGCTGTCAACCAAATGCTCTTTCTTCAATGTAGACACGAATGTAGTTATTCCAGGAGTCACTATGTACTGAACCCTCGTTGTACTCATCGCACACCAGGGCCCTTCATCTGTTAGCTTCCAGTGTTCGTACGTGAATCCAGCAGCTGTTAACCAGCACAACCCCTGTGCTGTGCTGCCCTCACTCTAAACTCATGCATTCGGCATTTCTTACCCTTCGAGAACCTTCTGCCCCAGTCCAGGAATCAGCCATAGCAATTCACACTAGTTTGAGATTTGGCTTGGAGCTTAAATTGTCTATGGCACCTAGCTTAAGCACTTTTCTTAGACTAAGTACCCATCTTCTCAATCCACACACATTTCCATGAAACGTGTTACAGATATTTGTCATGAAACCAGAAAGACAGCTCTGTTGGTTTTCAATCCCACACCTAGCTTTTTATTTCTGAAAAAGCTCAATTCAGCAATACTTCAGAACGTTTGTAGAAGATGAAATTAAACGGATGTTTCATAACATACATTATTCATGAACATTTTAAAGGCCTGTCATGTGTAAACAAATTTTTTTTTACACCAAAATAAATGTATTTGTGAACTCCATTTCTTTAAGATATTTATTTGTTCCTTCTAGTCTGTCCTCCTAGTATTTCAGTCAGCATTTGACCTCTCCTGGAGTCTTTTCTTAAGGAAAAAACAAACAAAAAACCCAAGCCTCGTGTCTCAGTTGTGTCTCAGTTGTGTGTCTTGCAGTCATAATTGAATCTCACCCCGCATGCCTTTTTGTACACTGGGGTTGATTCCGAGAAGCTTCCCTTCTATCCCTGCCACCCTCTCCCCCCTGCAATATCCACAAATGCTCAAATCCCTGACATAAAATGGCATCGTGTTTGCATAGGAGAGTGCTTCACAAAACTCTGAGCTATGTTGTTTTGAAAGATAAATTTGTTCTGGTATATAAATTCGGTTTTGAAATCTTTATGTGTGGCTTTATTATACATTTTCTTGAGCTTTTGGAAGATCCCTTAACCTGTACACATCCTCTCACATACTTTGAACCATGACTCGGTGACTTAAAATACCCAGCACTATGTATATGCTGTGTAAATGTTACACTGTATTGTTTAGGAAATGAGAAGTCTGTACATGTTCAGTACAGATAGAACCAGTGGATTCCTACCTGCAGTCTCTTGACCTGATGTATGAGCAGTACTAGGTTTATCTTGAGTGGCTGGTCCAGATCTGGTAACAAATATCATGTTTTTGAGTCTGGTCAACTTTTGTTTTGTTTTTGTTTTCTGCTTATCCAGCACTAATTTTGGTAAATGCTTTGTGGGAAAGCACTGCAAAATTTATAATTAACTTTGCTTCATATTTTATTAAGCCTTGTCTAAACTACCAGTCTCCTAACCCTTGCCTGAACTACCCAAATGTTTAAATGTAATAACTGAGCCTAAGATTTTTCTATAAAAGTTAGGTTTTAGAAAGACAGTGCTGTATGAAAGGTAATAGAGATATTATGGAAATTAAAGGATCATAGTTGTACATGATGCTCTTTTTGTTTTTCATTTACAATGCTTTAATAATGCATTTTCTCAGGTTTCTATAAAAAGTTGCAGAAAGAGGAAAGGAAGGGGAAAGAAAGGTGTTCAGAAATCTTTATACGGGAAGAGAGACATTGCTTCCAAGAAGCCCCTGCTAAGTCCGATTCCTGAGCTGCCTGAGGTCTCTGAGACGACGCCCTCAGCTCCAGGCCCCTGGAGGATGTGGTCAGGTACCTGCCCTTCCCTGCATTTCTTTCCTGCATTCCTCCCAACTGCCATTGCTCCCTCACTCCTTCCTTCCATTTCTCCTATTCGCTACTTACTGTGCATATGTCAAAATGGTAGCATTTCTTAATACAAACTTAGCATCTCTAAGTTAGTTCAGATTTTTTGTGTATTTGAGAGGCACAACCAGAGAGAGGGGGAGAGAGCGCGCTCACAAGAGCATTCTCTTGTCTCCTCCAACTAGTAGTTTAATCCCAAATGCTTACAAAGACCTGTAGCTGGGGGACAAAGCTGGAGGAGATCAGGAATTTAGTCCGGGCCCAATCACCTGAGCCATCCTGGCTGCCTTTAATAATGTTAAAGGATCTATGTGAGCAGAAAACTGGAGTCAGGGGTAGGGCCAGGCACTGATAGCTTAACCACCAGGCCATACACCTGCTCCCTCCCCTGACTCTTATTGAGCCAAAAGCAAAAAAGTTCACATGGTGAAACTTGGTTTCATGTACAAAATTATTTAAAATACTGCGTATAGACTCCAAGGCACATATAAAGTATGATTTCATATTTAGACTGAATGCCAGTCCCAAGATATCTACAGTGTCTGTGCAAGTATCCTAGCTGAAAATGCCTGACTTGTGAAGCACTGCTAGTCCCAAGAATTTTAGAGGGGCACTCAGCATTACCTACCATTTGTTAAAGAAGGTAGCTTAGACATTTTAGGAAATCTCTGTGTTTTCTCTCCAGTGAAACAGAGATACAAGATTTTGTGTGTATTTTTAGGAGAAATAAATTTTATCTGGTCAGCTTGAATATTTTGTTAAAATGAGTCCAGTCTGACTATACGTCCATCATTATATGAGCAAGGTGTTGTCTTGGTGATTGATTTGTCTTACCTAACTTACATAGTTAAGGACAGAAGCAGCAAAGCTTCTTAAAGGAAACAAAAATCTGTCTTGTGTTGTTGATTTATGTTGGTACTTTGAACCATCAGTACTTATAAATTGAGCTTGATTACCTTAAAAACTTTGTTCATAAGTAAAGATCAAGTCAGTTGATATCCTGGTAGGCTTAAAAAATGTATTGGAGTTTCTCTTGGTTTATAATGTCCAAGTTCAAATAAAATCAGCCTTGTTGAAAATAATGAGAATATATCCACTTGGTGCACTGATACTACGGTAGAGTAATTTTCAAAATATTTACCTTTGTCAGTACTAGCTTGCCTTCTGATTGCAATATATGGAGTATCATTTATAATGTGTAGGATTTTAAGGGAAAATAAAATATATACCACTGTAGACTTGTTTCTTGTACTGCTTAAACTCAGGATAGAACAAGAAGAATTGATATAAACAAGAAGAATTGCATGATCACACACAAACAGGATCCCACTCTTCCCTGGCCCCTTGCTTTTCATGTGGAATATCTTGGCACAGGAGGCCTGCTGAGCCACCTCTTTTTAGTCTGGCTTAATGCTGCCTCTTTTTGTTTGCATTGAACCTTTATCACCTGGGTTTACAGTCATTTATCTTCTGTGCACACACACGCTATAGCCTCCTGGAGAGTAGAAACCAAGGTATATTCCTGTCGTATTCCTAATCCTTAAATTATTCAAAAGATGATTGAATAGTGGGTTTATATAATTTTTCCATCTTGTATCCTATAAGAGAATTTATTTTTTAAAATATCTGAAATACCTTTATAAGTAATAATATCACCTGCTACAAGGGTATAAAACCATCTATTCTATTCCTCTCTTTTTCTTTTTCCTTAACTCTTTTTTTTCTTTTCTGCCTCCTTCGATTATGTTTATTCTTTAATATGCTGAATTTTATAAAAGAAATATATAAATGCAAATTTGAAGCTTCATGAAGGTTCCAAACGGATTTGGTGGGCCTGAGCTGTTTTTCTCTAGCTTTGTATTTTTTTTTAAGCCATCTAAGTTTTTATATTTTCAAGCTAAAGCACTTGTTTTTCTAGACCTTGAGCTCAGCTTTGTTTTTTATATCCTACAATTGGGTTTTGTTTAAAGATCTTTTATGTTGATTTGCTCAATTAAAAATCTTAAAATCTGAGATCGGAGATGGCATATGATAGTACTGAGATCTGACAACTCACGAAACCTAAACTCATGTAGACTACTCCTTGGCAATCTCAAAATCCTTCATAGTGGTTTATGTTTGTTCATCTATGATGTGCCATATAGACATGAAAAGGCCGCACAGTGCATACCATTCTGGAAGATTAAAGGTAGTCTGAGGAATAAGGAGAAAATTTTTGGAAAACAAGCTGACTGACTTTGAGAATGCAGTATACTTCAGGGAATACATGGATTGGAGAGCTTCAGAAGCCCAACGTTGCCCATTTTCAATAATTCATTCTGCCGCATGCTAATGGACCTTGTAGTGTGGGAACACCCTGGATTGGAGGAAGAATTAGAATGTCTTCTCATTTTCGTGGTCTGAGTTTGTGTGCTTTAATAATTCATGCGTTAAACCTCTGCTTTCTTAATTTGTGGATTGGGGAAGAACTACAGGGGAGGAAAGTGACAGATGGAGACAAGTACAGTTTAACATTTGTAGATCTGTGATTTTTTTTTTTGAAAGCTTTTAAGACAAAGATTATAGGGGGCCTGTTTAATGCATTTAAAGTTTATTTTCATTGTTGCTTTTTAATTGGATTTGAACTTATTTACATACCCATAGATGATTTCAACTCAAATGATAAATTTGAAGAAATGAAGCTTCCTAAAAATCCAGTTACAAGAGAGAACCTTTTGCCTCAGAACCCAGAAGATTTGCATATGAATCAAAGCCTCAATAAATGTGATATGTCTGAATTTTACCACTCTTACATGAAAAATCCCTCATCATTTGGTGCAAATACCATGGACATTAGTAAAATTAAAAATGCTCCAAAAGTAGAAAATAATTTGAAAAGTGAAATGGAATTGAACAATGGGAATGAAAATGAAAATAGTCATACTTACTGTTCATCTGTAACTGAAGCACATGTTGTGTCAGATAATTCCAAACCTGATCTTTTCCTACAGTGCCAAGAACTTTCTGCTACTGGTCAAAATGCAGAAAGTCTTTGTCGAGTCTTTAAAATTCCAGAAGACATAAAGTGTGAAAAACAGGATGACATCCTAGAAGCCACAAAGGGAAAACCACAATGCAATCACTTCATGTCTGACTCACAAAATGAATATAACTGTTCGGAAAATGTTTTAATTGAAAATCAAAAATGTGAAAGCTCAGGAGAGGATGTGGGAAAAGCAATCATGGAGCAGAGCAATGTTACAAGTTGCAGTTCAAGGAAACAGAGAAGGCACCCGGTGCATTGTTCCCACCGGCAGAGTTTACCTCTGCAAGGAAGCGGCAGTCACAAGTCACCAGACGGCAGCGGCAGCTCTGTAGGGATCAGTACAGAGAATTCTAAACTGTATGAAGATTTATCAAACGCCATAGAGCAAAGCTTCCAGAGAACAAATGGTGACATAAAGGTGCGACGCAGCACGCGGCTGCAGAAAGATTCAGATAAGAATGAAGGGCTTGTGTGGATTTCTGTTCCTCTCACTTCCCAAAAAACCAGAAGGAGAACAATCTGCACGGCTGACAGCAGAGGGCTGGAAGATAGGTCTCCCAGAAGAGAAACGGTATCCTCCGGCTCAGGCAACGAGAACCCCAAGGGCCCTGCTGCCGATTCTTCTGACCCATCTGAGAAAAGGAGGAGAAGGAGCTTTTGTGCATCCACAGTGGCAAATACTGAAACTCCTGGCGAGCCTAAAGGCTACCGAAGAAGCACCTTCCTCAAGAAAGGCGAAGGCGCTCTCACTGGCCTGGAACGGCTTGGACCCGGTGGAGAACTGAAGCAGTAATGGACACTTCCTGTGGAGCCTCAGAGAGGGAACCCAACCATCCCTGCTTGACAATCTGTCCTCCTGCATCCCCTCCTTAGCTCAACTTCACTGTTTAAAAAGTTCCAGATAAATAAAATCATTTGAATTGAATCTTTTGTTTAGTAGAAATAATTGAATTTCTTCCATCATTCAAAAAGAAAGCATTCCATTTCATCAATTTCCGGCTCCTAAGTGGTAAATGCTTTTGTGCTAGAAGGATTATTTTTGGAGCCGACAGTGTCTGTCTAGAGTTTGATTTCATGTAAGTACTCACTTATATAGAAGACTAGTTGTTAGAAAAAGTGTCTTGTAGAATTGAGTGGTCATATCTGGATAAGAGGGGTTTTGTTTGTGTGTGTGTGTTTAACAAAAGAAATTGATTGAATGGGACCTTCTGGAAAAATTAATGAAAATTTGATGGCTTAAAGAAAGGGCTTTTAATGTAGCTCCAAAACTTGAACACAAGAAAAGGAAATTACAAATCTTGCCTTCCGTTTAGGTTAAGTTTAAGCGTTGATTATTCACTTTATCTGCCTCAAGTGGAATTGTTTATAGTTAAAAATCAAATTCGTAAAGTTAAATTTCAAAAGAAATTTCTTTTGCAATAGCCAGAATTTAAAAAAATCTGACTTTGTAAATGGCTGTATAATCTAGAAACAATTCATATTAAGCCATTCTTCAAATCAGATTTCAAATGCTCTGTTGGGTAGAGTAGGGATTAATTTTGGTCAAAACAAAAACAAAAAAACTCAGCAGTTTTCTAAAGCCTGGACGTTGTAAAGTCAGTTTCTTCAAATAAATTATCATAGACAATTTAGAATGTAATTAATGGCTTTCTACTCAAAATATTTTCTGGAAACCAAGATTCACTTGCGGGGATCCCAGAAAATCAGTTTAATCATTGCTTACTGCAATATTTTCCCCTAGTTCTGTTTGTTCCATAATATCAGGTAATATCACTTATCCTGTTCCTGTTAAATTTTTTTGAATATCTCCCGTGGCTATTTTGTTGAGCAGTTTGCAAATCTAAATCGCTGTGTATCTGGAATTTATGAATGCACATAAATCATTGTATCATTAAACAATTGTCTTTGAAATCCTTTAAATCATTAAACTCTCCCTGGCCGTGATAGCAGAAACATGTTAACAAATAGTGCTCTCTATAAATAACACGACAGGGAAGAGGGCTCCCGCTGAGCCGCCCATTTCCCCTGGCTGATGGAGACTATTTGTTACCTTTTTGGCACCAGCAGGTCTGGAACTCCTGCTGCTAAAGACTAATGTATTTTACATTAACACTCCAAGTGATCCCCAATTTCTCCTGCTCAAGGCTTGACTGTTTCAAGCATTCTTTTATCTCTACATGTAAGTTACAGAAAGGCTTGTTTTCTATTTATCGTTTGTTAAGGTTGGCAGATCAATACCATTGGGGACAAACCGAAAGCAAGAAAAAGAAACTAACTTGTTCTGTAGTTTAGGTCATTTTAAAAGAAGAAAAACCTTCAGATACTTAAGTTGTGGTAAGATTTTTGAGGTGGGGGTGGTTTTAAAAACATTTTGTCTCTCCAGTATTTAATTCGAATTGGCTTTGCTCCTAACTGCCTACCCCTCATCGCCATTGTCCAGTGATACAGTCAGCTCAGTTGAATTCTTATAGTTGTAAAATGCTATTAATATGCAGGCCTGAGGACAAGGAAACCATTTGAAAAGTAAATTTATTCTCATTTAGTGGCACTTACAGTTTAAAAATATAAGCATTGTTAGTAGGGCCTGTAAATTACAGAATAATTCATCATATTCTGTTGATATATTAAAATCACAAATAAGTGATTTTCCTAAAAAGAGTAAGTAGGAATAATCAAAACAATTTACAAGCAGTTCTACTCACCAAGTTTTGTTTGCACATGATTTGTGAGATGTCAATTTCTGTATTTGATTACAGTTGCTTGTTTTTTCCTATTTTTAACGCTATTTCTTTTCATTAATGCTTAAATCAGCTTGGCTTCAAAATGGTCTTTCTGTGTTTTCATACTGTTTGGCCTTCTGAGATCAGCACACATGGTACTCCTGTTCCTGCAGATTCTTGATTTTCCCAGAAGGTGGCAGCATGACATCTCAAGTGTGTCCTTCACTGTGAAGCGCCTGTATGCCTGGGCAATGCCTGATTGCTTTGACCTGTGCTTCTTTTTATTATTTATTTATTTTGGTTTTAAAGGTTTATTTAAGAGTTATAGAGAGGGAAAGACAGTGAAAGCTCTTCCATCTCCTTGTTGGTTCCTCAGATGGCCATAATGGAAACAGGGACTATGAGCTTCATCCTAGTCTACATGGGTGACAGGGACCCAGACTTGGGCCATCTTCCACTGTTTTTTTTTTTCCCAAGGCCATTAGGGAGCTGGATTGGCACTGGAGCAGCCATGACATGAATCAATGGCTTTACCTGTTGTACTCTAACACCAGCCTCCTTACTCATCCTTTTGCCAAAAATTTTGAAAATCTTTTTTTATATAAAGATATATTTATTATTTTTATTGGAAAGTCAGATATACAGAGAGGAGGAAGATCTTCCATCTGTTGATTCACTCCCCAGGTGACTGCAATGGCCGGAGCTAAGCCAGGAGCCTCCTTTGGGTGTCCGACATGGGTGCAGGGTCCCAGGGCTGTGGGCCATCCTCAACTGCATTCCCAGGTCAGAAGCAGGGAGCTGGATGGGAAGTGGGGCCGCGGAATTAGAACCTGTGCCCATATGGAATCCCGGAGCATTCAAGGCGAGGACTAGACTACTACGGCAGGCCCCAAAATTTTGAAAATCTTAAGGTACAACTGTGCCTAATTTAGAAGTACAAATATTGACAACTCTTTCCTGCCCTCCACCCCAGGCAAACACACACAACTGTATGCAACCAAATCTTTTTCCAGCTTTCCACATGTATACACTGTTAACTGATACAACGTCTTGTAGACTTCCTGTAGAAATGCAAGCTTAGTTCTGTTGTTTTCTAATGGGAGTGCTGTGCTGTATGTATCTGCCACTCTTTTTTCTTTTTTGGTCCAATCAAATTCCATGTTATTCAGTCTTAGTATGGACAGCCCTACCACTATGTCAGTGTTTTAAACTCCTGTATAGAATTTATGTATTTGATGTTCTGGACTACACGGCTAGTATATGCTTGTCTCTTAGAAGCTGCACTGTTAGGCATTAGCTTTATGCACTCCACATCTTCACCAGCATATTGTCAGGCGTCTCATTGTATTCATTCTCACTGTAGTCATGTGCAGTAGCATTTCATTGTGATTTGAGTTTTATTTCCATGAGTGATGATATGGAGCATCTTTTCCTATACCTATTTGTCATTATGTCTCTTCAGATCCTTTGCCCATGTTTTTGTTATTTTTGTTGTCTTGCTGTGAAATTTTATGTCAATTAATGTAAATAAATTTTATGAAATTTATTTTAGGTACAAGGCCATTATTGGGTGTTTCCTAAACATGTATTTTCCAGTCCATTATATTGTCTGTTAGCACTGTTCTTTTTTTAAAAAAAGATAAAGTTTTTGTTTTAGCTAAGTGTAATTTGCCAATTTTTTCATGAATGGTTCGTACTTCTTTTCCTGTCTAGAGTATAGAGAAATCTTGGCCTGACTGAAAGGCACATAGATTTTCTTCTGTGTTTTAGAAGTCTTAGATCCACTTTGAGTTTATTTTTGTGTGTTGCATAAGCTGAAAATCTGTGGTTTTGTTTTTAATGGAAATCATCCAGCACCATTCATTAAAAAGATTGTCCTTTCTTGAGCTTACATTGGCACCATCGGTGAATCATTTGATCCTTACGTGTATAGGTTTGTTTCTGAACTTTGTTCCATTTATTTTTATGTCTATTCTCATGTCGATGTTATTCCATTTTGATCACATGAATCTTCATAAGGTTTTTTAGGGGGAGAAGCGTGAGTGGTAGAGATGGGGTCTCTAGGACCAAAAAGTATTACCACCCATGTTTATGGTCGTATGGAGATGTTCTCTACCTTTTTAGGATCAGGAGTCAAGTCAGTAAGTTCTTAGAGGTGTGGTAAGAAAGCTGACTTCCCTGGAAACATTCCTCCAGTGTTCTGTATAGTAGCTTGCTGTGTGATGATTTTAAATTGTGAACCTGAATCCCTATCATCAATTGACCTTGGGGTAAAGTCATCATATAATGGCCAAATTTTTGGAAATTTGTATACTATGCAGCACTAAGAAAATGAAGTAAATTAAACAAAGTTAAAATTTTCTTTAAAAGTATGTGATAAGTCTGAATGTTTTCATAAACTGTGGTTTTTATAATGGCATGGTGTAATATGGAAATTGTCAGGAAGTAGCCTTAAGACTTGAGAATTTTTTTTTCTTTTCTTGAAATCAGTTAATTTTTAAAATATTGTTTCCATAGTTGAGAGCGATGCACACCCATGTGGGCCTCTGATTAGGGTGGGACAAATGTTTCAGTTCCTTTTTTTACTTGAGAAGTTTTTTTTTTTCTTAAATTTCTCTGCATCATGTTATCCTAGGCAGATGGGTTATGAATTTATTAATACATTTACGAGGCATTTATTCAAGAATGATGGACTGGGCACTAATTTAAAGATGCCTCTGTTTCCCAAAGGGAGCAGAACAGCTATATATAGTGTAGTTGTAAAGGAATGCCAAGACTAAGGGCTTTGCCACTGGCATGAGCCTGTGAGCAAGTAAGTTTGTTTTGTTTGTTTCTGGAAGAAGTGATCCTTGAGTCACTTTTACTGATAGCAGTTTTAGAGGAAGGGACTCAAAAGGCATGTTTCTTCCTTGTTATTTACCGAGACTAAGCAATGTAGACTGGCTTGGTCTCAAATATATTTTTCTTGTAAGTCTTTTTGTTCCATTATATTATAAGTTGTAAATACTTCCGGATGAGGCATGAATTTGAACATAGATTATAAATTACACACAAAAACTTTATTCTGTTGAATGCTTACACTTTTTGAATTTGAACATAAATTGTAAATTATACACAAGAAAAACTATTCTGTTGAATGCTTACGCATTTCTTTTTAAAACTATCATATTTCTTTGTAATATGTCAGGAGAGAGATTAACTC